CAGCCTGAATTACAGAGGAAGACCTTGTCACAAAAAAAAAAGAAGAAGAAGAAGAAGCAGCTTATATGGGCTGGGGATTTAGCTCAGTGGCATAAGCACCTGCCTTGCAAGTGTGCAGTCGTGAGTTCGATCCCTGGTACTGATAAAAACAAAAAAGACAAAAAAAAAAAAAAGCTTATAAAAGTCCTAGTGAGGCTATAGCTCAGTGACACAGCACCTGCCTGTCAGGCACAAGGTTATGAATTTGATCCCAGGTATCCAAAAAAAAAAAAAAAAAAAGTCCTAGCAGTCAACCTAACCATCCTAACCAAAAGGGTAAAAGACTTCTGTAGAAGACCTCTTAGATAGCTGTCCATGAATGCAGAATAATTACCTCTGCTTTAGCTAAAGCTGGCCTCATCTCCATGCACTGATATGTACAGAACTGGTAAAGTTATTTTCTCTTCCCTTTAGTTGTCTCTAAGCATGTAAGCCATGTAAGCATGTAAGCCAGCTGGTGTCATCTTTGAAGCCAAGTGACAGCCCTGTCTCCTTGCCTGTGTTGCCCTCTAAAAGGCTGAGCCCAGCGGGTTGGCAGAGCAAATGCTCCAGGAATGTCAACTGGGTTGAGACTCCAGATAAGAGGCAATGACTTCCCAGGGCAGAAAAGTTTGCACATGGGAACTGAAGCACCTGCCCCCCCCAAACTCAATACTACCTCAGTTGTGTTATACAAATTGCTCTCTGCATACCCTCTGTGGATGCCGCAGAGGTGCTTTCTGCCCTCCTGGCTAGCTGAGCTCACGAAATTCCCACCATTCATACCAGAGCTACATCCTTCTTCATGAGGTAATAAATTCTGGGTGAGGCCCTGGGTCGAAGCCTTTGTTTCCTGAAACCTCACCTGGACCAGACTCAGGACCCCTTGGCTGCCCGTACTATGAATATGTCTTAGTGTCTTTATTCTCGCCATGAGTTGCATTGGAGGTGGTAGACTGAAATTAATTCAGTGGGATTCCAATAACGTTTCCCTATAAATATAAACTGCCCAGACAGCAAGGACAGAAAAAGGGCCTCAACAGACATCTACAAAGAAAATTACACAACCCTGAAGAAAGAAACTGAAGAAGACACTAGAAAATAAAAGACTTCTCTTGTTCATGGGTCAGCAGGATTAGTATTGTTAAACTGGCCATATCACCAAAAGTGACCCACAGATTCAGTGTAATCTCAATAAAAATTCCAAGGACATTCCTCCTAGAACTAGGGGAAATCCTAAAATTCATATGGAAACACAAAAGTCCTAGAATAACCAAAGCAATTGTGCCAAAAGAGCAGTCAGTGTTGGAGGCCTCACCATTCCCAATTTCAAAATACATTGCAAAGCTATTGTGACAAAAACAGCACATGGAAGCAGGGTATGGTAGCACATGCCTGTAATCCTAGCACTCAGGAGGCTGAGGCAAGAGGATCACCACAAATTCAAGGCTAGCCTGGACTACATAAGGAGACCCTGTCTCAAAACAACAACCAAAACAAAAACTCCTGCATGTACAGGCATAAAAATAGACATGTAGACCAATGGAATAGCATAGAGGACACAAAAAGGGACCCACAGAACCACACCTAGCAGGTTCTGGATGAAAATTCCAGAAACCCACTGGGGAACTAATGTCCTTATTAACAGTCATTCTGGGAAAACTGGTTATCCATACATAGAAGTCTAAAACTAGATCTCTGTCTTTCGCCCAGTAAAACATCAAACTAACTGGATGTGGTGACACATGTCTGTAACCCCAAGACTTGGGAGGCTGAGCCAGGAAGACTGCCTTGAGTTTGAGGCCAGCAAGACCCTGTCTCAAAAACAAAAAAAATTTAAAAATTAAACATACAGGAAACACTTGAAGTAGTAGGCACAGGCAAAGACTTCCTGAATAGGACTTTAATAGCACAGGAAATACTAGCAAAAATCAACAAAGGGGACTACCTCAAATGAAAAAGCATCTGTACAGTGAAGGAAATGATCAACAAACTGAAGAGAGCCCAGGCCACAGAATGGGCACAAATGCTTCCCAGCTATTCTTGTGACATTGGATAAATCCCTACAACACATCAAGAACTCAGAGCCGGGCGTGGTGGTGCATTCCTGTAATCCCAGCACTGGGGAGGCTGAAGCAGGAGGATTATTGCAAGTTGAGACCAGCCTGGGCTACACAATGAGCCGAAGGCCAGCCTGAGCTGCATAGAGACCCTGTCTCAAAAAGACAAAATAAACAGAAGGATATCCAGGTGCGGTAGTGCATACCTGAAATCTCAGAATTCAGGGAGGTTGAGGCAGAAAGATAGCAAATTCCAGGCCCACATGGGCAATTTAGTGTGATCCTCTCTTAAAAATAAAATTTTAAATCTGTCCTGGTGATGAGTGCTTATAATCCCAGTACTCAAGGAGGCTGAGGCAGGAATATCGCCTTGAGTTCAAACCCAACCTAAACTGTGTCATGAGACTGTCTCAAAAAAGAAAAACCAGGGGCTGGGGATTTAGCTCAGCGGCATAAGCGCCTGCCTTGCAAGCAGGCAGTCGTGAGTTCGATTCCTGGTACCGATTAAAAAACAAACAAAAAACACGAAAAAGTCAAAAAAGAAAAACCAAACCAAACAAAAAAAAGAAACTGAAAAGAAAAAAAACGGGTACAGGAAGTCAAAAGCAAGATCACTGGTGAATTAACACTGGATTGTTGAAGCAATCTATTATGTTTTTCAGCCACACTTGGGTTTGTTATGTAAATGATGGCCCTCAGTTTCCCCTTCTGAACCGCAGAGATAATGACTACATTTACTTCCCAGGGTTCTTCGAGGCCTCCCGAGTGAGTGTTACTGAATAACAGCTGTCACCAGCTGGACCACGGTGCAAGGCCTCACCGAGTGCCACCCCCCCCCCCCCCCCCGGTCTAATGCTGGCTCTTGTCCCTGACACCAGACCACCTCCCATCAACAGCATCTTAGCCCCTCCTGCCAGTTTGCTCTGCTTGAACTCCCCTTAGACCCCAGCTCACAATCTGCCTCCTGCCCTTGCCCTGGGATCCTAGTGTGGGGCTGAATTTTGTGCCATCTTGGCTGAGCCGTGAGACTGAGACACAAACTCCAACGTTATTCTGCCTTTCCCTGAACGTGGTTCTGGGTAGGATCAACAGCACAAGTGTGGACTCCACCCCGTGAGTGGGTCTCCTCCAATCAGGTGCCGGTTTGAATCGATCCCTCCCAAATAGGACTGAGTCCCCCAGCAGAAGAAGCAGTGGGGACTTGAACAATAACACTGGATCCCCCACCTCCCAGCCCACCCTGCAGGATTTGGACTCGCTAAGCTCCAGAGTCACCTGAGCCAGGACAATTTCTCTTTCTTTCTCTGTCTCTTTCTTTCTTTTTATTTTATTTTTTAGTACGAGGATTGAATTTACGACCTTGCACTTGCCAGGCAGGCGCTTATGCCACTGAGCTAAATTGCCGGCCTTTCTTTCTTTTCTTTCTTTTCTTTCTCTCTCTTTTTCTCTCCCTCCCTTTCTTTCTTTCTTTCTTTCTTTCTTTCTTTCTTTCTTTCTTCCTTCCTTCCTTCCTTCCTTCCTTTCTTCCTTCCTTTCAGGATTAATCCCAGGGATGCTCTACCACTGAGCTATATCCTTAGTTGTTATGGACTGGAAATTGGTGGGCAACTTAAAGCCAGCAGATTTGAATCACCATGGCGCTGAGTGTAGATGTTTCCCCTGAGGAAAGTTGCCAGCATAGAGACATGGAGAAGGAGAAGGGAGGCATTAAGGTATTGAGGTGTTGAGGCATTGTGGGTTCTCCTACAAGTTGTTATTTTTGTCGTTGATTCTGGAGAAGCTCTGATCCTCACATCGAGCATTGCTTCCTGGCTCCTGAGAGGAAGACATGTGCTGCTTGGTCTCCAGGATGAACTCGTCACGCTGGCTTCCTGACCTGTACTCGACTGTGCTTATCATTGGAGGAGCTCAGGGCCTCCATGTCGCTGAGGATGGCTGTGGTACTTTTCAGGGCAGCCCTGGTTCTTATTTTGAGCATGACTTCTTGGCTCCAGTGTAGAACCCTCAACCTACCGGCACAGCTCCTTCACCCCACTGGCATGGACTTTCTAGCTTCCACTGGTGACCTTTGGGCCTTCCCAGCATGGATCCAGAAAACAGACTAGTGTGAGTCCTTCTCATGGGCTGTAGACCTCCCGTTGGACTCATGGGAGGCACTGTCATGAGTTCTAGGTCTTCATTTGGACTCATGCAGGACCCTGCTATGAGATTCAGGCTCTTGATTGAATATTCTATGTTTTTGGTGTTGTGGACAGATTTCCTGCAGATTCTCATGTTAACTTCTGGGTGACCATCATAAAACAATGTTATAAATTCCATGTGCTGATTCTAATTATTCTCACTACCCCTGACTACAACACTATCCCTTGTTATTTTTCATTTATTTACTTATTTTTATTTTGTTTTGTTTTAGACAGGGTCCCTCTAATGTGGTCCAGGCTGGCCTTGATCTCACTCACTATGTAGCCTAGGGTGACCTTGAACTTGGAGCAATCCTCCTTTCTCAGCCTCGTAAGTGGTAGGATTACAGGCATACACCACTGCACTTCACAAAATGTTTTAAAAATAAAGTTGTATTACTTATGTACATTAACCATATTATGTATTTTACATGTGGTCCAAGACAATTCCTCTTCACTCAGTGGGACCCAGGCAAGTAAAAGTTTAGACACAACTAGACCCTTCCTTTCTTTTTGTTGTTGTTGAAACAGAGTCTCACTATCTAGCCCAGCCCTAGCTGACCCCAAACTTGCAGTGATCCTCCTGTCTCAGCCTTCCCCGTATTATAGGTATACACCACCATACCCAGCTCTTCTTCTTTCTCTCTCTTTTTCTCTCTCTCTCTTCCTCTCTCTGTCTCTCTCTCTGTTTCTCAAAGACCTCTCTAGTAAAACCGGAGCTTAAACAACTAGCCAAAGCAAGAAGGACTTGAAAACACTTTATTTCCTATCACATGAGACTTGCACTGGTGCCCAGGAGCGTGTCAAACATGGTTGCCGCAATCATGGTTATGTGTGCGAGGGTCTGGTTCACCCCAGCCACCCTGGAGTACCTTCTTGGAGGGTCAGTGGACCCTGCTTCGCTAGCTATCTAGCCCTGATCCCAGACCTACAGGAGCTGCCTCGGGGGACTGAGATGCTGCGGCCTGGGGCCCAGGGTGCTACTGGCCAAGTCTTGGTCCCTCTCCTGCAGGTTCGAGCCCCTCACTTGCACCCAGCCGTCCTTCACTCTGCCTCCTCCCTTTGCTTTCCCTGTCTACCACCACCAGGCCCTGGGGAAAACGGGCAGGAAACCATTAGGGAGGACCCTGTCCAGTCGTGCCCAGGCCAGAGGGGCCTGTGACAGCCCCCTGCTGCCCAGTCTGGCTCTTGGCCGTGGAAACACTGCTGGAGGAAGCAGGAGGCCCTTCTGGGCTCTTGCTTGTCCTCTCCCCACCAGGTTCGGACTCTGGGTTGTCTCCAGCCAGGGCGGGGATCCCAAAGCAGAGGGCAGGGCTGCCCCTGGGTCCCAGGACTTCAGCCCCCTTCACCCAGGCCAGTTTTCCAGCAGAGCACAAAGAGCAGAGAGGGCTGTGTTTTGGGCCCCACAAAGGCTCTGTGAAAAAGAATAACTGCGAAAAGAAAGACTGTGTGATACGCACACAGTCTTGGTTTCTCTGTGAAAGTGGAGTCCTAATCTCAATTTTGCATGGTGACCATGAGGCCGCGATGAGATAACAGCAGTGAAAGGGCCTGTCACAGTGGCGGGCACTCAGCTGCAGCTTCCTTTTCCCTGGGCCAGCTGCTCTCTGGGAAGGGTGACTCCAGCAGCAGGGCAGGAGAGGCAGTCATGCTCTGGGCACAGGTTAGAAGCGGACCTGAGCCGAGGCCACCAGAGGAAAGACCAGGAGAGGGTGGTGGTCGAGATCCAAGGCCGAACCCGGCCAATCTGCTGCTGAAGGACTGGCCTTGTGCTCCCTGCTCTGCAGATATTCAGGCCCTAGAGAGGACCCCAACTCCCCCTTGCTCGGGGGTACCTGTCCAAGGGGCTGCGGAGAGGTAGCTTGGGCTGGAGGGCTGGGCAATGGGGAAGAGCCTGGCAGGCTGGGGGCCGTGGATGAGGCAGATGGCAGGTGGCTGAGGGATGTCTGAGCAGGAGGTAGAGTCACTGTAGCAGGGCCGAGGGACAGCAGGGACAGAGGGGATGGGGGGAGGCCACAGGGACCCTGAGGCTGTGGATCTGGGTACAGCTGAGCGGACAGACAGGAGACAGGAGTGGAGAAGAGGTCTGGCTGCTCCAGGCAGCTGTGCTGTCCTGGGAGCCACCTGGCCTGGCCCCAGCACTCAGGCGGCTCAAGAGCCCGGTAGGGGACACAGTCCTTGGGGCACAGGTGCTCGTGCAGTTGCAGGGTCTGACTCCACTGCGCCAGCTCAGCCTGCAGGTCCTGGATCTCCTTCCGCAGAGCCTGGTTGTGTTTCTCCAGGGACTCGTGCTGCTGGGGGAGAAATAAGAGGCCCGGGGAAAGGAGTCAAACAGCATCGGGGCCTTGTGTGGCCACTGTCCCACCAGGGTTCTCGCTGCAAGGGAAAGACGCTGCTACCTTCCGAATGTTCCGGCCGGAGCCCCTTGGCAAATCTCTGGCCAGGCCCCTGCTGCCACCCACAAGTCCTCCAGCCAGCACCTCGCAAGGGTCAGACTGGCCCTGCTCTCTGCAGGTCCCCTAAGCCAGCACTACTAGTCACTGGGGACCTCTCTCCCAGCCTCCTAAATGGGGTGTCCCCAAACCACCCCATTCTCCTGGGCTAGAAAAGCCTTTCGGCAAATGTGTCATTATTATTATTTTTTTTTACCAGCCCTCCCCATAAATGTGTCATTATTGTAGTGTGAACTGTTTTGTTATTGTTGTGTGGACTGAATCCAGGGCCTTGCACGTTCTAGGCAAGTACTCTATCACTGGGTCCCAGCCTTAGCTTTGCTTTGGTTTTTTGTTTGTTTGTTTGAGACAGAATCATGCTGTAGTCTAGGCTATCCTTTAATTCATGGTGATTTTCCTGCCTCTCTGCCTCGTGAGTGCTGGATTATAGGCATGCACCACCACACCTGGTTTACTTTTTAATTTTATTTTGAGACCGAGTGTGCTGGAATTTGAGACTCTCCTGCCTCAGCCTTGAACAGCTAGGATTGCAGGTTTGTATAATATCCAGTTATTCTCAGTCCCTTAGCTCCATCTGTCCTGCTTTCTGTCTTGCTGCCCTGTCTTTTTGTCCCTTAGCTGGGATCCCTCCTGTCTCATCTGCTTGGGTACCCCTCAACCCCCTCTCAGCCCCGAGCTAGTCCTGATATATTTCTCCTAAAGCAGCTTCAATGTCATTCTGTCTTGAGCACCCAGAGTGTGCTTAAGACCACAACCAGGGCTCCCGAGGCTCAGGGCCCACTGACTAAGGCACGGCCAGAGGGTCGGGGTACGGTCTTCCACTGGATCTGCCTGAGTTGGCCGGAAGTAGGTCCTGCCTACTCCCTGCCTGCTTCAGGGAACACAGCACAATAAGCAGGTCCACGGATGATGGCAACGGCGGTGAAAACACAGATAAAACCTTATTTACTCATAAAGCTGAAGAACCCAAACAGCTTCTTTCTGGAACACTTTTTTGAAAAAGAGAAGTTGTGAAGGCATTTCACATAGACGCCACCTCTGGATCCACGTGACGGCTGCCTTTTGGGTTGGAGATGGTGTTTTCAGCACCAGAGATTAAACCTAGGGTTCTGCACATGCTAGGCAATCTCTATACCACTAAACTACATCCACGGCCACCTCTTTTTCTGACTCTCTACTTCCTTTCTTCCTTCCACCTTTTCTCTCCCTTTCTCTTTTCCCCTTTCCTTTTTTCTTTCTCCCTTCCTTACCCTTTTAGTTTAATTCCAGGTTGGCACTAGATTCACAATCCTCCTGACTCAGCCTCCTGAGGGCTGGGGTTACAGCCTTGTCCTACACATGGGGCTCCGGAATGAGTATTTCCAAAGAGTAACATTCTCCTCCTCCATTCTCCAAGCTTTGAAATCACCCCCAGGAATTGCCATCATCTGACATCCTAAATGTTTGATGGGTCATTTATTATCTGGCTTCTATGTGAGTATAAGCTGGAGGAGGTGAGACTTTGCCTGCTGATTCACAACTGTCCTGCAGGGCTCAGGTCATGAGACCTGAACCTGTCACATGAGAGACCCTTGAGGGATATTTCCAGAAGCAATAAATAAATGAAAGCTTAGTTTCCCAGCCACCAGCTCCTTCCCACCTCATCTGCAGGGTGCTACCTCAGCTGTACCTGTGCCAGCACGATTTCAAATGCCCACAGAGCATTTTTTCTTCTTTCTTTCTTTTTTTCTTTCTTTTGTTTTTGTTTTTGATTTGTTTCAAGACAGGGTCTCTCTCTGTAGTTCAGGCTGGCCTTGAACTCACTATGTAGCCAAGAATGACCTCAAACTCATGGCGATCCTCCTGCCTCAGCCTCCCAAGTGCTAGGATTACAGGCATGCACCACCATGCCCAGCTCTCAGTGCATTTTATTTTCATCCATTTGGAAAATTCCAACTCATTCCTCAAGACCAGCTCAGATTTCATTTCCTCTCTGTATACCCGATAGCACACTATCTATGCGGCAGACACTGAATCAGGTTCCTCTGAGATTCATATGCTGAAGTGGTAACCAGAACTGTATGGAGGCAATTTTAAATGAAGTGATAGGACTGGTGGCTTTATCAAAAGAGGAAGGGAAGCCTGGCATGGTAGTGTACCCCTGCAAGCCAGCACTCAGGAGGCCAGGGCAGGAGGATTGCTGTGAGTGCAAGGCCTAATAGTGAGTTCGAAGCCAGCCTGAACTACATACAGAGATTCTGTCTCAAATGAATAAGTAATTAAATAAATAAGTAAATGGAGGGTGAGAAAGAAATTCCTCTCCTCTCCTCTCCCACTCGAGAAGAAAAGACCTGAGCACACAGCAAGAAGGTGGCCCCCTGCTGTATGACCGGGAATACAGTCCACAAGGTCAAACCCAGGAACACCTTGAGCTCCAATACTGCAGTATCCCGAACTTGAGAAATAATCCTCCTTTAAACCTACCGCTCTACCGCCTTTTTTTTTTTTTACGGCAGCCTGAGCAGATCAGTGTTTCCCTCCCACCTCAATGTGCCCAGAATGCTTTATGTGATCCTCGTCTCCCTGCCAGGCGCTGTTCTAGGGGTCGGGGAAGTGGCAGGGGACCTCTTGGCCCTCAGAGGAGGAGCAGCGAGGGAGGGGCGCCGCGGAGTGAAGTCCCCGCTAAGGACGCGCGGGTTTGCGGGCTGCGGGCGCCAGAGGGCGCTCTGTCTGTCGCTCGCTGCCTCTCCTGCGAAGCTCTGCGTCCCCTTATGACCCAGCGGGAAGGCTCCCCGCTTCCGGGGAGATGCAGGTACTGTGCCCTTGGACTTCTCCGGCCCGCTGTTTTGGAGGAATTACCCAGTGTGTGGCATTTGAGGGTAGCAGTAGAAAACTGGAAGAGGGGGCTTCCCCACCTGGTGCAGGGCATCTGCTCTATCCGTGTGCTTCTGTCGGCTGCGCTGGGCGGCCACCCGGTTCTTCTGTTTCTTTTTCAGCTGCTTCTGACACTCCTCCGGGTCCTGCTGAGCATGGGCAGGGGACTCAGAGAGCCAAGTGCCCTGTCTCCCCAGAAGCCCTTCTGGCTCCCCAGGCGCTGTACTCTGGCCCCTGCAGGCACTGCACACCTGGTGATGCCAGCGTGACCCAGGGTCCTGCTCACAGCTCCTGGGGGGGGGGGGCGAGGACCAGAGGGGGTTCGGACTTAGGCAGACCTGACTTCTAACTGCACATTTGCCCAAGCCACGTTTCTCTGGGCTGCTCACGTACCTGGGCCCAGCTACTGCTTTTGTACAACGGAGACACCATGGTCCCTTCCCTTCCCTCAAGAGAGAAGCCTACGCAGCAGGCAGCCCAGAGCCAGGGTCTGTGAAGAGCAGCACTGTCCTTCCCGCTGCTGTCACTTCTCTGGTGTTGCTGATTTTCCCGACAGCTCCACGTGATTCAGTTCCATATGCCCGTGCCCATTTCAGGCCCAAAAGCTGACATTTAATTATTTAATGAATGTTTATGAAGCACCTACTGGGCACATAGGAGGACACAGCAGGGAGCAAACAGGGCGAAGTCCCAGCCTCACCCCGCTCACATAGGAGTGAGCAGTTGCCCGAAAAGAAGGAAGGAAGGAATGGGAAATTTTTCTTAGCAAGATAGCAGACCCCAAGCTTGGCTGCTGTGACCTCCCCCAACTCTGGGGACCATAGAACACAGAGAATGATTTAATACAAATGCCCAGAGCTCGGAAAGTCTGGGCAAAGGGAACTGGTGAAGACCTCACAGCTGACACCCCTATTACTCTCAGGGTGGGAGGTAGGGTTGAGTATAAAAGCCCCAGGGAGGATGCTGGCCACTGGCCGAGGACGAGGACTCTGGATGTTCCTGGGATCAAAGCCACAGCACCACCCTGGCCAGAGCCTGGAGGGGTTCATAGCCACAGCAGATGCAGCAGATCCGTTGCAAACCTGGAGGGCTTGGGAGACAGTGAGGAGGCCTCAAGGGAAACTGTGGCAGTGGAGGTCAGGGGAGGGGAGGAGAGTGGGCAGGGGATAGCAGGTAGATGGAGTCTAAGTCCTCAGTCTCAGGCTGCTGGTGATATAGCTCAGAGACATAAGCACCTGCCTGGCAAGCGCAAGGTCCTGAGTTCAATTCCCAGTACAAAAAAAAATCATTTGAATCTCAGGCTGGACCTGCAGCACGGGAGTCAGAAAGCATCATTCCAATGCTCTAATATTCCAGGAGAGGAACTGAGACTCAAAGAAAGGGGTGTGTGGAGCCTGCCTAAAGTCACAGCCACAGGCACAGAGCTGTGACCGGAGCTCTGGACTGCATCTCCCACTTGTGGGACTCTTGGACACATCCCCTCCCCTTTTATTTTTCTTTTGGGATACTAAAGATTGGACCCAGGGGTTTACACTGAGCTACATCTCCAGCCTCACACATACCCACCCTTTTTATCTTTTTAAATTTTGAGACAGGGTCTCACTAAGCTGACTGCCCTGGCCTTGACCTGAACTTATGATCCTCCTGTACCAGAGTACTGGGAGCAGGGCGTGTGCCACTGCTCCTGGCCACATTCCCTTTCTCACCCCCGTCCCAGGTCCCTGTACTCACTGTCCCGGTCAGCAATGCGTCTCCCTGGCAGAGGTGCATGGCTCAAGCAGGGGGAGCACACAGCCACACTGGCCCCAAATGTCTCTTGGCAGCTGTGACCTCCCAGTCCCCTCTGGGGGCCCGAGGAAGTGGTGGCTTTTTAAGCCCTACTGACCACTCCACCCCCAGCAAGCCCAGTTTCAGTTTCTCCTAAAAGCCACTGGCTGCTCAGAATCCCTGGCTCAGGGTGGCTCATGTGGGTGGAACTTCCTAATACGAACTGGCCTTCCGGTCAGGGCCTTCTTTGGAAGCAGGACTGTGGAACGGTGAGAGGAGGGAAGACAAATTTCAGGTGTGGGGAGGATAATCTGGGGAGGGAGGAAGCCAAAAGGAGAAGCCAGTGGAGTCTCAGAATTCATGTGGGTCATGGAAGATCCCCTGTGCTCTGTGGGGAACCCCCAGATCTATAAGTCACATTGGAACTGTGCAAATTTAAGAAGGTGACTCGTCCTCTCTGAACCAGCAATGTTCCTTACAAAGAAGATATGGAAAAATTACTGTTTCCGTACTATAGATTGTGCAGTAGTGCACAGGACTAGGGTGAGCAGCCAGCTTCCAAGCTGAGTGTCCCAGGTAGGTAATTTCACCTTCCTGTGCTATTTCTTAATCTGTAAAGTGAGGATAAAATCATTTTGTTATGAGGATTAAATGAGTTAACAAAAGTGAGACACCTGAGGCCAAGCCTCATGCAGAGTAAGACCTTAGTAAACACCTACAATCCTGATGTGGTGGGAGACTTGAAACCAGATTGATCACCAGGCCTAAAAGTCTAAAATGAGCTGGGCATGGTGGTGCACGCCTGTAATCCTAGCACCCTGAGAGGCTGAGGCAGGAGGATTGTGAATTCAAACCCAGCCTGGGGAACGTAGCAATTTAGTAAGATCCTGTCACAAAAAACAAACAAACAAACAAAAAAAAACCCTTAAAACCATAATAAGACTTTGTCTCAAAAGACCAAAAATAGTAAATAAATATAAATTTAAAAAATTAAAAAAGGTTGTACTTTAGTGCAAAGGTCCTGGGTTCAATTTTCAGTACCAAAACAAATGAACCAGTCCAAGGTGTCTGATTGTGCCTATGTAGCAAGCCACAACAAGATCTGAACACTGTGGTAAAGTTTCTGTAAGGTTTAATAATAAAGATACGCACACAGGTAATGAAGGTAAAAAGTACGCCCGGAATGAGAAACAAAATTCAGAGGATGATGGCAGGAAAGAGGAGGGACGTCTGAGGGGGACAGACACAGGGACAGACACAGGGATGTTGGTGGTTTTAGGTGTTTAATTGCTCTGTAACATTATTCCTACGCTTTGAAATAGACACAGATTTTTTTTTTCTTGGTACCTGGAATGGAATTCAGGTTCTTGCTCTTGCCAGGCAGGTGCTTGTGCCACTGAGCTAAATCCCCAGCCCATACACTTTAAAATGGTTCCTAATAAAAGCTTCCTTTGAAGCTAAAGGAAACCTAGTAAACCTGGAAGCTCCTGGCAAACCGCAGGGTTGTTGTCTCTGAGGGAGAACAGTCTGGATGGAGTGTCTGTTGCGGGGATGGAGGTGCTGGAGGTGCTGGTAACCCCTGTCAGAACCAGCACGCAGTTGTGGGAGCCTACGATCTAGCAACGAGAGCATGTCGAGGTTGTGGCTGAGTTCTGAGGGCTCAAATCTAATAATATAATCATGAATATGACAAATACAGCAAATACGGGGTTTTTTTGACAGGAGATAGTGCCTAGGAGCTATCTTCAGGAATTTGCAGCTGCCTCTGAGCTTATTACAAAAGAGGGCTGCAAATGAGTAGCAGTGTCTGCCATGTAGGGATTGATTACTGATGTCTGCCATGAGCACAGGTGGGGACATTGCAATCTTCTGCCCTCCCTAACCCATGGCCTAAAAGTAGCCTGGGCTGCAGAGTTAGAAGTCTGGACTCAGAGTCACAAGTCTGCTCACTGCACTTATCTCCCACAAACTCAGTGTTCACATAGGTGCTGTGGGGATATGAGTGAAATTGAGTTTATTTTACAGAATTGTTTCCAAGAGGAGAAAGACAGATGAGCAGAAAAGTCCTTGGATGTTGTAAAGTGTTGCCCACCCAGATGTGGTCTGCCGTCCCAAGAGCGGGAGTAACAGAGTGTAGACTCTAGGGTTGCACTGCAGCCTCATTAGATACAGCTGGATGGATAGAACTGGGACCCTTCTCTCGCCTCGGAGGAGTCTGGGGACAGGGCCTGATGTGAGGCACCCATGAAAGAAGGGTGCACCTATTTCCTGGAATTATTTTTTGTTTCCTGAATATCAGGAGACTGGGGTATCTCGCCCATGGTGGGAGGGCACCTGAAGAGCTCATTAAACCAGTCCTCAAGTCCCACAGGCAGAGGCGTGTGCGCGATGTAACCCCCAAAATACCCTTGGGCAGGAGGCTAAGGCCCACATGCCATCCAGTCCCCAGCCCCAACCTGGACTCCCAGACCCAGCCGCTGGCTCCAGGTAGAAGGTACACGGGCAGCAGGTGTGGCTCCTCCCAGAGGCCACAGCCTTGAAGGGAAGCAATGGAGATAGCATTTATGGTTTGACTTCCTGGAGGAGAGGGCTGGGATCAGGAGAGGCAGGGAGGGGCCCTTGGATGGGTAATGTTTAACCACTGAGTTTCCCCCAGAAGGAGACACCTCATCTGACCCCTGGTGTCCTGGTCAACTCAGCCTGTGTGGCTTAAATAATATACTCCTGGCAGTTCTGGGGTCAGGAGTCCAAGAGCAAGGTGCCTGCAGATCTGGTTCCTGGCTAGCGCCTCTGGCTTGCCTCTGCCGCCCTCTTGCTGTGTTCTCACGCCGCACAGAAAACTGCGGTTGTTCTCTGACCTCCTCTTCCTTCTCCTCCTTTTGTCTTTTTAATTTTTCATTCCAGGAATCAAACTCAGGGCCTTGTGCTTGCCAGGCAGGCACTTAGGGTGCTAAGCTATATCCCCAGCCCCTATTTTTGTTTATTTGTTTGAGACACGGTCCAGTTGGCTTATGTAGCCCAGGCTGGCCTCACACTCAGAGTGATCCTCCTGCCTCAGCCTCTTTAAGTACTGGGATTACAGGTGTGCACCGCTACGCCCGGCTTCTGTGTCCTTTTTATTAATTAAGTCTATCAGTACATTATAGGTATAAATAATGATCACGTTCATCACAGGAATTTTTACCTATACATGATACACCTTGATGATTTTTCCACATTGCCCCCATGGTCTCTTCAGTCCCTGTCTCTCTACTTATTTACAAAAGCTGTTTCCATTTTTTCCTCCTCATTTTCTTCTTTCCCCTTCCTTCCTTCCTTCCTTCCTTTCCACCTCCCCTTTCTCTAGTTCCCCTTCCCATTTGAACATTTTCTTCCTATTTCACAATACCTAGAATACATTTTGGTCCTTATTTACACTTTCAGTTTCTTGCATCAAAGAAAAATATGGTATTTACACATGTGTGTCCAATTTATTTCACTTAAGAGGGTGGTCTCATGGTACATCCATTCAGCTAGAAACATCTCCATCTTATCCTTCTTTATGGTAGACTAGTATTCCTTTAAAAAAAAAAACCCGAATCTTCTTTATCCATTCACCAGCTGATGGGCATTTGGTCTGCTTCCAAAATTGGGCTATTACAAACTGTACCACTCTAAATGTGGGTGTGCACAGCTCACTGTGGTGTGATGCTTTAAATTCTTTCAGCATAATACCCAGAAGAGGAGTAACTGGGTCAAATGGAACCTCTAGTCCTGTTTATTTTGAGGGGAGGGGAGTCTCCACACTGATTTCCACAGTGGCTGCATCAGTCTGCATTCCCATCACCAGTGGAGAAGGGCTCCTTTTTCCCAATAGCCCTGGCAGCATTTGTTATTGGTCAGTTTCTTGATAATAGCCATTCTTTCTGGGGTGAGGTAGACTCTCAGCATTGTTTTAATTTGCATCTCTCAAATGACCAGTGATGCTGAACATTTTTTCTTATGTTTACTTGCCATTTCTACTTCTTCATTTGGAAAGTATCTATTCATTTTAGATGCTCATTTTTGGATTAGGTCTTTAAATTTGGGGGTATTTGGATTTAAAAATAAATAAATTTGGGGAGGTCTGATGTTGTAGTCAGGGGTTGTGCTGAGAACAATTAGAATCAGGACATGGAGTTAATAATATTATTTTTATAATGGTCACCGGGAGGTAACACAAGAAAATGCAGGAAATCTATCCGCAACACCAAAGACATAGATTATTTAGTCAAGAGCTTAAATCCCACAGCAATGTCCCACATGAGTCCAGATGAAGACCCAGAGCTCATGACAATGCCTCCCACGAGTCCAACTGGAGGTCCAGAGCCCACAAGAAGGACTCACGCCAGTCTCTTTTATGGATCCATGCTAGGAAGACCCAAGGGTCAGCAGTGGAAGCCAGAAAGTCTATGCCAGCAGGATGAAGGAGCTGTGCTGGTGGGATGAGGGTTCTACACTGGGAGCCAAGAAGTCACACTCACAACAAAGACCACGCTGTCCTGAAAGGCACCACAGCCACCCTCAGTAACACGGAGGCCCCGAGCTCCTCCAACGACAAGCACAGTCAGGTACATGTCAAGAAGCCCGCATGACGAGCTCATCCTGGAGACCAAGCAGCACATGTCTTCCCCTCTGGAGCCATTAAGCAATGCTCAATGTGAAGACCAAAGCTTCTCCAGGAGAACCAACGGCCCAAACAGCAACTCATAGGAGAACCCACAATGCCTCAACACAATGCAATAATGCATCAATGCATTAACAACTTCCTTCTCCTTCTCCTTCTCCACCTATTTATGCTAGCAACTTTCTTCAGGTGGAACATCTTCGCTCAGTGCCATGCTGATGTAATCCAGCTGGTGTTAAGTTGACCACCCGTTCTTAATCCATAACATCTGATTTTTTTGAGTTCTTTATATATTCTAGATAGTGGTCTCACTACATAATTCAGAGTGGCCTTGAAATCACTACATTGCCTACCCTGACCCTGAATTCATGGCAATCCTCCTGCCTCAGCCTCCCGTGTGCCAGAGTTATAGGCTTGCACCACCACACCTGGCCTGTTCTTTGTCTTTGAAGGATGTGAATCTTATCAGGATCTCACTGTCATTTCCTCATCTAAACCTAGTTGTCTGTCTGGTAAGCACAAGGTCCCGAATTACATTTCAAATAAATAAACAAACAATAAAATAAAATAAACCTAGTTGTCTTCTAAAAGTCCCACTGCAAATGCCATCATACTGAATGAAGAGTGAGGGTTGACACTCCCTTGGACATGTGAGTTTTGGGGGAACAAAAGCATTGAGTCTACTACAGACAGGAAAAAACCTAATACCTATAGAGGTGGGTCACCACACAGAGGGAAGAAGCAGAGAACACAACTTCTGCCTTGCAAATCCTGAGGCCCTCATACTCAGCTAGGCAAGGCCTGCCTTTTAGTCCAGCAGCCCTGCTGGGGAGAGGCTCAGAGGCCTCTGAAGAGATCAACTGAGACCAGGGTGTGGTAGCGCACATCTGAGGCTGAGGCAGGAGAATCTGGTGTGAGTTAAGAGGCCAGTCTGGGCTACATACTGAGTACAAGGCCACCCTGAGCTACAGAGAGACGCCTCGCCTCAGATGCACAAACAACCAAATGGCACCTGAGCAGCGGGATCTCCGCCCACAGTGCCCTCCGGAGGGTCTCCTATCCTGTTCCTCAGATACTTCTTCCACCTAATACAAGTCTAGTTATTGAGAAAATGAAGCCCAGGCAGCTTTTCACCCAGGGGTCCCCAAAACTTTCCTACTTCTGCTTTGCTCATTCCCACAGGATCTTCCCTAGCTGCCTGGAGGACTCCCACTATCAACCTCCTTGTTTTATCAATGAGGAAACTGAGGCATGAGGTGGGGACTGTTTGACAGAAGCCAGGATACATTGCCTCATCCAAGTCCTTCCCACACCTCCTAGAGTTGGGCAGCTGCTGGGGTCTCCAGGTGACCAGAGATGAGGACCTCTTGGGCTGGGTCCTCCCCTCGTGTGCACCCGCCTCCAGGCCTGGCCTCCTTAGGGAACCTACAAACAGATGAGAAGGAAGCCAGATGCTGGCGGGCCTGAAGCTGACTGTGGGCTCTGCCCATCTGGAACCGTGGACAGGCTGCTGGGGAGCTGAGCTTCATGTGGGAGAAGTTTACAATTCAAGGAGTGTGGGGCAGGTCAGTAGGGGAGCTCACTGCCTGAAAGGGGAGTCACTTCCTGCTGGAGATCAAGGAAGACTTCCCGGAGCAGGAGCGCCTTGGAAGGACACTGCAGGACGGACAGACTCCATCCCAGGGCCCAGTCACTTGTCCAACCTCGTTTTGCCTCCTCTGTGAAATGGAGGTAATACATAAGGACTCAATGAAACAAAGATGTAAAAGCTTAGGGTAGTGCCTGGCACATAAACATCTACTGAACTTTTAAGAAAGACACTCAATAGATAACTGATGAGTTTTTGTTCACATGATGGACTTGTATTTTGTTTCATTATCATTATTATTATTATTGAGATAGGTGGTTACTGTGTAATTGGGCTGGCCTTGAGCTTACTTTGCAGCCCAAGCTGGCCTCAAACTTGCATTGATCCTCCTGCCTCAGCCTCCCAAGTGCTGGGATTACAGATGTGTGCCTTTTTTGCTTTTTTTCCCTTTTGGTGGTAGAGGGAATCGAACTCAAGACCTTGCACTTGCGAAGTAGGCACTATACTGCTAAGGTATATCCCTGACTGTTTTGGGTTTTTGAGGCAAGTCTTGCTGTGTCACCTAGGTTGGACTTGAACTCACTGTGTAACCCAGGATGACCTCAAACTCACAGCATCCTCCTGCCTCGGCCTCCCAAGTGCTGGGATTACAAGTGAGCACCATACCTGCCTCTCATTATTATTATTTAAGAAAAAAAAAGGGGTGTGAGAACAGAGATTTTTTCACCCTACTGAAATGTCTCTTTAATGGGGGCTCGAAGGCTTTCTGGGGCTGGCTACATTCTCAGGCAAGACCTACTCTTGATACCAAGATGCCGGTGAGAAACACTAGTTTAGTTTCGTTAGGAGGGGGCCGCTCCCTGCATCCCACCCTGGCACCTTCCCAACAGTCCCAGAACAGGTCCCGGGCTACTTTTCCCTGGACAGACTCAGGGCTAGGGCATATCCCTGATCTCAGTCTCTGTAGCCAGGGGGCAAGGTGATAATGGTGAGCTGGGGTAGCAGGCTCATCCTGAAGCCACAGGCACAGGTGGGGGAGTGGACTTGTGTCTGCATCTCCGTGCATCCCGACACCAAGCAGAGTGCCCTCTTTCTGTTCTTTCACAGCCGCCTGAGGTGAGGGGAAGGTCACCAGGGCCAGGGGCCTTGTCAGGAAAGCAAAGTCTCTCTGTGAGGGTGATTGAGATGAGCTGTGTGCAGGGCGGGGACTGGGGTCAAGGACTCCCAGGACGCAGTGGGGGAAGGGCTGACTTTCACTTTCAGAGGCAGCACACAGGAGCCCTCGATGGAGCCAGGCAGCAAACGCCCTGGCCCTCCACAAACAGGATGACTCCCCCCTGGTCCTATGAAGTCACCACTGTCGGTCTCGGGGTGGGGGCAGTGGAAGCCAGAAGGGTGGGAGGTGGCACTGGTCCCAGAACACAGCTCCCACCCTGACCCCTGTCCTGCTGGCCCTTTGCTGCCCCTAAACCTCTGTGCTTCCGGTTCTCTGTTGCTCCTTCAGTGCACACATCTCTCCAGGAAGTGACTGGAACTTTTGGAAGTGCGTGGGGAGCATAGATAATAAACAGCTCCGAGTCACTGGCGTCCAGGGCACCGCGGGATGTGGCGGCTGTGGCCACAGCTCTTGGATGTGCCCAGGGGGTCCTGACCCAGGAGAGAGTTGGGTTCAAGTATTTGTTCTGCCACTGACAGCTGTGTGACCTTGGTGTATGACCTTGGCTCTCTGGGGTTTGGTCTGCAAAATGATAATACCCCTGCTTTGCCAGGACTGTCAATGGGGGCTGAAGCCGCACATGGAAGGCTGTCACTGCGATCTCAAAAAGGCGAGTCCCCCATCACTCTTAACCCAGTGACTCCGAGAGACAGAAAGGAGGTAACTGGGGTGGTGGGGGGATGGCAGCTGGGGTCTTGGAACTTGGCCTAGAGGCCAGGCTCAGCTGGAGTGGGGCAGGGAAGAAAGCAGCCGGCCAGGACTCACAAGGCCACAGACATGACAGCACTACCCTTGGTGTGCCCAGCTTCGATAATGGTGGCCTTGGTGCTGGGGACTAGGGTCGGGCAGGTAGGCAGGTAGTCACAGCCACAGGACTCTAGAGATTGTCTATTCAGCTTCCTAGTTTTGCAACTGGTAGAACCAGGGCTTAGCAGGAAGAGGGGACGTGACCAGGTTTAAGGAGGTGGGAAAGCCAGGCAGACCAGGTCCCGCCACACCTCAGCCCCTCTTCCCATCCTAGACTTTGGAGAGCCAGCAAACATCTTGGGGCACTAGGGTGTCAACAGTGGAGTCACAAGGTACCCTTAGAAAAGCAGGGAGTATTCGTACCTGCTGAGGTTCAGCAGGGGAAGAACTGAGGGCATCCTGTTACAGATAAGGCGTCCCAGAGTCCCAGGCAAGGACCCCAAAGCTGGACGGGGTTCCCACCAAAAGGAAGGCTGGGAAGGGTCTAAGGATATAGGGACGTGTTTGCAGTTTCGGTGCACCCAGCTCCCAGGCCTCACAGAGTCTCATGCCTTCTCCAGGCCTCAGTTTCCTTGCAGCATGAAAATGGCACACACCTAAACAAGGCCAGGACAAGAAACTTTGGACAGGAAATCTGGCTCCTCTCCTGTCCTCCCTCCCAGGCCTCCGTCTCCCCTCTGACACCTGTGGACACAGGGGCTACTGTGGGAGCTAGAAGTGAAGAAGTCTCCTAGAGTGAGGTCTAGGTGGCCCTGGCTTGGGAGGCAGAGGAACCTGTGGGTGAAGGACAAAGCTGACCAACACGCATAAGCAGCCACAAAGACTTAACCACCCTCTGTCCAGGTCCCTCTCATTCAACAGAGATTTAACTATTGAGATCAAGCTAAGCCTCCCTGAGACGCTGGCACCAAAAAATCCTTCTTAAGAGACTGGAGGCATACTGGACATTTATGCAAGGCCATGAAGAGAAGGGACCGGTGTTGTCAGCGGTGGAGGAGGTTAGGCCTGGGACGCTGGGCCCAGATGGGGCTGGGAAAGTGGAGAGCGGGAAGTTGGGCAGCAAGAGAACAATGGGGCCCTTCGGCGGGCACAGAAGACTTTGGACTTCGGGGCCACGGAGGGACAGAATTGGACACAAGGGCTGGGGGTGTAGTATGAGCCCAGCCTGGGGCTCCATCCCCAGCACCAAAACAGCTCATGTGCCTTGGGAATGGAAGGGAGCAGAGAAGCGCTCAGGGCGCAGCAGCCATCCAGCTGAAGAGGAGACAGCTTGCGAGCCCGGCAGGCATCTGCAGCCTCTGAACTGTCCCTCCCAGCCCCGGTCTGTGGACCCGGAAGCAGCAGCATGGCCTTCTCTTGAGGAGAGGTGGACACAGTTGTGGCGTGGGAAGAGTTTCAGATCTGTCCCGACACGAAGGCTCTGGTGAAGCTCCTGGGATGTCATGTGCTCCTGGGGCTGGCACAGAGTGGAGTGAGGGCTCTCGTGTCCTCTAGAAGGTGGACGGACACCTCCTCTGCCTCCCACACCAGGCAGCTGGGTTTAGACCTGTACTGGAGATACTCAGACAGCCTGAGCTGTCCTTCCGGCCATTCAGCCACAGCCTGCATGTCATACGCACATCCCCACCAAATAGGCTGTCCCCAGCACAGGGTACAGGGAACCCATGGGTACTGGGGACCCCCAGGGAGATGAGGGCTGGCAGTGCGAGGGCAGGTTGGAGCAGAACTGTGGTCTGCATGCAGCATGCCATCTGAGTTTAGGCTGTGCAGTCAGCCTCAGCCAGCCAGTCTTTTTTGTTGTTTGGTTTTGGCTTTTTGTGACTTTTTTGTTTTCTTTTAAAACAGGGTCTTACTCTGCAGTTCAGGCTGGCCTTGAGCTCACTTTGTGCCCATGTTGGTCTCAAACTTGCAGCAATCCTCCTGCCTCGGCCTCCCAAGTGCTGGCATTACAGGTGCATGTTAACACACCTGGCAACCATCCAGTTTTGTTTTGTTTTTTTAACTGAACAGGACCAAACCTACATGTGTAGGTACACTGCCACCAAGTGGGTGGATTCTCTGTTACCGGCATGTGTTCCAAAATATAAGACACACATAATAGATGTGTCTCACCAGAGAGAAAGACAGGTTTTCTTTCTTCTTGTTAAAATGTTATTTTCCTTTACTTTTTGCAGTGTTGTGGATCAAACCTGGAGTTTTGCACATGGAATGTGAGTGTTCTACCACTGAGCTGTATCCGTGGTTCCTGCCATTTTATTTTAAACAATCTAGGGTGGAGGCATCAAGCAGAGAGTTTATCTAGGGTACAGTTTAAAATAAGTATTTAGATATACAAGTAAAAAATATATATATGCTTTTTGCTAATGCTTAATGATTAGTAATTATAATTCTTTTAGCAGTAGTAAAGTTTTAGTAAAGGTAGGAAAAGAAACAGACTCTGCAGAGCGAGTCTGAGTCAAGCAAAAGTAGGAGAATGAGTACAGCCCACAGTGTGGGCATCTCACTATGTATTTGAACATATCAGCCTTTGAATTCACTCTGTAACACCTCAAATATACAGTGATCCTCCTGCCTCAGCTTCCCACGTGCTGGGATTACAGATGTGCATCACCACGCCTGGCTCTTTTTTATTTGTATTTTTGAGAGAATGTCACTATGCTACCCAAAGTGGCCTTGAACTCCTGGGCTCAAGTAATCCTCCTGCCTCAGCTTTCCAGGTAACTAGGACTACAGGCAAGCAAAATTAAATCTATAATACCATCATGTTTAGCAAAATTAAAGGTATAATAACAAATTTGAGGACTTTTTTTGGAGATAGGATCTTACCATGTAATGCAGGCTAGCCTTGAACTAGAGCCCAGGCTGGTCTTAAACTTGTGGGACTCATCCTGTCTCAGTCTCCTTGAGTGTAGGAATTACAGGCTTGCACCACTATGATCAGTTACAATACCAAATTTTTCACACTGGACAAATACACCTTTTTGTAATGATCTAGAACTCTACCCTCAAGTTATGATCCACTTAGCCCTAAGAAGTCCTTTCAAAAGCAGATTTCAAGCAGCAGCTGCCATGAGGACCAGGAGGAGAACCAAGAAGCCAATCCAAGCCTTCCTGTGAGCCAGCCAGCACTCCAGCTGGGAAACAAAAAGAGCACTGCTGCCCCACCCCACAAGCCCCTCCTGTAAGGGACCATCTGACTTGGAGGAACACTGGCTGAGATGACGAGAACTGAAGTAAAACAAACAGCCTAATGCTTGAATTGACTGACTGACTTTGCAAGCCTAGATCTGGTAGTTCGAGCATCTATTCAGAGGATAACAATATGCAATATAGCAAGTATGGGGGATTTCTTTCTGTCTTTTTTTTGAAACCCAATATTGTTCTCACTGTTTTGTTTTGTTTTATTCCCTTTAAAATAAAAAAATAAATTTTAAAAAGGCAGATTTCACAGCTGTCAAGATTTGGAATTTTCTTCTTTTTTTTTCTTGGTACTGGGAATCAAACTCCCAACCTCATGGTTGCCAGGTGGGTGCTGTGTCACTGAGCTATATCCATGGTCCAGGATTTGGATATTTTAATTTCATGATCCTTCTTCTGTAGGTGGGGCAAGATATATATAAAGCTGTTATATATATAACCATAGCTGTATATACCTCCTTCCTACTTCTTCCCTAAAGGTATTTCCCAGAGGGTTTTGAGATTTCTCTCCTCTTTTCCAGGAAGCAAATAAAAAAGCGTGGTATAGACCCGACCCTATCCATTTTTTGATTGTGGTGCAAGGGATTGATCTGAGGGCCTCTTCACTGAGCTAAACTCCCAGCCCTTTTTGGGGAAGACAGTCCTGTAAAGTCACTCAGCTGCCTAGGCTGGTTTTGGCCTTGTGACCCTCCTGCCTCAGCCGCTCAGGGTACCAAAATTACAGGTTTGTGCTACCACATCCAACATTACCCTTCACCCAGTTATGTCTTAGATAAGGTTAACTGCTAAAAAATTAAACTCAAGCCGGCACAATGGCACATATCTGCAATCCCCGCACTCGGTAGGCTGAGGCAAGAGGCTCCCTTTGAGGCAAAGCTAACCTGAATTGCATAGTGAAACCCTATCTCAGAAAGACCAAAACAAAAAAAAAGGAAGAAAAAAGAAATAAAGGAAGGAAGGAAGGAAAAGAGAGAGAGAAAGATAGATTGATTTTAAGTTCAATTCCTGGTACCCCTTCCAAAAAATAGAAAAAAAGGAAGAAAAAAGAAAAGAAGAGAAATCCCACAGTGTCCTCCTATATATAGTCTATATAGACTATATATAGTCTTTTTTCCCTTTCCTTTTTATCGGTACCAGGGATCGAACTCACGACTGCCTGCTTGAAAGGCAGGCGTTTATGCCGCTGAGTTAAATCCCCAGCCCCTTAAATAAATATTTCAAGGCTGATGGTAATGAAAAAGGAAAACAATTCAGAAGTACTTAATGTATTAATACTTATTTTTAATATAGTAACTTTATATTCCCCTCAAACTTACTTCTTGGTGTTAACTGCCAAGTTGCAGCGATTTTCAAGCCTCAGTGACCGTGACCCACAGAGAAACAAATGCGTCACTCAGCTCTGCCTGGATAGGGCAGTAGTGTTTTCTGTTCGTTCTTTTTAACTTTTTTGTTAATGCTACTGAGTCAAGCCACATGAAACCAGTGTGTCTCATGATTTCCTGCTCCAGCCTCCTTCGTGCTGGAATTACAGCCGTGTGCCATCACACTAGGTTTCTCTGCACTTTTTTTTTTTTTTTAACCAGTACCGGGGATCGAATTCACAACCACGCGCTTGCAAGGCAAGCGCTTATGCCGCTGACCTAAATCCCCAGCCCCTCTCTACACTTCTTGAGCGCCAAAATGAACAAAACTCTTGGGAAAAGTCATGGAACAAGAAGCATTTACTGAGCATCTATTATATGCCAGCTGCATGCTAAGCTCCACTTGGACCTCACTGGCTCATCCTCTCGAGGAGAAACTGCACTTCTCAACCTGCAGCTTTGGCATCTCCGGCGGTACAATTCTTCATGCAGCGTCTATTCCCTGCATTGCAGCGCGCTGAGTCCTCTAAATGACAAGGACTCTTGTTTCGTCACTGGAAGAGTCGCTCCACGCACACTTCAAAACGGCCTCTAGAGGGCATCACTGCCCTTGAGAATTATGCCAGCCAGAAAGGGGGCAGCCCCATTTTCTGCTGGCCACTGGTACATTTAGGACGATGCCAAAGCCCAGGATGAGAGGATTTGGTCTGGGTTTCCCGGGAACAGGGTCAAACACTGGCCCGGATAAGTTCGTCAACACTTCTGGGTCGAGTAGTCCCCACCCCGTTGGGATGCAACTCAGGAATTTCAGGTTCGCTTTCCCAGCTGAGACCTCAGGTCCTGGGAGGAAGGGACAGGGATTCTGCCTTTGTGCCCCTAACGCCCGGCCCCCAGGAAGCCAAGGGTTAACGCTGGGTAGCGCAGGGTCCCAGCGACCGCTAGGGGACGCCCCGCTGTGGCTACGCCCGGCGCTCACGGTCACATAGGGGCGGGACCAAACGAACAGGTAGCCAATCGGCTGTGCTATTAGTGGGCATGGTGGCCAATAAGAACAGGGTGTGGGGTCCCGGGACTGAAGGAAACGACGATCGGGAGGGGGCTCCGGGACCATGGGCCTTTTGACCATCCTGAAGAAGATGAAGCAGAAAGAACGGGAGTTGCGACTGCTTATGCTGTATCCTCCCGGGCGCCGGTGCCTCGAGGGTAGGAATCCCGCTGGGCAGGAGCCCCCTACCGGGCGCGGAGCGCGGCTGCTGGCCGGTACCAACTGCCCACAGTGCGTACGCACGTGGGACCTACCAACTCGCTCTGGGGCGTGGGGGGCGTATCACCAGCAGGGCGGAGGTGTTTCCGGATTCGTAAGGCCAGAGGCAGGGCCTCGGGGCGCCGCGCAGGACCGGTGTCCTTCATGTAATGGAGATGCAGCGAGCTCTGGGGACTCATACGTAACTGTCCTCACTGCGGCCCGAGCGTGGGCCCCTCGCCTCCCAGCCCTGACCCTGTGCTGTCCGGCGGGCCGGCCCCGCCCTCGGGTCGGAATCGCGGGGCGCTGGGTCCCTTGAGCGTGCGGGCGCCACTGAGCCTGAGTCCGGCCGGCCATCCTTGTTGCCCCGTAGCCTCGAGCTCAGCTCCGAGAAAAGCCCAGAGAGGCCTCTCATTCAGTAGACACTGAGAGCCCACTGTGTGCTAAGTAGGCACTGCCCTGGGTGCTGGAGTAAAAACCCAAAACAAGGCAACCTGGCCTTTGTGGAAATACTGTAATGCAGGGAGAACGGGAGAAACTAAAGCAAACAAGTGAAATAGGTGGGATGGATGAGAAAAATGTAATTCAGGGCGCTCAAAGAGGGCCACACGAAAAGTGACCATTAGGTAAAGAGATGAGGGATGAATAGTGCATAAGCCTAGAGACAGACTGTTGAGAGCAAAGGCATGGTGCAAAGGCTCTGAAGGGACATGGTTGGTGTCTTCAAGGCAATGTGGAGTGTGGCTTGAGGGGGCGAGGAGCAGGGGTGACGAGGAGTTGGGTTCTTGGTTTTCCTGTTCGGTGAGAAGAGCAGAGAAAAAGCCATGGTTGTGACCGCTTAGGCGGTGGCACTAATGCAGCGGACATAGGGTGGTAGTTTGTACCAGAATGGAAGTCATGAGGTCGTGAGATTAGGGGGACATTAGGACAGCAGCGCCAGTGAGAGTTGTTGCCAGATTGAAAGTGTGGTGGGCGGGACTGAAGCCAGGATGACCCCTGGGTTTCTGGTCTGAGCTGTTGGAAGGACTAGGAGAAGAGCAGGGGAAAGTAACGGTTCACGTGCTGTTTTGGCCATGTGAGTGCCTGTAGGTCGGTGATGGCGAACCTTCTAGAGAGGAGCACCCAAACTGCAACCCCGAACCCACTTATTTATTGCAAAATGGCAGCACTGCAATTACACCTCAATATTGAGGTTTTAGTTTAGGAGGAAAAAAAAAAAAACAGTCAAACACTAACATCTTTTGTCTTAACATCCATGCTATAGGTTCACCATCCTAGAAATGTCAGGTATGTAGCTAGGTACAGGGACCAATGTCCAGGGGAGCCGAGGGGAGGCATCAGCATAGAGCTGGAAATTGAGCCATGAACCTAGGGAGACTCACCCAGCCAGTGGGGGGACAGAGAAGAGAGCCAGGAGGAGCAAGACTGAACGGGGGAAAGTGAGTCCCTGGTCATGTGCTGTGGGCCGGGGCTGCCTGGCTGGGGAGAGCAGCAAGAGGCCTTTGGGGACCAGGTTTGGGGAGCTGTGAGAGCCACAGTCTGGTGGGAACAAGAGCAGGAAGCCAGAGGGTGCCCTGAGTAGGAGCTGCTTTTGTGAGGAGAGGGAAGGGAAGAGGACCTGGAGAGGATTCTTCGCTGCATGTGAGGATGAAGAGGCACAGTGGATTTGTCAGCCAGTGGGGACCCAGGGAAGAGCAAAGCACAGTTGATGGGATAAGGAGACTGGCAGTCATCCGCAGCCAGTTTCAGGGTCCACTCTCTGGCCCTGGTCAGGTGAACAGGAAGAGGCACTGAGTCCAGGGCCTGTCCCCTACATTCTTCCAAGTCACAGATGCCCTCTGTGTTGGAAAGAGAAGAGGGCTAGATCTCTCCCGCCAAGCTCATCCATTTGTTTGCTCGATGCAGCAGAGAGTGTGGAACATTCCAGAAGCAGAGATGAAAGTGGGTGCCTCCAAATATTTGCTCTTCACTTGGTGCTTCAAAGAGCTGGCTCCAGGGGCCCAGGGTATAGCTCAGTGGCATAAGCGCCTGCCTAGCAAACACAAGGTTCTAAGTTCAATTCCTGGCATTTAAAAAAAAAAAAAAAGCTGGCCCCAGTCAGGCATGTTAGTGCACAGCTGTAATCCTAGCTACTCTGGAGGCTGAGGCAGGAGGATTACAAATTGAGGTTGGACTGCACAATTTACCATGACATCTCAAAATTTAAAAGAAAGAAGTTTAGGGAATGTAGCTGAATGGCAGCGCTCCTCTGGCCTCGGTACCACACACACACACACACACACACACACACACACACATCACACATATATACAAGATGGCCCCTTGTATCTCAGGCCACACACACACACACACACATATCACACATATATACAAGATAGCCCCTTGTATCTCAGGCCTGAAATCAAGTTACCCAAGAAGCCTGTCTGAAGCCTGTGCGGCCAGCCTGAGCTAGGAGCCCCTAACTAATCTGCTGTACTGGCCAAGCTGACCTTGCTTGGTTCTCATTTGTGTGCATACAGTATGGTCTCCCTGCCAGTGTGTAGCTTTGTAGGGCAGGAACGTGGTCCTCCACCACCCAGGGAGCCTGGTGCACAGTAGGTTTTCAGCCAGTATTCGTTGCATAAATTAAATGTTTGATTGACAGACAATATAATTACTTATTTGGTTTGTTTTGTTCAAGACACAGTCTCACTATGTAGTTCTGTAGCTCAGGCTGGCCTCAGCCTCACAGTAAACCACTCCTCCCAAATGCTGGGATTACTGGGGTACACCTTCACACCCGGCTAAAATTGCATCTTGACACTTGTACATTTATAATGGGCCAGCGCTAGGCCAGCAGGATGCATGTACTGAACTCTGATACGTGGTGGTAAATGATTGGTCCCCTAAGTGAGGTCACCAGAGCACAGGGCTTTGTCCTTAACCCACTGACTCAAGCGGCCTGGACAATGCTGGCAAAACCACTATCCTTAAAAAGTTCAATGGAGAAGACGTGGATACCATTTCCCCGACACTTGGCTTCAACATCAAGACCCTGGAGCACCGAGGGTGAGCCGAAGTCCTCAACTGCCAGGGCGGGCAGGGTGGGCGAGGTGGGAAGGGTCTGCTGACCCCACCTCTGGCCCTGCCCAGGTTCAAGTTGAATGTCTGGGATGTGGGTGGCCAAAAGTCACTGCGCTCTTATTGGCGGAACTACTTCGAGAGCACTGATGGCCTCATCTGGGTGGTGGACAGTGCTGACCGGCAGCGCCTACAGGACTGTGCCAGGGAGTTGCAGGGCCTGCTGGTGGAGGAGGTGAGTGGTGATGGGGGGCGGGTGAGACTGTGCCCAGCACGCACTGCCCTACACTTAGCTATCCTTCACCTTACTCAGATGACCACTGAAGACAGGGTTTTTTAGTTGCCTGTGAGCCTGAGGTTGGAGGAGCACTGTGAGTTCGAGGCCAGCCTGAGCCACACAGTGAGACCCTATGTTAAAACAACAAAAAAGGCAGGATCTAGCCCTGTGTGGCATCGTACTCCTATAATCCCAGCACTTGGGAGGCTGAGGCAGGAGGATCGCTTGTGAGTTCAAGGCCAACCTGGGCTACATACAGAGTTCAAGGCCTTGTCTCAAAAAGCAAAACAAGCAGGTAGGGATTTAGCTAAGTGGCACAAGTGCCTGCCTGGCATGTGCAAGATCCTGAGTTTGATCCCCAGTACCAAAAAAAAAAAAAAAAAGAAAGAAAGAAATGGAGCTCAGTGCTCCTGGGTTCAATCCGTAGTATCAAAAAAAAAAAAAAGAATAAAAAGGAAAGAAGTGGAGGAGGGGAGTTGACAACTGTCACACTAGGAGTCTTGGGGGAGCTCACTTAAGGCCAGTGTGTGAAGCACTGACTCTGCTGTGTGACCTCAGGAAGGCACCTAAGCACTCAGAGCCCCTGCTTGCACGTCCCTACCACAGGGGTTATAATCAAGCTGACCTTGTAATTTAGCATCTGGTCCAAAACAGCTTTCTTTAAAGTAAATTTCAGAGCTACAGTACATGTACACAGATACCCCAGATAACCTTCACCCCACTTGCCTGATGTTAACATCTCACGTAGGATGCCTCAGGGTACCTGTCAGAAGGAAGAAATTGGCACTGGTACATTACTGTTATCTTAACTACTGGTCTTAGGGTTCACCAGTTTTCTCTCTAGTGTGTTTGTTCCAGGATTTGATTCTGTTTACTGCATTGTGTTTCCCTGAGTGTCAAGGAGGGAGCCATCAGTGACTATTGAGGACCTGTGGGCAGCCAGTGACCCACAGGGACAGGGTCACCTGTAGAACTGTAGCCAGGCCTGTCGGGTGGAAGCCCAGAGAGCTGTATCACCCCAACTACTCCAGGACTCCAGGCTGCAGACACGTGCATGGGTGTCACTAGGACCAGACACACCGAGCTCTGTGGAGGGGCGTATGAAAGGCTGCATGCCAGGCCATCAGACTGAGCTGTCTAGAGCCTCAGAGGCCTCAGATCACCTTGCCCAGCACCCTTCCCTGCTTACGGAAGGGGAGACTGAGGCACAGAGGTGGGAAGTACCTACTGGGCCAGACCGGCCTCAAGGGCTGTCTCTATTGGCTGTCCCCACTGCCCACCCCCACCAGGCTCTACCACCACAGGCCTTGCCAGGGCCTTCCAGGTTGGCTTTTGATCCTGGATACCGTGGGCCAGTGCACAAGGGTCCAGGCCGCCCTTGGGTTGCCCACCCACCCACATCTTCTCTCCCCAGCGCCTGGCTGGAGCCACCCTCCTCATCTTTGCCAACAAGCAGGACCTGCCAGGAGCGCTGTCCTCTAAGGCCATTCAAGAGGTGAGACCTGGGCCTACAGCGGGCTCACTGGAGAACAGGGCCCATGATTCTTTCTCCGCACATTTCCAGAACATTATTCAGCCCTGCCATGTGGGGCACCAGAAGTCGACTGCCTGCCAAGACACAGGGGTGACCATGGCCAGGGAAAGGCAGACCTGCAAACAGATTAGTCCGTAGGATGCCATGGCCCACACGATGTGTGCCTCCCTGGAGATGCTGTTTGCATGGCTGACTCAGTTCTCACCGCAGCCTCATGAGGCAGGAACAGCGGTCATTTTGCAGGTGGTACAGTGGTCTCAAGCGAGATAAAATGACTTGCCCTGGATCAGACAGCCAGTAGGCAGAAAATCCATGCTCCAAACCCATTCACTCTAACCTGCAGCCGAAGCTTCACTGCATGTCCAGTGCCCAGATGCCAGTGAGAAAGAGCGGGTAGGACAGTGGTTGTCACTGCCTAGTGGTGTGACAAAGACAGCCCTGCTTTCTTCCTTGGTACAGTGGGCAACACAATCCCTAGAAGATACAGAAGAGTGGATGAGACAGCACATGTGGGGTTCCTGGCACAATGCCTGGGTCCTGCAGTCACTTAGGAGCCCATGTTACTTTTATGTCACCCAGGGTGTTGCTGGTGGGGTGCCACGGAAAGCCCAAGTGCCCCTTGTGTGGGAACCCTCACAGGGAACCGGGGTAGCTGCCTGGATGAGGTGACCTTAGAGAAGTGGCATTCGCCAGGGCCAGGGAAAGGGACGGGCATGCCAGGCAGGGCCACATCAGCCAACATACCACGTCTCCATCCCACAGGCCCTGGAGCTGGACTCCATCCACAGCCACCACTGGTGCATCCAGGGCTGCAGCGCTGTCACCGGGGAGAACCTGCTGCTGGGCATTGACTGGCTCCTGGACGACATCTCCAGTCGCATCTTCACAGCCGACTGAGCCATGCCACATGTCCCTGCTCGTGATCCGGGCCCTAGCCACACCACCCATGGGCATGGGCACCAGCCGGCAGACTAACACCCCAGCCCATCCCTAACCTGCTGCTGCTACTGCCGCCTGGGGTTGCCCAGGGCCAAGGAGGAGCGCGCCAGGCCCAGAGAGGGCACTGCTGCTGCTACCAAGGCCCCTCCTTGTCCTCCATTTCTTGAGAATAAAGCACTCCTTGCCTGGCTTATTTGTGATCCTCCACTTCAGAAACTATGCAGGAATGCAGAGTCCCACAGGGGACAGGAAGGAGCAGAGCTGAGGGCTTCTGGGTCAGAGGGCCATGCAGAGGTTACAGCAGCTCAAGCCAGGGATGCAGTAATAACATCTGGAACAACCAAGCAGCTTCCCTGGGAAGATGATGTGAGGGAAGAGTGAAGGTGCCTGGGTAGAAGACTGGAGGGTGGTTCACCAAGGCGACTGTAACTCTCACTGGTGGGAATCAGAGAAAGGGACGTAGCCCCAGGCCAGGGCTCAGAGATGACTGAATAGAACTAGGCTGAAATTCAGCTCCCAACTTAACATTCCAGCCAGGCCTCCTTGTGCAGTGGACAACCTGCCCAGCTGTATGAGGCATCACAGCTCAAGCAGAGACCTGAGGAGTACATGGTACGGGAGTGTGGCAGTGGGGAGGGGACTACCACAGGCAGGGGTGGTTAAGGCTTTTCTGAAGGTTATAGGCCACCTGGGTCTTGATTGGAGCAGCAGGAGTGCTGGGCATCTGTCTTCACCTGCAGGGCCAGGGCTCTGTGCTGCATGCTCCCCATGCCAGTAACCAGCTATTCAAGAAGCTGCAAGAGTAGTGTGGCAGCTCAGTGAGACCTGGTCTCAAAATAAAAGGGCTGCAGGTGGGGAACTTACCTGGCATTCCTGAAGCCCTGATTTCCACCCCAGCACCAGAGGAAGCAGGGCCGAGAGTGGGAAAGCAAGTCCTGAGCAGTGCGGTCAGCAGCATCCCCTGGCCTTTTGCAGAGGTCACTGCCCTCAGGAGGGGAGCAGCTCACTCCAAGCCCCCAGCTAGGATAGGAGCTGATCTCAGACCCAGTGCAGTGTGCTCAGCCCCTCCATAACACTGTGTCTCAAGGACGCACAGCCTTGACCTCTGCTTGAAATCCAAATGGCAGGGACAGACCCAGGCCTGCCTCCTGGTGGGAACCTGCCTGAGTGCAGAAGGGAAAGAAAAGGCCAGGAAGACCCTGCACCCCCAGCACCCTCCACCCAGCTGAGCCCCAAAGGCCAAAGAACAGGCCCCCACCCAGACTGCACAAAAGCTGGGTCTCAGGACAAAAGGGAAGCCAGGCATAATGGCTCACGCCTGTAATCCCAGCACTCGGGAGGCTGAGGCAGGAGGATCGTTGTGAGTTCGAGACTAGCCTGGGCTACAAAGTGAGCTCAAGGCCAGCCTGAACTGCATAGCAAGACCCTGTCTCAAAAAGACAAAAAAAAGGACAGAAAGGAAATGACCTCGAGGTGGAGTGAACCTCAGCACGACATTTCAGAGCCCCTCTGCCCAGCCCCATAGTCCTGGGGAAGCCAAACACCAGCCCTGCTACATCCTCATCCTTGCCGAGCAAGCCACCTGGCCTGCCTTGCCTCAGTTTCCCCATCTGGGGAAAGGTAGGACACCCACCTCTGAGGGCTGGGATGAGTGTCAGCTATGGGCACTGCTTAACCTGGTGGGAGTTTACGCAGAGTCGGCCAAGGGGAACTTAGCCATCTGCTGACACAAAGGAGTCACTAGCGCCAATCTCCTGAAACAGGTGCATGGCGAATGGCTTAAATAGAAAGTGGTATGGTTCTGGGGAGTCCAGGAAGGTCAGAACTCTCTCAGGAGTAAAAACAAAAGCTTCTCTGGACAGCCTGTATTTATTTGGTTTTCAAACAAAGGGAAGTGGTACTGAGGCAAGGTGGGAACTTAGGGTTAGGGTTAAGATTAGGGACCTCGGGAAATGTAGTTGTGGGTACGCGGAGAACAATTACATACAGGACATAGAATTTATAGTATTATTTTATGATGGTCACCCAGAGTTAAATTCAGGGCAGGAAATCTGTCCACAACAGGAAAGACCTAGAAAATACAGCCGATGGATCCTATGGCAACATCCTGCATGAGTCCAGCTGAAGACCTAGAGCCCATGACAATGCCTCCCACGAGTCCAGCTGGAAGTCCAGAGCCCACAACAATGACTCATGCCAGTCTGTTTCATGGATCTGAGCCACAAGGCTCAAAAGGTCAGTGATGGAAGCTAGAAATTCTATGCCAGCAGGGTGAAGGAGCTGTGCCGGTAGGTTGAGGGTTCTATACTGGAGCCAAGAAGTGACACTCAAGGCCCAGGGCTTCCCTAGTAACACAGCCAACCTCAATGACAGTGAGGCCTTGAGCTCACCCAACAATGAGAACAGTTAAGTGACCGGCGCAGCTCCAATGAAACAGGAGACAGGAGACGCTTTTGTGGACGACATTTAACTGCTAGTTTATTTACGCGGGCTCTGGTTTATATATTTGGCCGTGACCAATCACAGGCTGCCACAAGGAAGCAGGGCGGGAATGGGATGCAGGCTCTGGCTAGTATATCCAGCTGTGGCCAATCAGGAGTTGCCACAGAGTACGGAGTAGAGCGCGGGGTGCGCACGGGTTGGCTAATTTAAAGAGGGACGTAGCGCATTGCGGAAGCTGGCGTGGTCCTTAGTCCCGGCTGGGGTATGATATGTTGAGCGCCTGCGCCCAACAGTTAAGTACATGGCCAGGAAGCCAGTGTGACAAGTTTCTCCTGGAGACCCAGGAAGTGATGCTCAACATAAGAACCAGAGCTCCCCCAAAGTGAACTGCAGCCATTCTCAGTGATAAGGTCCTGAACTCCTCTGATGATCATGGGCGAGTTCATATCAGGAGAACCAATGGCTCCAACCAATGATATTTAGGAGAACCCACACTGCCCTGCTCTTCCTCTCCACGTCTCCTTTCATGCTGGCAACTTCCCTCAGGTGGGCTATCTACACGCAGCACTGTGCAGATTTAATTCAGCTGGTGTTAAATTGACCACCAGCTTTTAATTCATAACAGAACATTAGTTCAAAAACTTCTTTGAGCAGTAAATGTTGCCACTTAAGAGAACTCTTCTATCTCTCAGGGGAGCAGCTTTATTGTTCTGGCAAGGGGGTGTCAGCAGCCCAGTTGGCAGCCTCGCCTATGGTGTCATCTTGACTTTAGAGCACTGAGTATGAGCTTTTCCAACACAGCCAGAGGTCCCTTCATGGTTAACAATTTAACCCTTGCATAGTCTGGCCTCCAACACCACTCCCTTTTCTCTTCCCCATCTGTCCTCTATCTTTGAGGCAAAGTGTTGCTATACAGACCAGGCTGAGCTTGAACTTACTGTGTAGCCACAGCTGGCATTGAACTTGCAATCTTCCTGCCTCAGCCTCCTGAGTACTAGACTCATAGATGTGCACCACCACACCTGGCTAAAACCCATCCCATCTCAGAGCCTCCAGAAGCTCATTCTGGAGTCATTTTTCTCTCCCCATTGGCTGCAATCCAGCACCACAGACTAAGGAACAAGTTACCAGGAGCTCAACCCACACAAAGACATTACGGCCTGTGACTGTGGGCTGCCTTCCAACAGGTTTTTCCTCTAGCTTAACACTGATTGTAGCACAAGTGACCGCCACCCTGGGTTTGACAGCAACTGGTCTCCACTGGGCCCAGAGGGACAGTATCAACCCCACCACCTTGCAGACCTCATGACGGACCCATGAAGGCCTTGTTCATTTACAGAGTGTCAAGCAACTTGGTTCTGTCACCAGACGGATCTGAGGGGTCACCCAAAAAGGAGATGGGGATCTCTGAGCTCAGCCTGCTAGGCTGGTTCTTGATTCACATCATGGAGATAGGAAGAACTTTAGGCAGCCTCGCTGTGAAACCCAGGCAGGTTCATTATGCAGAACTGCACAGCGAAGGAGATTAGGAAGGACTCCACCTAGAGGAGCCCGAGGGGCTCACTCTGATGCAGGGGTTCAGCCTGGTCACTCCCAAAAGCAGAATCAGCTGAGGAGGGCCAGGACCAGAGGTCCCTGGCTCTGGAGGAATCCCACAGCTTCGGGCTGCTCTGTTCCCACAAGGTGACTGCTTCTACATGGGGTGGTCTCAGCCCTGCAAGGCTCTGCTGGCACCCAAGGTGAGCCTAAGTTTGGGGCAGTGGACCTTAGGGCACAGCTAAACGTCCCTGTAAATCTCTCAGCGTCCTCATATATTGAAGCGTGATGAGATAGGCTAAAATAAAGGATAGAAAGTGAAGGTCAAGCTTTGTTCTACTCCTAGTAACCTCTGGTAACGGATCTGTCACCCCAAGTCAAGTCATGGTTTTTAGGAAAAACCACCCAGAAGTCCCTATTATTCTTTTTTTTTTTTTTTTAAAGCAATCCTCCTGCATCAGCCTCCTAAGAGCTGGAATTACTGGCATGCACCATCACACCTGGCCCCTGTTTATCTTAGAACAAAAGATAAATCATGGCTTAAATGGGTAATGGATTAAAGGCCCAGGAGATTGTGCCCTGCTCCTACAGTGGTCTCTGTTACCTTTTTATGGGTCACTTTCCTTCCCTCACACAAAGACATGGCAGCACTTGCTCCAGCATGTTCGCCAGGCTCCCACCAGAACCACTTACAGTTGCTACTGGCCAGGATTGCAGCCACTGACTTCCCAACTCTTCCCTGCAATCCCCTCTGCTGGGCAGCTTAAGCCATCCTGTTAAAGCCCACAGTCAGCGGCTGCACACTCTGACCCAGTTCCTATCTTGTGGCTGGGGCAAAATACTTGCACCTTAAAGGAGGAGAGGTTTATTTTGGCTCATGGTTCCAGTCCATGGTCACCTGGCTCCAAGATAGCAGACGGGCCTAATGGAAGAAGCAGTGGTTGGAAACCAGGAAGCAGAGAGAGAGGGGAGGGGCTGGGGACCAGAAAAACACCCCTCCAGGCCACGCCCCAGGCCACACCTCCTAAACAACACATTCTGCTACTGATCCAGGGCCTCCAAGACTTTTGGGGGAAATTTTATTTATTTACTTATTTTTTGGCTTTTTTTGAGACAGGGTCTCAATATGTAGAACGCCCTGGCTTTGAACTTACGGCAATCCTCCTGCCTCAGCCTCCCAAATTTGGGGAAATTTTAGATCTAAACCCTAACCTACCCACCTGCCCATTCTCAGGGATACCAGCTTCCAGTTTACCAACACAAGAGGCAACCATGAGAACACTGAAGTCTGCCTGAGAGGTGCTGCTAATCAGGGTTTTAAGTCTGTGTGTCCTGGAGCATCAATATTAGTTAAATAGCATTTGTTGGTTTCAGTTTTTCACAGAAAGTCAGGCACTTGGCTTCAATGATTCTTTCAGCCATCTCTCTGTGATTCTAGGTGGGATGGCTGGGAGGGGGCCCTTGCTTGAACCTACCATTCAGTGGGAACAGTGTAGACAGGCCTTTTCCTTCCTCATTCTGGTTTGGACGCAGTGGTGGTTTTCACTGTGTTGGCATTCTGGCAGTCAACCATTAGAAAAAGCTTCATGGGCTGGGGATTTAGCTCAGTGGCATAAGCGCCTGCCTTGCAAGCGCACAGTCATGAGTTCAATCCCCAGTACCAAAAACAAAAAAGAAAAAGAAAGCAAAGAAAAAGCTTCATGTCCCATGATGAATGTGTTCATTATGAATTGCAAATATGTACTAACAAAAAAGAAAAGAAAAAGCTTTGCTCTCACAGATTTTATTGTCACTGATTCTTCGAGGGTTCTTTTGCTTGATTCAAATAAAAATCATGAGTGGGCAAAGTGCAGCCCTGCTCGATGCTGCAGGTCAACACCAGTCCATGCTGGACAGCAGCTGTCCTGTCAGCTGCTGGGCTCTGCCACTGCGAGCCACCACTGTCTGACTCTGGCTCATGCTGGGTGCCATCAGTCAACGCTGCTGATTGCTGCTCTTGTCACTGATCTTTGTTGGCTGTTGGTCTCTAAAACTCTTCAGGGCTAAAGATCTCTCTTCTTACTCTTCCTCCAATCACTCTGTCACACTACTCAGGATCGACAGAGGCTATACTACCTGAGAAATCAATCCCAAGCAGAGTTACAGACCCACCCAGACGAGGCTGTCCTTTAGTAGGATCTGTGCAGGCAGGTCACTAACACCAGAGGAGGGGCCAGGAGGGGACTCAGGGTAGTGCTGCTCACGTAGCAGCTGCAAGGCCTGTGACTGGTCCAAGGCAATGCAGGGCGGTCAGGACAGCTGCAGCTGTCATGGCAGCAGTTCAGGGAAATGTGGGGCCACAGGAGTTGTGTGATTGACAGCAGTCACATCTCCACAAAAAATGGCAGGTCAAAAGAGAAGAATCTTCAAGAAGGCTCGCTGTGTTCATCACAGGGGTTTGGGGAGGTTAGGTATATTTTATTTTATTTTATTTATTTTTGGGGGGGACTCGATATGTAGTCCAAGGAGGCCTTGAACTCACTATGTAGCCCAGGTTGGCCTCAAACTCACAGCAGTCCTCCTGCCTCAGCCTTCCGAGTGCAGGGATTACAGACGTATGCCACACAATTGGCTGTGTTAATAGTGGGCCTGGATCCCTTTCTCCTTGATCTTGGCCAGGTTCAGGGTGCACCTTCCCGCATAGAATAAAGGGATGCCACCCTCTGGAGTGGCATTAGGGGACAGGGGTACTATGGTGAGGGCCACACTCCACCCACTGTCCGTGTCTGGAAGGACAGAGACTGTTAAATAACTAGGGAGTGGCCAGGGGTCTAGCTCAGCAGCAAATCCAAGGTCGTCAGTTCAATCCCTGGTACAAAAAAACAAACAAACAAACAAAAAAATAACTGAGGAGGACCCTGAGGCAAGTTGTCCCAGCCCACTGCGGTGGGGGGCGGGTCTAAAGTAACTGGGCGGGGCATGGCAGTTTAGTCCAAACAACTCCCTCCCCGCTGGTTTGGAAAAGGAGAGAGCCTCTTTCCCAGATAATAAACATGCCATTCTACTGAGGGAAACTGAGGCTCAAGCAGTTAAAAGAAAACTCAGCTAGTAAGAGTTGTGACTTCGGAGCCCTGACATCATCTTGCTCCTCTGGCATCCTTTTTGGTTCTCCCATGCTTCCAAAAAATATGAATTAGGGAAACCTGAGGAAGGAGATGTAGAAAAAATTTGGCTATGTCTGGGACATACTGGACAACAAAAGTTGGACAATGTGACCCATGCTTGGGCAATGTGACACAGCTACCCCCGAGGCTGAGGTAGGAGAATCACTCGACCCCAGGAATTCGAGGTCAACCTGGGCAACACTGCAAGATCCAAGTTCAAAAATAATAAAAAATTGGGCTCAGTGGGCGGGGATTTAGCTCAGCGGTGCAAGCTCCTGCCTGGCAAACACAACGTTGTGAATTCGATCTGTGGTACGACCAAAAAAGAAATAAACAAAAAATAATAAAAAATTAAATTAAATTAAATTGGGCTGGGGATTTAGCTCAGCAGCATAAGTGCCTGCCTTGCAAGCAGGCAGTCTTGAGTTCAATCCCCGGTACCGGTAAAAACGAAAAAGACAAAAAAAAAAAAAAAATTTAAATTAATGAAAGTGGGATGGATGGATGGAAGAAGCAAAGTAGGGGATAAGGAGGCTGGGGATTTAGCTCAGCGGCATAAGCGCTTGCCTTGCAAGTGTAAGTTCGATCCCTGGTACCGATAAAAACAAAAAAGACCAAAAAAAAAAAAAAAAAAGAGTCAAAGTAGGGTATAAGCCGTTTGGAGGAGTGTGAGGAGGGTTTACGCAGGAATAGGGTGGGTTCCATGGCCTCCAACGTACAGCCACAATCTCCTACACACACACCAATCCTTGCTGGCAAATTACTAAATTTACGTTTTACCAACAATAGGGAACTTTTTAGACGCTCCCTTGGTCGAGTACAGAAAACAGCATGTCTTTTGCGATTAGCTCCCTGGGCTAGATGAAGCAGGGCGCAGGTCTAGGCGGGGCAGGGGCCGGAGGAGGCCGAACCTGAGGGGTGGGGGCGGCACCCAGGGGTCAGCGCTGCTCCCCTAGGCCGTCATGTCTCGGCAGGCAAAAGATGACTTCCTGCGACACTACACTGTCTCCGACCCCAGGACCCACCCCAAGGGCTACACAGAGTACAAAGTCACCGCACAGGTGAGGTGGGGCCCAGAGGGGACCTTACCTTTTTAAATAAACGGGCTGGTGTTTTAAGGCTAAGCTCTGCAGAAAGCTCCCTTTTTAGACGACCGAAATGCATTTCCCCTTTAAGGGGAACCTGCGGATGGAGCGTTCCTTCGCCATCAGGGGTGGGGCCACGGTAAGGCTCTGCTCTTTTTAAAAGCGCTTGGCCCGCAACTGTGGGACCCGGGGGTGGGTGGGTGTGTGCGACGAGTCGGTGTAGCATCTGGCCATAAGTCTATGAATTTCTCTAACGCGAAAACTGTAGCTTATGTCAAATATTAGTTCTGAGGTCTCTTGGAATGAGTTTAGATTTCTGGTTTTATAAATAAAAGCGCTTTTAAAAGTTTAATTACTTTTAAAAGTACAGACCTGTAGTTTAGATTTTTTTATTTTTTATTTTTTTGTCCTTTTGAGACAGGGCGTCACTTTGTATCCCAGGCTGACCTCGTGCTGGGATTACAGGCACATGCTACTACACCCGGTCTAATCTATCCTTTAAAAAATCCACACACTTCCAAAAGGACTTGAAGATGATAGGATTATTTCCAAAGGATGAAAAGTATTTCCAAAAGATGAGAAGTGTAAAACAAAAAGAGGCCTTTATTCTGAGAACACAGAGAGAGATGACCAGCACCCCCCACCACTGGAGTCCGGGCATCTCTCCAGCAGACCCATGGCGTGGGGGGTATGTAAGTAGCCTCAGTTTGGGGTGGAACCTAAGGGGGCATCAGGGATGCACAGGTAGCCCATTGGTTCTAGGTTTGGCGCCATAGGCAAATTCCCAGGGGCGGGGAAGACACCTTCACAGGTAAATTCCTAGGGAAGGGGGGGATAGGGGCTTCCTGGTTCCAGTTACAGTGTCCGGCTTGGGCCAAAAGCCTTTCATATCCGTCTTATGATTATTATTATGAAAAGGGATGAAGATTTCTCTCTTTAACTACTTCCTGCTGGCAGAGGGCGCTGTACTGGAGCCTAGGGGAGTCAATGGGATGACAGTTGATGCCCAGGTAGACGCTGGTGGCAGGTGTTTTAGCCAGGACAACTTCACTGGTGAATGCACGTATGTTAGACTGAAAAAACAGAGAGACAAGATGTGAGGAGACATGGCACTGTCATATTTAAGGACCCAGGTGAGGTAGAAGGAAAGGTGCCTTTGATTTAGACATGTAATTATATCAGGATGACGTTGAGGTAGGAACATTTCCACGGCAGAATTCTGAAAATTAAATGTAGGGTTAGGAGGAGTGAAGTTATGAAAGGTGATTACTCCCCCATCTGAAAGCATAAAAGTTAAGAGGTAGGCCGGTAAGGCTTGTCTCTGGTATGCATGATGTTGGAGTCTGTAGGCAATACTGTTAAAGAGTCCTGCTGTAAAAATGATCATTAATAGAATGTAAGGAGTTAGGAACCAAAGTGGATAACAAAACATGACTTAGGCTGTTAACTGTGGCTGCGAGGCCTTTGTGAAATGGAGACAGGTGGGCAACAGAAGATGAGATGACCACTCAGAATGATCAGATTTAGGGCTGGGAGGGCACCTCTTAGCCTGAGTGATGTGAAACCAGGATGGGAGTCCAGCAACTTTGACTGCTGTTGAGGTTACCAAGAATATCAGGTATGGGTCGCTGTAACCTGGTTGTAATCCTTGGAATGATTTGCTGCAACAGAACTTTAGCAAGTATTCCCTGGTTGTGAGAAAGGCTTTTATGTATCTTGAAAAAGTATAAACAAAGTGAGAAGACAAAAATGTATCTGTCAGTCTTGACTAGGGTTACCTGAGAAATTGGTGAATAAGAAAGGAAGGAGGTGGTCTTACATCACTGAGGAGAGGTTTACTAGTGATAACAGGTGGAAGCCGTTGAGGCTTCAGTGTGTCTAAGTTAGCCTGTATATTTAGGACTGGGACCTGTACGAAATAGGCCCTGTTTGTAAATGGCATAGGTTGACCATCAATACCCCGTCATAGAGATTGAAGACTTAATATAGCAGCCTGAAAACTCAGGAAGAACTCTGTATATATGGCCTCTATGTCCACAAATATAGAGAATTGTCTTACCTGAGACTTTGGTGCGACTTGGACTCTGAGACAGACACCTTAAAGAGGGCTGTTGTTGCCCTGAACCCCCTCAGTCTTCAGCAGCAATTTTTGTCAGTGATGAATCTGGCAGTGTCGACATTTCCTATAAGGGCTAGAAGTTAGGATGGCTTACCCACACTCTGGTGGCTAGGACAGTCCAGCATCCCGGGAGTAAGGTCTCAAAGAATGCCAGGATGGGGCATTTTCTTGCCCAATGTCTTCTGCTGCATTTGAGTGTGGTCCATGGGGGGCCAGGCAGCTCCACCTTGTGTAGGTTTACCTGCCTCAGAACTCCAAGTGTCAAAAGTGTTAAAAATATGAAAAATCATATTAAGATCTCTCTAAGGTTTGAAGGTCAAGTTTTGCCTTTTGTTTGGGATTTGGACTACAGTAGAATTAAGTAAGTATGTAGGAGTTTAATATCGGCATTTGAGATCAGAGAGTCGGCTTTATATGGATGGCATATACTTTTAGGGTGTTGTGTGGAATTATATATTTAATAAAAAAGGCTTTAGTCTGCCCTCCCCCTTTTGGAGTATAATCTCATTTTAATGGAAACATTTTGCAGTAAAGGTTTACCAATTTTATGAATAAATCTATGAAAACTGATCTAATACTGTCAAATTTTGAACATATTTGCTTTTTTAAAACCTGTTATTTGCAGTAATATGAACCAAGACAAATAAAATTTTGTTTTTAGACAATATTAAAACTTTTAACAAAACCCTTGTCTTGGAACAGAGCTAGTGGTTTCCAACAAAAAGGAATTTATAACCTTAGTTGTTAAACAGGAGATTGGTGAAGGCTTTGATTGATAAACAAGGCTGGTAAAATTATCAGGTGGCCAATAACCTTGATTAAATGGTTTGAGAATTGTAATTAAAAAATAGCATCTTTTGAGTGGAATGGAACTAAAAAAAAAGTATGCCTGAGCGGAGCCGCTGAGCTGCTGTTTTGCGGCATGCCAGCAGAGCACGCCCAGCATGGGGGTGGGGCGAGCGTCGGGACATAGTGTGCAGGGGAGGACTGGGACTGTACCCGGAAAGCATAAGGCAGCGGCAATGATGGCACAAGGGGGAGGGAGGGCCTGGGACAGCGCATGGGGGAGGGGCTGGGAGGTGGCCTGACACAGCGCGTGAAGCTAAAACTGCTCGCGGGGCGTGAGGATTAGAAAGCCAATTTAGGAACACAGCTGGGTTTTGATTAGCCTCCTGGACCTGTTGTAAAAGTTTGTTGTAGTTAGTGTGCTTGTGAGCAATATTGTTAAGGCCCACAATCAGACATTTAATCATCTTATGTAATTTTGTTGAACCTTGTCCATTCTGATAGTTCTAGTTAGGATCTTGTTCTGGCACAGCTACAGGTCCAGGGTCATTATCAGCTGTGTTTGCCTTATGCCTGCGGTCAGCTTCTTCTCAAGCTGGTTGCCACAGCTGATTCCATTCTTGTGAGCTGAGAGTAGTATTTAGAATCACATAAACATCCTTAAAATGTAAATCATAACAATTAGTAATAAATTCAAATTGCCTAATATAATTCTGTGGGTTAACAGAGAAGCTACCTAATTTATGGGCAATCTGAGACAGATCAGAAAGGGAAAAAGGCACGGGGCCAGCTTGCTCCCAAAGTGGTAGCAGAGCCAGAGGAGAAGATTGCGGAGTAGAGGGCCATTGGGCAGCCATCCGTCCGGTAGACCCGTGTGAGCAGTTATCTGTAGAGTGGCTATAGAGTGGCTGCCGATCACCCTGGGACGAGGAAACACAGGCAGATGGCGTCTCACTGTGTGCCTTGCAGTGAGAAAATTGCTGTGGGCAGCACAATGAAGCATCATGTGGCCCGCAACAGGGCGGCTGCTGCTGTTCATAAGAGGAGCCACAAGGGGGCGCTCATTGACCACGAGACCCGTCCAAACATGGCGGCACCCTGTCGCCATGTGACCCATCTGAACATGGGTGTCCTGTCACTTGGCAGAAGGTTGCAAGACTGTTTCCAGCGCAAGCTGGAACAATCATGCTGCTTGCTGGAAGGACATAGCAACTGAGGCCTAGTATGGTGGGCGGGAGGTGAGAATGCTGTAGGGGGATAGAGAATTCTCAGGAGAATAAGAAATTGGAGACTGCAAGGAAGCACTAACAGAGGAATTTAGAGCCGTTGGGAGAGTTATGGATCCCAGGAGACGGAGGGGAAGACAATTGCACAGTGGAAGATAACTGCAACACAGAGGGATTAGAGCTGCTGGGAGAATTAGGGGTCCTAGGAGACGGAGGGGAAGACGATTGCACAGTGGGAGATAACGGCAAGGAACCATTTTGGGGGTGGGGAGGAGGCGGCTGGGAAAACACCGGAGGAACATCATCAAGCGAATCTTGAGGGAAGGATGGAAAAGTTTGCAGCACGGTAGAGTTAGCTAAAAGTATCTCAGCGGGAGCACAAGACTTCATGAGAGACGGGCATGTTCTCAGAATAAGAAAGGCCTGAATATAAGGGAGTTCTAATAACTTGTTGCCGGCCTGACAGAAATCATATAAGTTTCTGAGAATGCAGGGGTCAAATGTTCCTTCCTTGGGCCAACGATTGCCGCTAAGTGTGTAGGTTGGCCAGACCTCCTGGCAGTAAAAAGTTCATTGTTTAGTCTTTATGGTACTTTTAATCTTAAGAGTATGTAAATTGGGGGGCTGGAGGTTTAGCTCAGCGGCATAAGCACCTGTCTTGCAAGCAGGTGGTCGTGAGTTCGATCCCCGGTACCGATAAAAATGAAAAAGACCAAAAAAAAAAAAAAAAGAGTATGTAAATTGGAAATTAGGCATTGTAAAGGCATCTTTTGAGAGTTAGAAAATACATTTCCCATGACTGATTCAGGCAAGAAATAAGCCGTGGTCCAGAGAACAAGCCATCACTCATTTGTGGCAGCACATGGCAGCTAAGGTTGCAAAACTCATATATTCCAGTTGTCACTGAGAGATTTCTGAGTGGAGTTCATGTGGGGTCAGTAACAGTTTTGCCCGTGAAAGCACGAGGCTTTAAGGGAAGTGAGGGTCTTTCAGTGTGGGCGGTCCAAAAATCTCTGCTTTGGGCTATCTGAACCCAAAGAACGTGAGAGATTTTAGAGTGTGGACACAGGTTTGCCCAGAAAAAACCCTGCCCTGGGCTGTCCTAAGGATGTGAAAATGCACAGACCCACTTGAACGGGGAGAACAGTTGACTGGGGCTGCCCAGTGCCAAAAGTTCCCGGGGAGTGCTCACCTGAAATCAATCTGGCCGATGGTGAGTGCAGGCGGCTGGCAACAAGGACATTTCCGGAGAGGAAAAAGCATGGAATTAATCAAGGATGTTATCCAGTTCATGAATCGGCTAGGGGACTCAACTGGGTGTGTCCCAGGAGTCAATCGCCTGCTGATCGAGTCACAGCACCAAATAATAGGATTATTTCCAAAAGATGAAAAGTATTTCCAAAAGATGAGAAGTATAAAACAAAAAGTGGCCTTTATTCTGAGAACACAGAGAGAGATGACCAGCACCCCCCACCACTGGAGTCCGGGGATCTCTCCAGCCGACACATGGCGTGGGGGGTATGTAAATAGCCTCGGTTTGGGGTGGAACCTAAGGGGGGGCATCAGGGATGCACAGGTAGCCCATTGGCCCTAGGTTTGGCGCCACAGGCAAATTCCCAGGGGCGGGGAAGACACCTTCACAGGTAAATTCCTAGGGGCGGGGGAGATAGGGGCTTCCTGGTTCTGGTTGAGGCTTTCCTGGCTACAGTGTCCTGTCTGGGCCAAAACCCTTTCAGAATAAATCTCCAGTTTCATAATCACCACAGGAAGTCAATAGATAAAGGTCAAAATTGATGTTTGGAAGAATATTGTGAACATGTGGTGATCCTCCTGCCTCAACCTGCCGAGTGCTGAGATCACAGGCATGCACCATCACATTTGCACGGGAGAAGACTTTCTGCTGAATTTTCGAGGATGAGGGACAGGGTCTCACTTTCTGCTGAATTTTCGGGGATGGGGGACAGGGTCTCACTATGTAATTCAGGCTGGTTTTAAACTCCTGGTGATCATTCTGCCTCAGTCTCAGTGCTAGGATTACAGGTATGTACCTCCATGCCTGACTTTCACTGGTTTTTATTATCTTGTTTTTAGGCTGGACAGGTAGCCCACACCTATAATTCTAACGAGGCAGGAGGATCACTGGGGAGTTCGAGGCTAACCTGGTCACCATAGTGAGTTCAAGGCCACCCTGCACTGATAACAAGACTCTGTCTCCAAACAAAACAAAACAAATATTTATTTATGTATTTTTGTAGTTCTGGGGATTGAAACCAAGGCCTTTACATTGAGCTACATACCCAGCTCCCCTATATATATATTTTTAACCTAAGTCACGTGGTTGCCCAGGTTGGGCTTGAACTTGCAGTCCTCCTGCCTCAGCCTCTTAAAGTGGCTAAAACTACAGGCGTGTGCCACCATGACTGGCCAGTTTGGGGGTTTTGTTTTTTGGTTTTTGGTTTTTTTACCTGAATATTTTAAGTGTGCCTGTTGTGAAAGCCAAGGCCAGGGTTGTAGTCCTGGCAGTCTCCCCTCTTTGGGGAATGATCTGGGCCACACCCCACTCTGAGCCTGCCTTATCTTTTAGATAGCTCTGTTCTTCATTTCTGCCTCACAAACCTCCCAGTTGTAGGACATGATTTTAAAATTATTATTATTTAAAAGTCTACTCTCCTAGACTCGGCAGGCAAAAGATGACTTCCTGTGACACTACACTGTCTCCGACCCCAGGACCCACCCCAAGGGCTACACAGAGTACAGCCTCTCCTAGGCTGGCCAGGTGGTGGCTCCTGTATCCAGATGCATGGAGCCCAGGGCTTCCTCTGGAGGGGAAGGACTGGCCCCCTGCACACATTTCCTTGGAGACCTGAGGTTCTCTGGTTTTGGGAGATGCAAGTTCTTGGCCTTTTGAAGGAAGCAGGTAAAAGTCAAGGCTAGAGCAGTGTAGGACAGGCCTTCATGGATCCTTCCATGTAACAGGTCAAGAAACTGAGGTGCATGGTAGAAAAGTTGCTTAAAGTTACATTCAGAGCCTTAAAATAAGGACATCTTGATGCCAAAGGGCACTGTCCCTTGGAGAGAGCCTAGAGCCAGCTTTCACAGAGTGAGGGGGTGTCAGATGTCAGCCTCAGGTCTCACCTGTTTCTTGCTTTTTCTTTCTCAGTTTATCTCAAAGAAGGATCCCGAGGATATCAAAGAGGTGAGAGTCCTGTAAGGGAGGGGGACTGTCCCTCGATTTCAAGTCTGGAAACAGGAAGGGAGTTGGGCACAGCTGGGCACGGGAGTGTACCTCCCACCCTCCAGCCTCACATCCCCCGCAGGTAGTGGTCTGGAAGCGGTACAGTGACTTCCGAAAGCTGCATGGGGACCTGGCCTACACTCACCGCAACCTCTTTCGCCGCCTCGAGGAGTTCCCTGCCTTCCCCCGGGCCCAGGTGTTCGGTGAGTGTCACAGGGACAGAGGCACAGGGACCTGGGCCAGCAGGCACTGCAGACTTAAGGCCCTGGAACTCTGGGCAGAGCCACCCTGGAGATCCTGACTGGCCCTCAGAGATGGCCGTAGGTGACAGATGGGGGCACTGAGCCTCTGAGCAGCCTCACTCTTCTTCTTGTATGATAGGGCCTTGAACATTCCAACTTCATTAGCCTACTTTTTAACATGAAGAAACAGGCTCGGCAGGTGAAGGGCCTTGGGCCATGTCTTGGGCCATTTTCTGACTGGGGACTCTGTAGAGAATAGAGTAAGTCCCAGAATTATATGAGACCCAGACTTACACAAGAGGGTGTCAAAGCACAGTAAATGGTTGCAGCTGCCTGTTGATGCCAGGCCAAGTAGGGGAGGGTGACAGCAGGCTCCTCCCTCTGGCAGCAGCAGTGACCAAGGTAGGGGCAGAGATCTCTGCCTGGCCCCTAAAACTAAGCAGTGAAGCTGCTGCTTGCTGTGTGGACTCAGGTATGTCACTTCCCTGCTCCGAGCTCTCCTTTCCTCATCAGCTGTATCAAAGCCAGATGAAGTGGTTTTTGGTTCTTGTTGCCCCATCTGTGACTTGAAATCCTTGAGGGCTGGGGCTTTACTTCTCTCCTACACATCCCTGAACCCGGCACAGCAATGCTCAGTAAACCGCCTTGAGAGAACAAATAAGGGCCAGGGATGTAGCTCAGTGGCTTAAGTGCCTGCCTGGCAAGCACAAGGTCTTGGGTTCACTCTGCCCACTGGCTTGTTCTGGGTGGCTGCAGGCCGGTTCGAGGCCCCGGTGATTGAGGAGCGGCGAAAGGCGGCTGAGGACTTGCTTCGCTTCACTGTGCACATCCCTGCGCTCAACAACAGCCCCCAGCTCAAGGAGTTCTTCCGGGTACTCAGGCCACCCTTCCACCCCTGCATGCTGGGAAGCCTGCCTGCAATGCTGCACCCCTGATGCCCGTCCCCCCGTTGGCCTTTCTCTTCTGCAGGGCGGGGAGGTAATACGGCCCTCTGAGGTATCCAGGGACCTGCACATCTTGCCACCTCCTCTGATCCCTACGCCACCCCCTGATGATCCTCTGCTCCCCCAGCCACTCCCTGTGGAAAGGAGGGGCCTGGAAGAATTGGAGGTACCAGGTACATCGGAGCTGGGAGTTGGGCCTCCAGGTGGGATGTGGGGGTGACAGTCCCTCCTCAGTGATCTTAGTGAAGAGCCTGGGTTTGGCTCTGCCATCTACCCACTGAAGAACTTTGGACGGGTTATTTTCCCTTCTCTGAGCTTTAGCTTATCTGTCAAATGGACACAAATCCCAAGAATGAGCTTGTTCTATGCCCATGGCTGCTGAAGGACTTACTGAGAAGGTGGCTCCAGTTTGAAATCTTGGAAATGGTGAGTGCAGCACTGATCCCCGCTGGTCTCTCCTCAGTGGAACCCCCACCATCCAGCCCTGCACAGGAGGCCCTGGATCTGCTCTTCAGCTGTGGCGGTGTGGAGGAGGCATCAGGCTCCCCTGCCAGGGGTCCCCTCTCCGAGGCTGAGCTTGCCCTCTTTGACCCCTTCTCCAAGGAAGGTAACCAGTGGAGGTGGACAGGGGCTGGGGCAGGGGCTCCTGGGGCCAGAGAGGGAGACTGGAACCCAGCCAGCCTGGATGACCCGAGCCTGTACAAAGCTGGGAAAGACACCCTGGGTCACACTCTCGCTGCCCCAGTGAGCATTTGAAGCTCATTCCTAGGTGCCACAGCCCCCTCACAGGGCTGCTGGTTTGGTGAGTGTGGTAGGGTAAGGAACTGTGGGTCCCTCCCCTGGCAACACCCCGGGGGAGTAGGTCCACACTGCTCTGGGAGGTTTGAGCTGCAGCCATGGGAAGACCCTCTGAAGACCTGGAGTCACTTCTGGCCTGGGCATCACCAGAGACAGAAGGTTCTCCTGTGCGGATGAGAGTCCTGAGCACCTTCCTCCTCTGGGACCACGGACCTGACAGTCCCCAGTGCAGAGACACTGGGATTTTTCAGTCTGGGACATCATCAGACTTATGCTCTAACTGCAAGCTGGATCTGACATCACCTCAAGAGAGTCATGATACTTTTTTGATTCTTCAAGAGTGTTTTTAAGTCCTTTTTGTTAGCTTTTCTTCTTTGCCTGGAGGACCCTGGGCTTTCTGATCAGTTTCAGGAATGGGAAGTCTCACATTAGGGATGGAGAAAGCTGGGGCAATCCAAATCAGGATGTCAGCGTCCCAACCCATCTGTGGCCTCACTGGCTCTGGCCTAACCAGGGGCCCAGCTCCTGGCTCTGGTGACAAAGGTTTGGTGTGCGGCCTCTTACTCAGGGCTTGTGCATGCCTGGAAAGCATTCTGTCACACGTTACACCCCAGGCCTCCTTTTCTTTTTCTTTCTTTTTTTTTTTTTTTGAGACAGTCTCACTAAGTGGCCCATACTAGCTTCAAATGCATGGGCTCAAGTGATCCTTCTGCTTCAGCCTCTGAGTAACTGGGACTACAAGGTACAGCACCACACCCTGGCTACTTTTCTTCTTCATTGTCATCATCGTCGTCATTCTTCCCCTCCCGCTTCCTGTCCCCTTCCCCCTGGCCCTTCTCTTCCTCCCCTTCCTCCTCCTCTCCTTTCCTTGTTCCTCTTCTTCCTCTCCTGTGTGGGGATGCAATCTAGGGACGCATCTAGAGACATACTCCACTCCTGAGCTATATCCTCAGGCCCCACTTTTCTTGCTCGGCTTCTTTCCTTCCTTCCTGCTCCAGGAGGGGGAATAAGGCTTTGGAGGAGGTATCACCAGGGCTGTGGTACCAGACCTCGGAGTGCCAGGTTCTCAGATACTTGGTCCTTGCTCAGCTGAGTCCCCTGGGGTCCTGGGAAGGGAGGGTTTTGTGAGATCTTCCCAGGCAGCGCCCATGAGTCATTCACTCTGCCCATGGAAACACTCCCAGGGCCTTGTCCCCTCTGCTGGAAGCTGAGAGGCACAAGCTCCTGTGCTCAGGTAGTCAAGGGCCCTCAACTTTTCTGCTCATTGTCCTTGAGCAACACAGGGAGGCTTAGACCCAGTAGGACTGGGCATCCTTGTGTCTGGCTGCAGGAAGCCCCTGGTCTCCTCACAGGACTCCCCACTTGATAGATGGAAAGATGGAAAGATGCCCACCCTTCCCTCTCCAGCATGGTGCTGTCTGCTCCTCTACTTGCTGCAAAAGCCCTCTTCACCAAAAACTCACCCGGTCTTTTCTGCTGGAAGATGTCTGGCCACCTCTGAGCCAGACCTGGGAATATAATGAGCCCCTCATTTTGGATCGTTGGATAAAAGTACAAGATCTCAAAAAAGCTGGCTGTAGCTCATTGGTGGAGTTTTTACTTAGTATTTGTGAGGCCCTGGGTTCCACCACCAAAAATAGTGCTGGTTCTCTGGATTCATTATTCTGAGATGACTCCAAGGCTTGGAGTGTTTCTGTCTTTGGCCACCATAGGTGGTTTACTATTTTTAAGTTGAACTTTTTGGTGGGAATTCTTGGACATCTAGGCCAACTAGAGTTAGGCAGGAAATAGGGTCAGTGACCCAGACCTCAAAACTAAAGTAAAGCTTACCTAAAGAAAGAATTAGGAAGCTAAGACTGAATTTGTAAAAGTTCTTGAACCTCACCAACTATAGAGGGATTGCTTACAAAGGTGATTTCTGGATTGTCCAAGCTTTACTCCTTTCCACTGGGGATAGATTGGTACCCTGCTGGGTAAGAGATGTTGGCAGGGGACCCAGAGAAGGGTGGGGCCTATCCAGTCTGAGTCCTCCGTGTCTGATTGCAGAAGGTGCAGGCCCCAGCCCTACCCACATAGGTGAGCTGGCAGCCATGGAGGTAGAATCCAAAAGGCTGGATGAGGAACCCTGGGAGCCAGGAGGACAGGAAGAGGAAGGGGAAAGAGGACCCACCCCTGCCTATCTGAGTCAGGCCACGGAACTCATCACCCAGGCCCTTCGGGATGAGAAGACAGGTGCCTACCCTTCTGCCCTCCAAGCCTACCGGGATGGTGTGCACATCCTGCTGCAGGGGGTACCCAGTAAGTGGGGACTGCAGGGCAGAGGGGCGGGCCTGAGTCCCTGATTGTGGGAGGAGGGAAAGTAAAACACAGAGCCCCAGGAGCCCCTTCTTCTCACTAACCAGCCACATAACCTCAGGGGGATTTTTTTTTTTTTTAACCTCTTGTTTTCTTGGTGGGAGAAGAGACATTGGCTTCCAGGAGGACAGCATGTGACAATGCTGTGGGATTTTGAAAGAGCTGGGCCAAGTTCCCAAGCTGAGCTAGGCTCTCTCTGCAGGTGACCCATCCCCTGCCCGCCGGGAAGGGGTGAAGAAGAAGGCAGCCGAGTACCTGAAGCGAGCAGAGGAGATCCTGCACCTGCATGTGTCCCAGCTGCCACCCTGAGAGGTCGTGGCCTGCCGGGGAACTGCAGCTCCAGCACTGCCAGCCTCTCTTCGGTCTCCACCTCCTGGTCTTATAACTCCAGGGGTCAAGAATGTGTATTCTGGACCAAGAATGAGGAAAGTAACCACTTCTTAGCTCCTTGCCTACCTGCTTCCTTGGAATCAGCAACACACACTTCTAATCGTGCCTGTCCCTGTCTTGATATGTCAGCCGCAGCTCCAGCCACTAACCTATAAGTTCCCAGCCCAGAACTGTGGCCTGCAAGCTGCAGCCTGCAGTCAGATCTGGCCCACTGCCTTCTTTTGTAAGATCCGTGAGCTAGGATGTTTTTTACATTTTTTTAATGGTTGGGAAAGAAGAAACATGCTGTGACTGATGAAAATTTAAGTATGAATAAAAATCTGTCTGAACACAGTCAGGTTCATTTACTCACATCTTGTCTGACTGGGTTCACTCTACTACCAAATTGAGTAGTTGAGACCAGCAAATCCCAAAACATTTTTAGTCTGGCTCTGTAGAAATAGTTTGTTGACCTATGATCTAGAAAGAGTATCTTCAGGAAGACAGTGCAGGACAGTAGGCAGGTGAGCTACTTTTTTGGATAATAGGGATGAGGAGAAACTAGGCATGGCAGTTCATGCCAGTAATCCCAGCAGTCTGGGAGGCTGAGACAGGAAGATCACAAACTCAAGGTCAGCCTGGACAATTTAGGGAGACTAGGGTCTCAAAAATAAAAGGGAATGTAATAGTGCAAAAGCCCTGATTTCAATCTCCAGACCGTAAAAAAAAAAAAAAAAATCCAAACAAGAGCAGAAACTAAACCATGTATGCAAGTTTTGTAGGTCCTAGAACGAGTTACCCGCAGTTCAGAGGGCTAAGGCACAGCTCAGCCGGGGAGGCGTGGTCTGGACGTTGCCCCGCCCTTAGCCTAGCAATTGGTTAAACACGGGACTACAAACCGGCTCATCGGGGATTGCCTACGCCTATAATTTTAGGTCGCGGTGCATTGTGGGGAGCGTAGTGTAACGTCGCGTCAGTTGAGCTCGCTGCACAGTGAGAACGTCGCGGGCTGTGGCGCTTTGCATCTCGGGAGCCGCAGCATCAGCTTGTGAGAAGAGGACGGCGGGGCTGTAAAGACGCACCCAACCGGCCTCGCCCGGCCCCTCGTCCCTTGCGGGCCCGGGGACCCGGTGGACCTTCGTAAAAACCGGACGTCCGGCCGCCGCCCTCCCGGGGATTCCAAGCGCTCACCCATGCCTGGCTGCGAGCTACCCCAGGGCACCTGCCCGGATATGTGCCCGGCCGCCGAGCGCGCCGAGCGCGAAAGGGAGCGCCGCCTGCACCGCCTGGAGGTGGCCCCGGGCTGCCTCAGGGGCCCGCCGCGCGCCGACCCGCAGCGCGCCGTGAAGGAGTACCGCCGGCCGGCCGCCGGCAAGCCCCCGCCCCCGCCCAGCCAACTGCGCCCGCCCTCCGTGCTTCTGGCCACCGTGCGCTACTTGGCCGGCCAGGTAGCGGACTGTGCCGGCGCGACCCGCGCTGAGGTGGCCAGCTTCGTGGCGGACCGCTTGCGTGCGGTGCGGCTGGACCTGGCCTTGCAGGACGCCGGCGACGCCGAGGCCGCGGTGGTGCTGGAGGCCGCACTGGCCACGCTGCTGGCAGTGGTGGCGCAGCTCGGACCGGACGGGGCGCGCGGGCCAGTGGACACCGTGCTGCTGCAGACCCAGGTGCAGGAGAGCTTCGGTTCTCTGCGGCGCTGCTACTCGCAGGGCGGGGGTCCTTACCCCCGCCAGGCCACCTTCCAGGGTCTCTTTCTGCTCTATAACTTGGGTGAGTCGGGTCCTTGCAGTGTGGGGAGATGGGGAGCCCTCCATGAGGACAGTGGAGACAAGAAGGAAAAAGCTTTAACGTCTCACTATTCCCCGGGGATGTAGTACATTGTAAATCCAGAACTCTAGGAGGCTGAGGCCGGAGGATCTCAAGTTCAAGGCCCCTACCGGCAATGTAGTGACTTGGTGAGACCCCGCCTCAAAATAAAAGGAACGGGTGTCCTAGCTCAATGTGAACGCTGTGGATTGAGTCCTCAGTACCAAACCAAAATGCCTCATCCTCGAGGTTTAGGGGCTGGTGATGTTGCTCAGCAACACAACCGAGAAAGAAAAGAAAAAAAACACCACCATATGCTGCCTCCCAGGAAAGTTAGTGCCCAAGAGCCACCAACATCCTATGGGAAGGGTTGGGGATTTAGCTCAGCGGCTTAAGCGCCTGCCTTGCAAGCAGGAAGTCCTGAGTTCAATCCCCGGTACCGATAAAAAGGAAAAAGACAAAAAAAAAAAGATCCTATGGGAGCCCGCAGCCCTACTTGCTCCCGTTTCTGGGCTTTGGTTTTCTTAATAATAAAAGTGGAGGTAAGAAAATTTGGCCTAAGTAGTTATTTTCAAACCTCTCATTCATTGTTTTTTTTTTGATACAATGTTTTTTTTTGGATTGTATCGTTAAGGCTGGCCTTGATTTCAGGATTTTTTTTGGATTGTATAGTTAAGGCTGGCCTTGAATTCAGGGTAGCTCAGGCCAGCTCCAACGTGACACCATGCCCAGCTAGTAGATTCTGTGTGTCATCAAATACGGGTTTCACAGCTCTCTCTTGGGACAGAAGCCTCAGTTTACAAAAGTGGCCTAAGGTTAGTGTCTGATTTCCTGCAAAGGAAGCCCAAATAATAGAGTCTCTTCAAGATGTGGGCTGCCCTAGCAGACAGGGGAGAATAGCAAAGTAAGCAGGAATCTCAAGAAGGCCCCAGCATCCTCAAGCCAGCTTCCCATCCTCGCAGGCTCCACAGAAGCTCTTCAAGAGATCCTGCAACTGCCTGCCCCTCTACGCGCCTGCCCAGCCCTGCGCAAGGCCCTCGCTGTAGACTCTGCTTTCCGGGAAGGCAACACTGCCCGCCTGTTTCGCCTGCTCCGGAGCCTGCCCTACCTGCAGAGCTGTGCCGTGCAGGGCCATGTGGGCCATGCTCGCCGCCTCGCCCTCACTCGCCTCACTCGTGCCCTGAGCACCCCCAGGGGACAGACTTTGCCTCTGGGCTTCATAGTCCACCTGCTAGCCCTGGATGGGCTCCACGAAGCACGGGACCTGTGCCAGGCACACGGGTTGCCCTTGGACGGAGAGGAGAGGGTTGTGTTCCTCAGGGGTCGCTATGCTGAGGAAGGGCTGCTGCCTGTGGGGAACTGCCACGTGTTGGTGGGGAGCAAGCTCCGTGGGCGCACCCTGGAGGAGGTGGTCATGACTGAGGAGCAGGATGAGGTGGTACACAGACCAGCATCCCCCACATCTGGGAGATGCGCCTCTCCCAGAGGACTGGGTCAGAGTGATTAGGTTTGTTTTTGTGATTCCCAGACAATAAAATGAACTTGTTTTCTAGGGACTAATCTGTAAATTTTGTTTACTTACAGGGAGATGAGACACCAGACATGGTAGGAGGGAAGCAGATTTGGCGGGTTCCTTTTCACTGTGGGCCACAGTTTTCCTGCTGGTGCCTGCGGAGTGGACTCAGTGGTCTGCTTTGGCATCTACAGCTGGCACTGTGAGTCCCATTGTACCCCTCCACCGTTTACTGTCTCTCCATTCTCCACCGCCTCTTTCCATTTGCCCATGAAGGGAGAACTGGAACTGGGTTCTTTTCAGGTGTCCACAGCTGATGAAACTCCCAGCTGTTACCCTAGAAGCTTGAGGGCATTCCATGGTTGTGTCCACTCCTGGCTTCAGGGCAGACACCCCATGAAAACAGGTGGGAGAGGGTTAGGGCCCAAGGTCAGGGTCAGAGGTCATCCACAGGTCTCAGGGTGGCTGCTGCACCCTCCAGGGCTGCAACCACAATGCTGAGCTGCCTGTGCACCTCAGCCCATTCTGCAGATCCGAGGTCCGTGGTGCTAGCCTTGGAACAGGCATTGGCCAGGCCAGGGAATGTGGTAACAGAGCTGGTCCGGGGTGCCCAGAGCACATGGCTGATGAGAAAAGGGGCAGGATAAGGGTCAGGGTGGGGCTCACTCAGCCTGGGCCATCTTCAGCTGCCCTGCCCAGCCGAGCACAAAAGTCCCTTCTGCCTGTCTGTCACTGGGGTATAGGGCAGAGGTGGTGGGAGGACGGTAGACTCAAGTCCCAGCTGTAACCAAGGTGCCTCCCCTTCCAGCCTCCCTCTGCGTCTGGGCAGCTGGATTGTGCTCCTTCCCACTCAGGCAGGTAGCTGTCCTCTGACCCCACCTTAGGGGCTTTAAGACAGGCTCACCTGTAATATCGCTCCTCGGGGAAGGCACGTGGGTTTAGGAATGCCCGTTCCAAAAGCATCAGCTGGTCATTGACCATCCGGACCTTCAGGGAGCTGGGGGAGGCAGGACCTATGGGTCACCCAGCAGCCTGGGGCGCCTGGCCATGCCCTCCTGGACACCTGCCCCCTGCTGTTGCTTACTCAGGGCTGTCCTGCTGCAGGTCTGATATGCGCTGACCCAAGTCTGTGGCTGCTGCCTCAAAGTTCTCCACTGCGGTCTCCAGAGGCCCTGAGGGGAACACCACTCCCTGGTTTAACTGTAGGGGTAAGGGACTCCCAGGCTTCCGTGTGTATGTGTGTGTGTGGGTCCGTACCCAGGCTGATGCCATGCTGCACCAAGAGGGCCCCGAGGTCTTGCTGGGCAGCCTGCAGAAAGCTCCGGAGCGTTTCACTGTAGTCGCTGACTTTGAGAGGCAGGAAGAGGCTGTCACTGAGCCGAAGAAGCACACTTCCTGCCATCCGGGCTACGGCTTGGTGGCTGCTGAAGTCTGCCGGGAAGACAAAAAGGCCAGGAGTCAGTCTGTGGCCCACCCTCCTTGGACAGTCTCAGGATGCCCCTTGTCTTCTCACCAGGGTCTAAAAACTTCTCCACGTATTTGAAGGTGTCGAAGGCTGTGTGGTAGGTGGGGTAGATCCGGGCCGAAGTCTTGCTCTGGGAGAACAAAGCACAAAGGTGATGGGCTCGGGGTGGAGGCAGAAAATGTGGCTACTGTGAGCCACAGTGTGCAGACATTGTCTCCCTGAGTCCTTGGTACATCCTCAAGGGAGTTTCTAGAATCCCCACACTACGGGTAGAAGGGGGAACAGGGCGTGATTAGCCTGCCTGGCAACACACAAGCTAAATAAGAGGTAGAGCTGGCTTGAGTACCTTTGCACAGGAAGAAGGTGAAATGTGAAGTTAGATAGGGAGACTTCAATCCCAGCTCCACAATCAAGAATCAGTGTGACCACAAGGGGAAGAAAAGGGATTTGGGGGACAGCAAATAGGGATGCCAGCCAGCTGGGCATACTGGATTCATCTCATTGCACTGCATGCCATTCCCTAAATGCCTAATTTCATACCAATGTTTAATCAATGCTGAGATAAAATTCACCCCACACATTCACATGCACCATATTTTACAATCTTAGTGTTTCTGATAGCCTGTACCCTACAACTGATTGGTAGCAGTGGTAGTGGGTGTTTTTTGTAGTGCATTTTTTTTGGTACCAGGAATCGAACTCATGACTACGCGCTTGCAAGGCAGACGCTCATGCTGCTGAGCTTGCAAGGCGGGTCCTTATGCCGCTGAGCTAAATCCTTGGCCCCACAATAGTGCATCTTATAATCAGTAGTGCCCTATGTGTGATAAAGTAGCAGATGAATGCAAACACATAATCAGAGAGGATCCGGAAACCTGCCCTAGGCATCATTGCTACTAAGTCAGGAGAAGTAGATCCAGTCAATATTGGAGCAGCCCGCAGGATAGAGGGGGCTTGCCGGGGCACTCGGGGTGCCTGCTTACCTGGTCATAGGTGTAGGCAAGGTCCATGGAAGAGATACCCAGGAAGTGAATGAAGGGTGCATAGTCGCTGCCAGCACCTAAAGTGCCCATACTGCGGAAAAGAAAGGGTTGACGTTGGGGGACGCAAAGCCACCGCCCTAGCTGGAGGAGAAGGGTGCTTTCTGGGCTCTGGTCTTACCTGGGGATCAGGCCATACACTGGGCTGCTGCGGTTGTTGTACCGGATCCAGTTGTCGTAGATACTGAGACCGCTGGGGCCTGGAGAGCTGATCTGGCCCAGAAAGGAATCTGATCCCGGGGCTGCCCCTCTTTAACCCCAACAGCAAGCCAAACCACCGGGTCTCACCTGGGGCCTGCAGGCTGCAGATGCCCTTGGCCTGCGAGTCGTGACCCCGCCCATCCCGTATAGTCCCGCCCATTTCGTATAGCCCCGCCCCGTGCACCTCTTTGGCAGCAGAGAAAATAACGTTCTGGACAGGAGGCGTCCCCTGACCCCTAAGGGTAGCGTTGGCTGTGAGAGGAACAGATAAAGACTATGCATCCCAGCCCCTTCCTTTACCCCGCACCAGGCTAGCACGGTCCAGCGCCCGCCCCCGTACCGAACACCGAGATGTCCACATTGATGTAGGCTACCGTGCGCTCCTGCAGCTTGCTGAAGAACTCCTGCGGCCCGGCGGGTACGCTTCAGTTCGGTGCTGCCCTGCCCAGAGCTCCCTTTCCACCCCGACCCTGCGGTGCTCACTCACCTCTGTGAATTCTGTGGAGCCAATGAGCCCAAACTCCTCTGCCCCCCAGCTGGCCAGCACGATCGATCTGCGGGGACGCCAGGTGCCTGGCACAAGGGCATAACGCCTTGGAGCATTCCCGCTCCATCCATCCTGGGGTGGCTTAGGGTAAAGGCTCAGGATGGGGAGGAGTATGGGAGCTCTGGGAACGGTGGAGCAGCAATGACAGGAGGGGTTGGCACCTCTTAAGCCAGCCGGTCCTGGAGACTGTCACCCTTCCAGCCTCTTCACTGTGACAGCCACCCCAAACCAGACACCCTGGGTCAGGGCCCCCTTCTGCCAGCCATGCACACACGTGTGCACCGGACATAACCTGGGAGACTTTGCCACGTCCCCCTCCCTGCACCAGCCTGTAGGACAGGGCTGATGATACACAATATTTCCAATAAAGCCCAAGTGCCCCTGACTCAATCCTCACAATGATGTTTCCACTTCGCAGCCGAAGAAACTGAGCCACAGAGGAGTTAAATGACTTGCACTGGGTCCCAGCCCCTCCCCAAGGCTGCGCTGGGCACACTTTCCCCACCAACCCCCCATGGTGCCACACGCTCTTAGGTTTGCTCCTACTCGGACCCTTTGATCACTCACCTTTGTGTTTGAAATGGAAACACTTAAAATATAACATGATTGATTACAGGTTTGCAATTACAAATCCCCACGTTTGGGCCAAAAATGCCATAACCTGAACCTAATCAAATGGAGGCACAAGTGTCAAAGTGTCAGGCTTGTAGAAGACAAAGAACAACTAAGGGACCATTAGAGATGAAAGAAAGCAAGTGAGGTCCGCATGTGATCACCCCACTGGGTGGGTCTTGGATCAGAAGACGCTTTTGCTATAAAGATCATATTGAGACAATTGGCAAACTCATTTTCTGATTCCGATCATCTTACTGTAGTTATAAAAAAGAAGAAGCAATGTCTTTGCATGTGTTTGGTACTAGGGACTGGCACAGCAGGTGCTAGAGGTGGGCTGGGATGTCATTAGCTCAAGAAGCAGTGAGCGGGTGAGGACCCAGGGCATAGAGCCCTTGGATCGGGGAAGGGACCATCTCACCCCTCTTCAGCAGGGTCCCTAGGACACGGGAGACCTCCAGGAGGACAGCGGTGCCACTGCTAGGGTCCACAGCCCCATGGACCCAGCTGTCTCGGTGGTTTCCATACACCACGTAGCGATCTGCCGGGAGGGACAGGAGGCAGCGATGGAGAGGTGGGGCTGTGGCCAGGGCAGGGTCCACTGAAGCAGGAGAGGGAGTGGCGGGCGCTGAGGCTGGCAGGGCCCCGGGGTACAGTACGCGTGGGAGCTCACCCGGCTCCACAGCCCCACGGATGAAGCCCAGGACATTGGAGGAGTTCCTCAGCACCAGGCGGTTGTGCACGCTCACTTTCACCTGGCTGGGGAAACACCAGTCTTTGCCCTGTCCCCTGTCCCCTGTCCCCTTACTCAATGCAGGAGAAACTGAGGCCCAGGAAGTGAAGGGGACATAGTCACTTTCTGGGAAGGGCCAAGAGAGGCAGCAAAGCTGGACTTGGAAACCACCGAGTCCAGCTCTTCCAGCCGGAACCCTGCTCTGCATTCACCCACGCAGTCAGGACGCAGTGGACACTTCACAGCGGCCAGCCACTTACAAGACTCTGCCAGGACCTGGCCTGAGGGTGCCTCCCTCTCCTAACCAGGCAGACCACAGGGAGTGAAGGGTCTGGGGGGGCTAGGGGCACTGCTGTGGGGGGCTGGCCCCAGGCAGGAGTGGCAGAGGCAGGCGAGGAGTCAAGAGAGGAGGCAAGAGTGTGGGCTGGGCAGAGGAAACGCTGGAGACCTGCTGGGCCGTGCAGCTGCTTCCTGGGCTCCCCGCTCCAAGGCAAGAGAGATCTGGGGGGTCAGGAGAAGAGTTGGGGGGAGGAGGAGGAGGAAGGCCAGATCGTGAGGCAGGAAGAAGCAAAGCAGTAAGGAGAAAAGGAACGGGAAAGGGGGAGCCAGGGAGGACAGGCCGCTCACCTGTCTTCAGGGAATTTTCCACCCGTGAAGCCAGGCCCCAGGTGGTACACACAGCTCAGGGCTCCCTGCCAGGACGCTGGGGCCTGCGGCCCCTTGAGGTTGCTGGGGGAAGAGGCAAGGGTATGTGTGTATGTGAATGAGGTGTGGCTAGTACGTGTGGCCACAGGGGAACACGGTGTGGACAGGCTCACCAGAGCAGGTCTTCAGCGTGCTGGAAGCCGATGGGCTGTGCAGGGATGGGGAGAAACCCGCTGGTGCTGTTCCAGTCCAGGCGGAAGGAAGAGGGGCGTGCTGGAAGGTAGGGGGTCACAGGGTCCCCGAAATAACCTGTGTAGGAGCCCCGTTCCACACCAGAGGGAGGCAGACCCCAAGAGTATGGGAAGGTCTCGTTCGGCAAGCTGTGGCCATCGTTGATGTCGCCGGGGTCCGTGTACACCAGCACCCCAACCACCCCATGCCTGGCCCCGTTCACAGCCTGTGGGAGGCAGAGGAGGCTGTGCATCAGGAGGGGCAGGCTCAGCCATCCTGTCTCCTTCCCACCCTCCTCTGGTGGGGATGGGCCGGATGTTGACACTGATGGCTGTGCTACTTGCAACAGCAAAGGACTGTAGGACACAGCAAGGCAGATGCCAGTCAGGCAGCCTGTTTAGATAAACAGTAACAAAGCCTAAGCCTAGCTTGCTCCACGGTGGCCAGTGGGGCTTGATCCCTCATACCAATAGCAAAAAAATAAATAAAGTTTTCATGCAATATTAGTGAACCTCAAAGAGATTCCGCTAAGTGAAATAAGCCAGGCATGAAGCAAATATTGCATGAAGTGGATGGAAAAGCAGGACTACAGAGAGGAAGCAGAACAGAGATCACCTGGGGTAAGTGGACTCTCTAGTTTAGAGAACGACACCGCTCTGGGCGTGGACAGTGGTGACAGTTAATAGTGTTCATGTCCTTCATGCCTGAGATAAGTGGACTTTCTAGTTTAGAGAACGACACAGCTCTGGGCGTGGACAGTGGTGACAGTTAATAGTGTTTATGTCCTTCATGCCGTTGTGCTGTGCACTTAAAAATGGGAACATTGCTGGGGACACAGCTCAGCGGCACAGCGCCGGCCTGTCGGTCAATCTTGAGGTCCTGAGTTCAATTTCCAGTACCAACAACAACAAAAAGAAAGTGAAAATGGTCAGTTTTGTGTTATGTCTCTTTCACCACAGTAAAAACAAAACAGTACCCCAAAATGCCAAACCTTCTTTCCTTTTTTCCTTCTCTTTCTTCCTTTCTTTTCCTTTCCTAGCTCGTCTCATGGGCACTCTTCCACACACTTGTAGTAAAATACATGAGACGTCCCCCCTTGGCCTTGGTCAGTGGACCTGCAGCACAATCATACTCGGTCTTGAGACTACAAAATCACCAATGCCATCGAGCTCCAGAGCCCTTTCCTCTTACATTTGTACCCACTCAACTTTTGTGTGTTTGAGACAGGGTCTCAATATGCAGTATAGGCTGGCCTCGAACTCACAGAGATCCTCCTGCCTCAGCCTCATGAGTACTGGGATTACAGGTGTGCACCACCATAGCCAGTGACATTAAATCTTTTTTTTCCCCTCTCCCTGATCCCCTATGTGCTATTAAATCTTAACTCTCATTCTATACCTTTTCTCTTTTTTTCCCCCAGTACTGGAAATGGAGCCCAGGGCCTTCACACCAAGTTATATCCCCAGCCCTTTTATGTGTTATTCTGAGACAGCAGCATTCAGGCACCCAGGCCCGGCTCAAACTTGTGATCCTCCTGCCTCTCAGCTTTCCAGGGTGCAGGGACTACAGTCCTGAACCTCTGCACCCAGCTTTTACACCTGATTATATTTAAAGGAGTCTCAAAGTTTTCTAAGTCATAGATACATAGTCCCTAGTCAAACAGACAGACTGAAATGAAGTGGTAGAGGCTGGGGTACACAGCTCAGTAGTAGAGCTCGTGTTTAGCCTGTTTAAGGCCCTGGGTTCCAGCTTCAACACTAAAAGTAAGAAAAAAACCAGGTGGGGCATCTCATGCAATCCAGGAGCCCGACTCAGATCTTTAGCCACAAGGGAAATGGGGAGCCAGGTGCTAGCCTGGGGGCTCCTAAAGATGAGCTGAAGCTGGAGTCCCAGCCCCACAGCAGTCAAAGCCTTTGATGGGGGCTCCTGGGTTTCAACTCCACAGGTGGCAAAGTCTTCAGTGCTCCCCCAGCCTTTCCCAAAACTGCCAAGAGGCCCTGGGAAACATCGCAGAGCTACAGAAAAATCTGCGGTGAGGAACGGACACTGCAGACAAAAACCAAACTTCTCTGCCAGAAAGATGACTGAGGAGACTGTTCTTGCCTCCAGTGATGCCTCTCCAGAAATAGGAAAATTCTTTCCCTTTGATTTTTTAGATTTTGAGCTCTCTGTCCTGTCTGAAGGGCGAAAGATGGAGCAGCCACCCTGGAGTGGATCCTCTCCCAGTGCTGGAGGAGAGGAGGGCGGGTGAGGCTGCAGCAGATGCCCCCCCCCTCCATTGGATGACACAGATATTTAAATTCCTTAGTGGTTGATAGATTATGTGTATTTCTACAAATAAAAAAAATTCTTGTGCTCAAAAAAATAATAATTTCTGTTTTTAAAAACAAAAATGAGGGGCTGGGGATTTAGCTCAGCAGCATGAGCACCTGCCTTGCAAGCAGGCAGTCGTGAGTTCGATCCCTGGTACCGATAAAAACGAAAAAGACAAAAAAAAAAAAAAAATGGCAGGTGGGGTGGCACATGCCTGTAATCTCAGCACTCAGGAGACAGAGGAAGGAGGATTGTTGTGAGTCTGAGGCCAGCCTGGGCTCTATAGTGAATCCCAGGTGTGCCTGAACTACATAGAGAAAACCTCAAGAATAGGGAAAGCAAAAGGAACAGTAAGGGCCAGGGATTTAGCTCAGCAGCATAAGCGCCTGCCTGGCAAGCATGAGGTTGGTCCTGAGTTCGATCCCCAGTACCAAAAGAAAAGAAAAAGTAAGAGTAGTAGAAATGATAGAGGACAGCCAAAGGGGATTAAAGGAGATTTCCAGAGTGACTTCACAGGGAGTCTTGGACTTCCAGAATATGCAGGACGAAACTTCTGTCCCATGGTTTTATTCCTAAGCCTCTGAGTTGCGGGGAGCAGCCAGGGCCACGCATCTCATCGCCTGCAGCTCTGCAGCGAGGGCACAGCTTGCTTCTCCCTCCTGCCCCAACCAGCGCTCTGCTGCCTCTGGGTGTGGATGACTCCTCTCCCCTGCCCTCCTGCAGAATGGCCCCTACTCACCTTGGCCCCTCGTCCTGCCACCCCATAGCGAGTCAGGGCGATGGTGCCTTGCAGGTTGATGCCCTGGTCCTGTAGGTACTTGAAGTCATCTTCTGTGCCGTGGTTGGCATAGACAAGGAGGCCCTATGTGCAAGAGAAAGGACCCTTAGAACTCAGCCCAGCAAGCCAGGTGGAGGAAAGGGACAGGAAGGCTGGTAGCAGGGGTAAGGATTTAGGCTCTGTTTATCCATCTCAACCAGAGATGTAAGCAAGGACAATCACCCTGGTTTCCTCTGTGTCCAGTGCCCTATATCAGCCCTAGCCTTGAGCAGGGGGCCACTAGTGTTTGTTGAATGTCTAAGTGATAGAGAACACAAGAGGGACAGAGCACAGAGCTGGATAAATTCAGTGGAGGATGTGTTGAGTTCCATTTGAAGCACTTTTCCTCAGATGCCCCGGGGTTGAGTAGGGAGAAGCCTGTTGGGGGACCCAGGCCATGCTGCGGGGGACTCAGACTCACCTGTGGGGTTCCAGGTGGTGCATAGGCAGCATAGGGTTGTACCACATCAGGGCCCTCCTGCTCGCCAGTCACCTCCTCCTCTTTCGGGAGGTACGATTGTTGAACAGACCCGTTGGAACCCACTGTGGAGGAGGCAGAGTCAGGCCCGGCCTGGCAGGAGCTGTCACCCACCCCAGTTTCCCACGCTGGGCAGGGCCTCACCGACTTCCACAAGGTTGGGCTGCTCCGAGCTGGGCAAAGACAGCAGCACCTCATATTCCACGGTCCTGGCCGTGTCCAGCCCCGACACCGGGTCTTTCCAGCGCTGCAACAGCAGCTGCACCAGGTCCTCATCTCGGGGGGTGGTGGCCAGGTGCGGCTCCTTGGAGAGCTCTCTGTGGGGGACACAGAGAAGGCAGTGCATCAGTCAGTGAGGGGCCACTGGGCGACCGGAGGACGGGCAGATCCGATGCTCACAGGAGGTTCTCCCGAATCCTGCCGGCATCCAGCTGTGCCATGACCGTCTCTAGGATCTCTCGGTCCAGGTCCTGGGGGCCTGAGGTACTGGAAGCTGACTGCTCAGCCACTTTGGGGATGGCAAAGTGGCCCAGGATGATCCCCAGCCCCAAGAGGGCAGCAGCCCCCACCCCCAGCCCTACTAACTTCACCCACTGCATCCTGCAGCCTGGGGGTGACCTGCTTGGGGACTCCTTATAGATGGGGTGTCAGGGCTGAGTTAACCATTATCCCTCGGGTGGTGCTGCCCTTTGGCCCGCTGATGGCAGGAAGGAAACACCCCAAGACAGAGTTGAAAGCTGTCACACGGAACACCTTTGTGTCTTTCCCCTGGAGGGGATCTTGGAGGGCACAATGTGGGGACACCAATGCCCAAGAAAAGAAAGATCTCACCCAGAGGGTGAGAAACTTTCGCCAAGCCATATGCCTACTGCCCACCACTGCCACCTGTGTCACCCTCAGGGGCATTTCGTCTCCGGCATAGCCAGCCCTGCCTAGTTGAGCTGGTTTTGAGTTCAGATCTCATCTTGCACAACATAAGTTGTGTGACCTTGGCAATTAGTCGAGCTTCTCTGAGTCCGTTTTCTTGGACTATAAAACAGGGTCACTGAGGCCAGCTGTGGTGATGCATATCGATAATCCCAGCGCTCTGGAGGCTGAGACAGGAGGATTGCCATGAGTTTGAAGCCAGTCTGGGTCACACAGTGAGTTCAAGGTCAGCCTGACCTACATGGTTAATACCCTATCTGAAAAAGAGTTTTAAAAATAAAAACTAAAAGCTGGGGATTTAGTTAAGGGGTACAAGTGCCTGCCTGGCAAGTGCGAGGTCGTGAGTTCCATCCCCAGTACCAAAAGATACATACATATATAAAAACTGAGACAAGAGAATTTTGAGAAAAAATAAAAAGAAAACAAAGCAAAAACAAACAAACAAACAAAAAGGGCCAGGGATTTAGCTCAGCAGCACAAGTGTCTGGCTGGCAAGTGGAAAGTTGTGAGTTCAATCCTCTGGTACCAGGAAAAAAAAAAAACAAAACACAGAGAGAAAGAGAATTATGGTGAGTTCAAGGCCAGCCTGGGCTAACAGGAGTTCAAGGCCTACCTGAACTATATAGTGAGACCCTGTCTCCAAGAACAATGTGGATTCTGGGCCTGCCTTACAAAGCTGTGGTGCCGTCTTCATGAAACCAGTGGGATCTGTAGCCAGGCCTAGCTCTGCAATATCTGGGGCGCAGCAGGAGCTCAGTAACTTTCAGTTACTTCTTCCCCTAAAACATAAAGGCCAAGCCAAAGAACGAAGGCGACCTGAAGACTTCTCCGTCTCCCCTGAGGGTTCCCAGCTCAGTGCAGAGAGGCTCTAGGACAGGGAGGCAGCTCGAGGGTGCAGCAGGAAGCCCATGCCTCCTGGGCGCGATGACTTCCTCCTCCAACCTCGGGCCCTGTTGGAGCCCACCCCTTCACTTTCCTGGAGCCCCCTCCATTCACTTTCGCATCCATCCATCTGCCCCGTCCCGCCCTCCCTCCTGCTATTTACACACTCCTTCCTTTACACACCCAGGCCGTGTTCACTCATTTGCCCTGCGCTAGGATCATGCCAGTCACTGGGGAAGCAAAGTCCAACCGAGGAGACAGGCAGGTTTGATGATTATCAGCACCCACAAAATGACCTTGGGTCTTATCAGAAGCCCATCGGAGTAGGGAGCACCCTCCTTATGAAGGCACCGTGAGACAGTCACCACCAGACAGGCAGCAGATGGCCAAGGTCAGCTGATAAGCCAGAAACAGATGTGGCAGCTCCACCTCCCCAGGATAGATTGTCCCTTGAACATGTGAGGTCACAGCATGCCCGGACAAGTGTGAGACATGTGGGTGGACATGACTGCGTTGTGCGCGTCACTTGTCTGAGTGTGTGTGGACAGAGATGAATAGCATGATAAACCAGCTAGGGTTGTTGGAGTCGGGTGGTGTCTACACCACGGTCAGACACAGACTTGCCTATTTCCCTCTTCCCATCTTGAGGTGGCACTGCCCCTTCCTGAGCCCCCTAGACTGGGCGCTGGTGTGGAGCACTTTGGGGAGCTGCTGCACAGGGATGCTTTTCCTCTTCCCCTCCCCCCTGCAGTCACTCCTGCCCCAGGGCTTTCTGGTCCTTCAGGACCACGCTCTTCTCACTTTCCCAGCTCCTTCCAGGCTCCCACTCTCTTGGCTTCCATGTGTCCCTAGGGAAAGCCACACGGGTCACACTGGCCTGCTCTGCACCTGCACCCTGGCTCTGACTGCACCCTCAGCTCCCCTGACCTTGTGGATCAGACTTGGGCTGGATCCCCACTCTCCCACACCCCTAGGGGACAATTGTACATCTCTCCTCTCTTCTCAAGCCTTGACACCTTTTCTCCTCCAGCCCTCCCAGCCTCCAAGCTTCCTACAATGCTGAGAACAGGGCAGTGAAGGGCAGTCCTGGCCTGAGCTGTGTCTTCCACCTCCCCTGCTAGAACCCCACCCTGCCAAAGGCCAGCACTACCCTGACACTGGAGCCCAGCACCAAACGCTGGGTCTGGCAAGTCTCCCCACTTTCTCCTACCCCTCTCCTTGCTGTTTTTTTTTTTTTTTTCTTCAGGAGATCATCTCCACACCCATGTATAATGTCTAACCCCACCTTTTAAAAAATAGCTTAAAAGCTCAGTGTGGTGGAACATGCCTATAATCCCAGCTGCTTGGGAGGCTGAGCCAGGTGGACAACAAGTTCAAGACCCTCCTAAGCAACTTAGTGAGCTTCTGTCTCAAAATACATTTTAAATAGGTGGCCAGCTGTGGTGGTGCTCACCTGCAATTCCAGGACTCAGAAGGCTGAGGCAGGAGGATCACTGTAAGCTTGGGGCCAGGCCGGGCTACATAGTGAGTTCAAGGCCAGTCTGAATTGCCAGTCTAAATTACACAGTACGAACCTGTTATGTCAACACTCTGAAAGCCTGAGGGAATAGGACTGCAAGTTTGAGCCCAACCTGGGCAATTTAGCAATTTGGTGAGAAATTTTGTTACAAAATTTGAAAAAGAGGTTAGGGATGTGGCTCAGCTGTGGGACACTTTGCTGCCACATGGGAGACTCCAGCCAAACCTCAACACCGTGGGGAAGGAGAAAGCCTCTCTTAATCCTGCTCACCCCTCCAGGGACTACTGGTATTCCACCCCTGTCCATTTCTGTTCTTAGAAGTCTGGGCGGACTCCCCTCTCCCATTCTCTGGAAGCCTTTCCCATTCAGGCTCCACCCACCACCCTGCCACAGCTGGTCCCTGGGCCTCCAGAAGTTTCTGGTCTCTTACCCAGAATCTATCCAGCACTCCCTGCCCATTTTGTGGCTGCTCTGTTTTGGCCAGAATCCTTCATCACCTCTTAGCATCATGGTGACCCAGGGTTCCAGCCCTGACTGTCTTTACCAACATAATGGATTTTAATACTGTGCTGGCCAGCACCTAAAACAGACCCAAAGAAAACTGGAAAGTAGGGTGTTAGCTGCAAGGTTAGCTCTTAAAAGCTCTTTGTGGCTTTTTCTTGGATCATATGACAGATGCCTGACTGTAAGGATATGCAAGCAGCCTTCAGAAACCTGCAGCTCCTGGCTGGGCATGGTGGCACATGCCCATAATCCCAGAGAAGAAGGAGGAGTCCAGGTTTGAGCCCAGCCTGGGTTACTAGTGACTTACTGCCTCAAAATTAAAAATAAAAGGAGTTGGGTAAAGCTGGACGTGGTGGTGCATATCTGTAATCCCAGCACTTGGGAGGCTGAGGCAAAAAGATGATTGAGAGTTCAAAACCAGCCTGAGCTACAAAGTGAGCTCAAGGCCAACCTGAACTGCTAAGTGAGACCTGTCTCAAAGAACAAAAAAAAAGGTTGGTGATATAGCTCAGTGTGGAAGCTGTAGATTCAATCCCCAAGACTCCTCATCCTCCCAAAAAAAGAACAACACTGCAGCCTTGCTGACATCTCTTTTACAACTTCGCAAAAGACCTAAACCTGGAGCACCCAATAAACCCACTTTCAAATTCCTAACCCATGGAAACTGTGAAATAATAAATCCTCATAATTTTAAGCCTACAAGTTTTGATTATTTTGTTACACACCTATAGCTAACCAATACAAATTACCAAATATGGACTGCAAGCACAAATTTATATTTCTAATCTGAACTTGTGCTGTGAACTGGTCTTGTCTTTCCAGCTGTCCACTCAACATCCATACTTGGGTGATCAAGAGGCAGCTTAGATTTGTTCCTGATCTGCATAAGCAGCGCCCCCCCCCCAAGCTTTAGGGTACATTTTGTTATTTGAGACAGAGTCTCACAATGTAGTTGAGGCTGGCATTGAACTTGTAGCCTCAGCCTCCTGCATCCCCAGGGCTGGGATTATAAGCATGTACCACTACACCTGGCGAGGGTGCACTTTAAGGGCTGGAAGTGTCATCCTTCTAGTCCCTCACCATGAAAACCAGGAGTTATGTTTCACTCCTCTTTCTCTACACTCCACTTCCAGACGATCAGTAAAATTGGTATTACCTGCACCCTCGGGACGAATCCAGGGTCTGTGCTCTGCAGTACTCTACCATCTTTCTTCTGGGCTCTTGCAGCAGCCTCTTGACCGATCTCTTAGATTTTATTCTTTGTTTTTTTTTTTTCCTCTTTTTTTTTTTTTTAAACCAGAGATCGAACTCACGACCTTGTGTTTGCCAGGTGGATGCTTGTGCTGCTTTTCCCTAGTTCCTTTTTTGTCTTTTTAAAAAAATTTTATTTAAAGAGAAAAAACAAAACAAAACAGGAAAAGGATAGAAATAATACATAATTTCAAAAAAATGAACAGAAATCACCAGTTGATGAATTACATATTGTCCTCTTAGAAATAGTTGTTCAATGGGGCTGGGGATTTAGCTCAGCGGCATAAGCGCCTGCCTTGCAAGCAGGTAGTCGTGAGTTTGATCCCCGGTTCCGATAAAAAGGAAAAAGACAAAAAAAAAAAATAGTTGTTCAAGTTACAGAAGTAAAGCATACAAAGTGGACATTCAAACAGTGAGACTGCAAACAGTTCTGTTCAATGATCCAACAAAAACTCAGTCATATGGTCATCTATCTTACACACTTAAACATAGATGCAGTTATATCCTTTAGAGCACTTTCTTTTCTTTTTTTTATAATAACAATTACTCATTTTGTGTTTTATTACTCCTACAGTTCTTATTTCTTTTTACACTAGAGACACAATATGATATTTGTAAATATGATTCTTGTTTATTTCACTAATGAGGATAGTCTCTAGTTGTCTCTATTTACCTATGAAGGCCTCAAGATCATCCTTTTTATATCTGAGTAATATTCCATTGTATAAAAATACATCTTTTTCATCACTCTGAGGTTGATGGGCATCTTGATTGTTTCCAAGATTTTGCTATTACAAATTGTGCTGCTATGAACATGGGTGCACATATATCACTGTATATGACCTTTTCAGTTTTTCTGGGAAAATACCCAGGAGGGGAATAGCTGGATTGAATGGAACTTCCAGTCCTAGTCTGAGAATTCTCCATACTGATTTCCATAGTGGCTGCACCAGTCTACACTCCCACCAACAGTGTTCCTTTTCCCCCTGCAGCCTCACCAACATTTGTTATCAGTTGATTTCTTCTTGATGTTATCTATTCTTTCCAGAGTGAGATGAAATCTCAATGCTGTTTTAATTTGCATTTCTTGAATAACCAGTGATACTGAACATTTTTTCATGTATTCATTTGCCATTTGTATATCTTCATCTGAGAACTGTGTGTTCATCTCAGATGCTTTTTTGTCTTTTTGAGACAGGGTCTCACTATGCAGCTCAGACTGGTCTTGACCTCACTTTGTAGCCCAGGCTGGCCTTGAACTTGGAGCAATTCCCTACCTCAGTCTCCCAAGTGCTGGAATTACAGGTGTGTACTACCATGCCTGGTTTAGATTTCATTCTTTTTTTTTCCAGTTTTTTTTTTTTTTTGTCTTTTTCGTTTTTATTGGTACCAGGGATCGAACTCACGACTCCCTGCTTGCAAGGCAGGTGCTTATGCCACTGAGCTAAATCCCCAGCCCCTAGATTTCATTCTTGTCCTCAGTTCCAGTTAGTTTTCTGCTGTTATCACAGAATACCATAGACTGGATCATTTATTAAGAAGAGACGTGTACTTGACTCTCAATCATGGAGGCTGGGAAGTCCAAGGGGCTGGAAATAGCATCAGCAAGGGGTTTTCAGCTGCATTATCTCAGGGCAGAAAAGCCAAAGGGGGCCAGGCATGGTGGTACACACCTGTAATACCAGCACTTGGGAGGATGAGACAAGAAGATCACTGTGAGTTCAAGCCAGCCTGAACTACAGTCTGCCAAAAAAGAAAAAAAAAATGTGCTTAGAGCTAACCAGGCAGGGGACTCTGCAGTGGACTGAGTTTCAAGCACCCATGCAGCCCTGGTGCTTTCCCAGGCCCAGAGGTTTTCAGAGGAAGACCAAGGAGCCAGGTTGATGAATAGGAAGTCCTTACTTGAGAAAATGGATTTAACCATTTGCTACTGGCCCAAGTATCCTTTGTCAACCTCAGTATCAGATGCCACCTTTCAGGAAAATGACAAAATGGCTATTTGCACCACCAGGCCGCTGGTCAAGGACTTGTTGGGAAGAACATGGTGGTGGGGGAGACCCTTAAGCCATTTAGGTGAGGAGAATGGAGTCACTGAAGGGGTGGGTGGTATGGAAAACTACTCAGATTGCTTCAAAGCTCAGGGATGTCTGAGGACACCTGAGGATGTGAGCCACTGTCTGCACGGGTATGGAGCAGATACGGTTATGTAACCATTGCTTAGCATTGGAGGACAGCCAAGTATGTGCCAGTGACACCAGCATGTAAGAATGTAAATGTGTGCTAACAACACGTATAAAAATTACACAATAAAGATGCAGCTCTGCTTCCTACTGCCTGGTGTTTTTTTTTTTTTTTTGGCTTTTTCGTTTTTCCCGGTACCAGAGATTGAACTCACAACTGCCTGCTTTTGAGGCAGGCGCTTATGTCGCTGAGCTAAATCCCCAGCCCCCCTGCCTGCTGTTTTTTGATGTCTTGTATGTGGGTACTCTTTAACCTGGGGCCTTACCTGCAAAAATCTCCCTTGAGGGGCCAGGGATATAGCTCAGTGGCATAGTGCCTGCCTGGCAAGTACAATGTCATAGGTTCAACCCCGAATACCAAAAACCAAACAAAAATCTCCCTTGGGCCCCCGAGCAGGCAGTTTCTAGGTCAGAGCCATTAGCCCGCATGAGCTCAGCCAGAAGTTGAGATGTACTCAAACTTCTATGCATACAGTGTGTCAGCTGACCGACCCCAGGAGTCTGCACAGCAAGCTCAGTTAGAGGAGGAGCTACCAACTTCCTCTCAGCTGGTGCTGTGCAATGGACACAAAACCCTTCCTGTGTATCACCAGAGGTTTAATGAGATTCTGCTTGTTGGCCTTTTATCACTGCTTAGGGTCGAGGCTTTGTAAAATTAGAAATTATTTACAGAAAAATGGTTAGATGAAGATGATCTCTTCCCAGTGAGTAATAGCATCCTTAGAGTTATGGAACTTACAAAAAATTGGCCTATAGTGCTGGGTGCATGGCTCAGCAGTGGAGTGTTTACTTTGGTTTGATCCCCTGTCCCTTCTACTCCCAAAAAAGAAAAAAAAAGCAGAATGTAGTGGAACACCTCTGTTATCCTACCCTGGGAGGCTTAGGAAAAAGGATCACAGTGAGTTCAAGGGTACCTTGAATTCTATGTAGTGAGATCCTGTCTCAAAAAGAAATAAAATGCCTATAATTCCAGCATTCAGGAGGCTAAGAAAGGATTATCATTTTGAGTTCGAGTTTGAGACCAGCCTGAGTTACAAAGTGAGCTCAAGGGCAGCTTGAACTGCACAGTGAGATCCTGTAACAAAAAACAAAAACAAAAACAAAAACAAAAAAAAGAGTTAAAGTGAAAAAAAGAAATTTAAAAAAATTAAAACAAAAAATACTCTTTGGGGGATGTGGTGGCACACACCTATAATCCCAGCACTCAGGAGGCTGAGGCAGGAAGATTGCCACAAGTTCAAGGCCAGCCTGGGTTACACAGTGAGTTCAAGGCCAGCTTGAATTACATAGGAAAATCCTGTCTCAAAAAGATCAAGAAAGAAAGAAAGAAAAGAAGGAAGGAAAGAAGGAAGGAAGGAAGGCAAGCCCTTTTGGTTTTAGTCAATTCTGATTTTGTATCTAATTGAAAAATTTTTTTTCAGTGTTTCTTTATTCCTGGGTCTACATACATGTCAACTTTCTGAATCCTTTAAACTGGCATTGTCATCTGATGTCTCAGTAAGTAGTTAAAAGAAAAACACAACACACCAGGAACCTGAAGCAGCCTCCTGTCTAGCTGCATAAGTTTTCTTTTCAGAAAACTTTACGCCTCACCTCTGTACACGTGACCTTCAGCTGTCTCTCATTCCCATTTACCTTAGAGTCCTGGGGTATACAGAGAGGCTTCCCCAAACTGAACACATTCTTTTTTTTTTTTTTGGTCTTTTTCGTTTTTATCAGTACCAGGGATCGAACTCACGACTGCCTGCTTGCAAGGCAGGCGCCTATGCCGCTGAGCTAAATCCCCAGCCCCCAAACTGAACACATTCTATGGGCCACAAAGCAATAGGCACAGCCCTCCCACCTTCCTGCCCTGAATGCCAGAACCTTGGTGCTTCTTGGGCTCAGCGGTATGGCTATTGGTCTTGGGGAGCTCCTGTTAACTCTCTGGTTCACACCCCACAACCTACAAAGAGGAGAGAACTCAGCCGAGGCCACTAGGTGGGCAGTAGCTCTTCCCACCTCTCCTGGATATCGCTGTGCACTCTGGAGTCAGAGCAGGTGTCCTGGTTCCCTTGCAGAGGGCTGCAGCCCCGGGACTGTCCCACTTGGTGCGTCTCACAGGAGCATGGCTCTCAGTAAGTCTGAGGGCAAGTGCTAAGAGTGCAGGGGCAGATCAGGGTGGTGGGAATCAGGGAGGTGGGGGAGTTGGTGTGGCGCAGAGACTGTGCTTGCTTCAGAGCTGATGGCTGCCTGGCCCCCACAGGAGTCCACGGCCAAAGGACACTGGGCAGCAGAACTGCTGTTCACTAGAAAGTTTATTGTTAGGCAGCTGATGGGGCATCCCAAGGGGGTGTCAGGCCTCCAACTGAGGCCTGGCCAGGGCTGACTGATTTCCATGCACTGGGGCAGGGTCAGAAGGCAGGAAGAGTGGCGCTGCCCTCTAGGAGCTGGGGGGTTGAGACAAAGGTGCAGGTGCTTGATCTTGAGGTGCAGGGCAGAAAGTCCTCGTAATCTGTCCTCTCCTGCTGCAGCTGCCCCAGTACCTGCTTAGTCAAGGTTTCCTCCTGGGTGTCCTGTGCTTCCTCCTGTGCGGCCTGCATTCCCTCCTTCAGCTTCTCACACAGGAAGCTAGGCTGGAACCAAGGGGCAGGCAGCTGAGCTGGGAAGGCTGGGGGCGGGGGGCGAACAGGTGCCCGGGGCAGGGGCCTCACCAGGTTTCGCAGCTTCTCCCCCAGAGCCAGGTTGTCTGCTAGGGTGGTGCTCAGCGCCTCCCGAAGCCTAAGGTTGAAGGAGACCCCCTCAGTCGGGGGGCTTGTCCCACACACGCATGCCCACACACACTCCTCAGCTCTTGGCCTGGTACAGCCCCCTGGGGCTGCACTACAGTTAAGAGCCCAGCTGTGTGACTGCACTGTTGGGAGGAAACTGTCCTCCCTTGTGACCCGGAGCAGGGGCCCAGACCCACTAACCCTGCTTTTCCTCTTTAGACTGAAGTCGCCTCAGACAAGGATGGTGGCAGAGGGCTGGCCACTCTGTGTGGCTCAGAGTCCTGTGAGCAGGACTCTATGTGGTTCAGGCTGGGGAGAAGGTGGAGCCTGGAACCCATTCTGCCCGAGCTCCAGGTGAGCTGCGTGAGTGCGAGCTGCCAGTACTCAGGCCTGGGGAAGGACGCTCGCGTGTCCTAATGGAAGAGACCCCTCCCAGGACTTGGGTTGCCAAGAGGGGCTCTGACCCTAACACCGCCACTGAGTGGCAAACGGCCACAGGTTCATGCAGACCCAAGTCTCAGAGCCCTCCCCACAGATCCCACCACCTCTCCACTCCTTGGACAACTAAAGGCAAGGAGCCCTGATGGGCAGCTGCTGGACAGCTGGACAGGCAGGCCCTGAGCTAGGCTGTCAGGCGGTCTACATGCTAGATTGAAAGGGAAGACCGATGGCTGTGGCTGTGACCCCCACATCTGCAGGGCAGGACACTGATGCTGGCATGCTGAGGGACCTGCTGGCAAGGAGGTCACTGAAGGGGACAGAATAGGAAGGCAGAGGAGACGTCAGGAGCTAAGAACTAGGAGGCATCTGATGACCCCACAGGCCCCCACCTGGCTCACCTCACACAGACGTTCTGCAGATGCTTCATCTCCTCTGAGGCGCGCCGAACGCCCCAGTCCTGCTGTCCCAGGAACCGGCTCTCCTGGATCTCCAAGTCCCCGGACAGCTGGACAGTGAGGGCTGGACTGGCAGATCTGGAGGCTGGGGGAAGGAGGCGCCCAGCCAGAGCCCCAGGCTCCTCGGTCCTGGTGCAGGTGTGAATATTCCTGAGGGAAGCAGCACGCTCTGCTCTGCCTCTGCACTTCATACACACTCACGTGAGCACACACACTCACGCTCACACACAGGCCTTACGGGTCAGGGACTCTGGGCTCCGGTGTGCTCAGGAGTGTGAACAGGAACGTGAAGGTTGTTTCCGGCTGTAGGTCTGGCTTTTGCTCCGAGCGAGGTGACTTTGCAGAGAAGGTGCCATGGTAACTGAAGTGGCATGAGGCTGCTTGCCCAAGGCCCAGGCCTCCCTCAGCCTCCTACTCCTACCATCTCCCCTCCCATCTTTTTTTGGCAGTACTGGGGATTGGACCCAGGGCTTCTGCATTGAGCTACACCCTCAGCCCTTTTTATTAGTTTTTGTTTTCCGACAGTATCATGCTAAGTGACTAAGTTGTTCAGGCTGGGCTTTAACTTGCAATCCTCTTGCCTCAGCTTCCCAAAGTATTAGAGTTATGTGTGTACACCCCTATTTCTGGCTACACCTTTCTGCTTTTCAGGGATTAGCCCTTGGTATCCCCGAAGTCTGTGGAGGGAGGCGGAGGCAGAAGTTATACGTGAGTGGTCCAGGTGACCCTCCAGCCGAGAAACCACCCTCTGCCTGTCCTTCAGACCTTGAGCCCAGGAGCTGGGCTCAGATCCCCTAGGAATCAGAGACACAGTGAGAGGGGCCACACAGTTGGGAACCAAGGCAGAGCTTCTCCACCCCCTGCCCCCTGCTTTGGGAAGCCCAAGGGTGTGCTGTCACCTCTGTGTTCGACTCCCTGGAGACCTGAGTGTCTTCAAGCTGCTGCACCTCAACAGGCTGCACTACTGGATTCAAGGAATACCCACGGTGGGCTCCTTCTTGGCTCCTGGAAGCCTGAGGGAAGACCCAGGCTTGGTGGGCAACCACATCTGCCATCCCACCTGCCTGCCATTCGAGGCCGGGCCTGATCTCACAGGGGCAGCATTTGGCCTGGGAATCAGCTCTCTCAAAGACAGAGTTGCCAGGCCAGGTGTGGTGGCTCACACCTTCAATCTCGGCACTCAGGAGGCTAAGGCAGGAGATTGGCACCAGTCTGGGATACAAAGTGAGTTCAAGGTCAGCCTGAACTGACCTTGTGAACATTGTGAGACCCTATCCTAAAAAGGTGAAGGGGGAGGGGTGCTGGATGTGGCTAGGAGTGAAGGTCCTGGGTTCAATTTCTAGTAATGTAAAAAAAAGAAAAAAAATGTTTTTTTAGTGTATCCTCTGCAATGCAACTATTCACTATTCGAAATCTGTGTTTCACTGAGCGTCCTATATTCTATCTGGGAATTTCACCACAGCTACGGGTGAAGAGTGTTCTATAAACAGAGTCTACAAATTTGAGGTGTGTGTATACATAAAGATGTGTGGAGAAGACGGAATTTAATGAATTCTATGGAAGTTTTGCACAAAATCTCTTCCACTTTGGCAGTAGAAATCGACCTGAGTTCACCGAAGAACAGAGCAATCATCGACCCTCTGACATGGAGGCTCTCATTTTCTAAGGCACTGAACCTTCCAGTGCCTACCTGTGAGTCTCTATCTCCTCCCCCCCAGCCCCCCGCCGGGAGCCTCGCTTCCTGACATCCTCCTGTCCCCCACTCAAATCCTGCCCACTGTGCAGTGTTAGGACAGTTCCAGCTCTGCAAGGGATGCCTGAGGGTCCACAGACAGAGGAGCAGAATGGCTTCTCCCCAGGTTTCCCCTGCAAAGGTGAAAGGGTCTGGTGACTCTCTGCCCACCCCTTCTGTCATCCTGCTGCCTCTTTCTGTGCCACTGTGATGGTGCTCATGAAAGTCCTGTCAGATACTCTCGAGTATCAAAAAGCTGGCTGTGGTGGTGCACACCTGTAACCTCAGCACTGTGGGAGGCTGAAACAGGACGATCACAAGTCTGAGCCCAACCTGGACAATTTAGTGACCTAGTGAGACCCTGTCTCAACATAAAAAATGAGAAAATGGATGAGGATGTAGGTTTAATCCTCAGTACAAAGAGAGAGATTCTATGCTGAGAGGCCAACACCAGGTTCTTACTATGTTTTGTTCCAAAGTCATCTTCTTGTTTCTAACGGTGATGATCAAGCATAGGTACCCTGCCAAGAGTCAAGTGTGAGATTCTTTTTTTGGAGATAAGGTCCTTACTATGTAATTCAGGCTGGCCTTGAACTCACTATTGAACCCAGGCAGGCCTGGAACTCTCGGTGATTAGAAGAGCTGATCTACCCCAGAAAGAAAACTGAAGCACCCTAAAGGCCTAATCATAAGAAATGGGATAAGATGATAGATTAACAGGACAGCAGGACAGGATGCAGCTCAGTCCTGCACACACTGCCCCCAGTAACACTGTTGATGTCACTGTCTGAGGAATGAGCCTTGGGCCAGGGCTTGAACCCACAGATGAATGGAAGCTACAGGGAACTGGGGGCATCTAGGTTCACAGAGGACCACAGCGCAGGGGAGTTCTTGGAGGTCAGCCCATCTGCTGGGGGCATCCGCCTGTCATCTCAACTGCTCAGGAGGATGAGGCAGGACTGCAGGTTTGAGGCTACCCTCGGTGGCTTAGCAAGACTCTGTCTCAAAAGTACTTTACAAGGGCTGGGAGTGTTGGGTGTGGTGGCACACGCCTGTATTCCCAGCACTTGGGAAGCTGAGGCAAGAGGATCGTCATGAGTTTGAAGCCAGCCTAGAGGACATAGCAAGACCTCAAAAACACTAAAACCTCAAAACACCAAAACAAACAAACAAACAAAAAAACCTCAGTTGTACAACATTTGCCTGGCATGCGCGAGGCCCTGGATTCAATCCTCACCCAGTACCGGGTTGTGAAAGGCAGTGGAGGCCCAGCTGCAAGAAATTTGCTGCAAACTCTATCTCAGAGTTCCAAAGACAGCACCAAGCAGGTGCTTCTTGACTTCAGGTGAGTGCAAAGCTCTGGTCGGAGAAGGGAGAAAATGTAAGCAGAGGCAGGATGGTGCAGTATGGGATGGGGATTTCCTGCTGGGACACAGGATGAGTGGGACAAGGACTCCAGGAAGGTCCAGGTCCCAGGTGACCATGTTGCTGGGGGTCTTCCTGTTTGTCTGTAGGGTGTTTGGGCCATAATTTAGAGTAGACGAGAGCCAGGAAATAAAGAGCTCTGGAGTAAAGGAGAATGGCGAAGCACAGAGAGCACAAAGGCAGGCCTCATGGGGGTGGGGGGTGTCAGCGTGGGCTGAGTCCAGCGCATGCGACACAGAGGGGTCCAGTTAAATATAGGACACCACCACACCCAGCGCCTGCCAAAACTTAAGTCTCACTTTAAAAAAAAAAAAGTTTTTTCTTTTGGTACTGGGGATTGAACTCACAACCCCATGCTTCCCAGGCAGGCGCTGTGCTGCTCAGCTATACCCTGGGGCCTAAACAGTAAAATTTTTTAGTACAAGCTCATCTCAATTATTACATGAGATATACTATTATAAAGTTATTTGATCTTGGACATTGTTGTATCCCCAAAATTGAAAACCAGTATTTAAACAGGCTGTCACCCACCTAAAACCTCTGAGCCACCCAAGGTGGGCTGTCAGAGCACTTGGTAACTTGTCACACAGCAGGAGGGCAGCCAACAGGCCCAGCTATGGGAGGACACTGACCGTGGGCCAGAGTCTCCCATGAAGGCTGACAGGGCCCAGGGTGACAGGGGAAGAGACTGAGATGAGCCCTGAGGCCTTGATCTTTATGTCACTGGTTATCTCTGTCCAAGAAGTAAATACAGTGAGAACACTGGGCATCAACTGCCAAGAGGCAGGGAGCAATTTTAGAACAGTGGTGGTCGGGGCAAGGTGGCACACACCTGTAATCCCAGCCCTTGAGAAGCTGAAGCAGGACGATGGCATTAAGCCTGAGGTCGGCCTGGGCTACATTACAGTACAAGACCTGCCTGAATTTTAGAAAGCCTGTCTCCAGAAATAAGAAACAAAGTACCCGAGCACCTCGGTTCCCAAACTTAATTCTTTCCACAACTGGCTAAGAACTGAACCAATTTCCCTAGGAAGTCAACAATGAACCTAACCAGACTGGCAAGTTCAAGGTCCTGAGTTTAATTTCTAGTAAACCACATACCCCTCCCCACCAAAAAAAGAGCCTAAACATTAAGAGTTTCAAGATCAGAATCATGGAAAGAATTAAGTTTGTGACCTGAGGTACCACTTTTGAGAAGCTCAGCCTTAGAGAAGTAACAACAAAAATAAATGCTAATTTACTTATTTTGTGAATGTGAACCCCCGCTTTTTTCCCCTTTCAATTGTGAGACTTGCTAAGTCACAAAGTTGGCCAGGCTAGGCTTGAAATTGCGACCCTCCTGCCTTGGCCTTCCAGAGTGCCGGGATTACAGGGTGAGCCAAGATGCCCAGCTTCAAGACTGCGGACAGCACTGCTCACCAAAAAGCGAACACAACCCTTAGGAGTTGGAGAAAAAGGATCGAGCCCCCAGTGGATGCCATAGCAGAGGCTGGCCTTGGAGAGGCGACCTGTCCCCTTAGATGAGGGAAGGAGGGAGGCAGTTGGATGACTCTGGAGATAACACAAGGACCTCGCTTTCTTTTGGGGACCCACAGGCAGGGAAGTGTAGATGATGCGGTGGATGGAACGCTGATGCAGCCCCCATGAACATCCCTGCACCTTACCTTGCACCATGCTGGGGGTGTTCCGGGAATCTGCATCTCTGCCCAGCTCCCCAAGGGCTCCTGCAGGACCCATTGCTGTTCATTATTCAGCCTGGGCCACTGTGCGAGGGCCGCTGGCTCCTTCAAAGGAGCCTGAAAGGAAAGGGGTGCAGGGCTGGTTCAGGTGGGGGTGGTCCCAGCAGCTCCCTGGGCACCTAGGGAGAGCCCTTAGCAGCACCCTCACACCCGTTTCTCCCCTCCTGGCAGTCCTTACCCAGATGGGTCTAGAAAAGAAACAGACCCAGGGTGGGAGACAGGGATTCACCGTGACACCCCTGGAGGAAGGCCCAGCTGGCAGCTGTGGGGGGCCGGCCCTGGTGTCAAGGCCCAAAGGCTTGGCTTCCTGGGCTTTACACCTTCAGTTTCTACTCTGACCCCCCAAAAGCACAGTGTATGAACACGCAGAAACCTTTTGATCATGTTTATTTGGAAATGAAACCCATTTTCCCTACATTGCAGTCAGTTCCTAAGGAACAGAAAAAGGCTTAATGATGAGATCAACTCACAGTTACCTGGCTCCTCCTGATTCTGCAGGACTAAGACACTGCCCCAGACTCCCACCCCGCCAGCCAGCAGGAACTAGAGTTTTTCAAGCGTGGCCCAGTCAAGGCCAAGTGGGTCATACTGAGGTGAGGGTGCCCGCTCAGTGAGTACCGAGCCTTGCAGAGGGTTCCTTGCCCCTCCAGTCCCATCCAGTACCTGAGCAAGTGCTCAGCCCCCAGTGCCTTCTGCCTCCAGCCTTCAGCCTCTGCTTCTGCAAACCTGGCCTGGCTTGGGTGGCAGTTGTAGTGGGTAGCTGTGCAGTGTTTAAACCACACCTCCCATCAGCACCCAGGAAAGGGAAAGGAAGGGGAAACGCCCCACTCCCACCCCTATTCCCAGCACCTCTTCGGGCAGGTTCCCAAGGGAGAGCACTGTAGCAAGTAAAAGGGAAGGTTGCTATCAGCCCCTACAGGTTTCTCAGGGCAGGAAATTCCGGGACTGGGACCTTTCATTCTTTTATGTAGTTTTTTTTTTTTAGTCTTTTTCCTTTTTATCGGTACCAGGGATAGAACTCACAACTGCCTGCTTGCAAGGCAGGCGCTTATGCTGCTGAGCTAAACCCCCAGCCCCGACCTTTCATTCTTCTGAGGCCAAAGACTACATGGTTCATTTTTTAAGAAACAGGCCTGGCCAGTGGGATTACAGGTGAGGTGGTGCACACCTGTTATCCCAGCACTTTGGAGGCTGGAGCAGGAGGAGTGCTGTTATTTCAAGGCCAGCCTGGGCTACATAGAAGACCTTGTCCCCAAAAAACAAACGAGGTATAGGTGACAATAAAGTTCATTCTTTGTCCCTGGGTAGGTGGCCATCCCAGAGACAGGACAGTATGGAAATGTGTCCCAAACAATGTTTCAGGAACCTGCATTTCCCAACAACTCAGTGGCAGAACACAGGTGTGTAACACATAGCTCCAGAACAGGAAATGCAGATCCTCAGAACCCAGAGAAAACAGACTTCCTCACTCCACACTCAGACTGCAGTGGGGTGTGGGGCACACGCAGCAGGATTATAAATCTGAGCCCAGCCTGGGCAATTTAGACAGTGTCTTAAAGTTTAATAAAAATAATAAAGGCTTCAAACCCAGGGTAGTAGGAAGACCCTGGGCTCAATCCCCTGTTCATGAAACAATATAAACAAAAACCATCTGGGCTCCCTAGCCTCTTTCTTGAGGCCAGCACTGCCCCCCAGTCAGCGACACCTCTCCTAGATGGTCAACAGAGCTGACCAGGACCCCAGCGCCTTGTGACACAGAGGGATTCCTGACTGAGAAACATGCCACTGACAGGGCCTGCCAATCTCACGAGCCCGCTTCTGTGGGCTGGTTCAGAGCAGCCAAGGTTCCTGACCAGGGCAGAGGTGGCCTTCTGCCCTGACACCTTGGGGAAACCGGAAGAGGGTGATGAGTGAGGGGCCAGGCAGGCCCCATGTTCTACAGCAGCACTTGCAGGGATAAAGAGGCCGGCGAGAGGGACCCCAAGTGTCTTCATCAAGAGGAAGCTATGTACAGGGAGAGGGAAGGTCAGGCCAGGCGTACGCTCACTGCATCTCATTCAACCAGGAGATCAAACTGCTCAGCAGCTTCAAACTCAGCATTCATGGCCGCGGCCCACTCATCCAGCTGCGACTTCTGGGGAAGAGAAATGGGGCCAGGTGAGCGGGGAAGGGGTACACACTGCCTAGAGCCCGTCACCCGCACCCTGCAGGTGCTGCCTTCCCCGCACCGAGCCAGAGCTGAGCCCTGGGCCTGCACGTCTCTCCAACGCAACAACGAGAGAGGCAGCCCCTCTGTCACTCACCAGGATCTCTGGTGCCTTTTTCTTCCTCCGCTTTTCTTTCATAAATAGGGGAGAGATCCCCGGAAGATTCATGTCTGGGGAGCAGGGCCTTACAGGGACCTTGGGGACCTCCGTCAACTTTGAGCACACCACAGGTGAAACACCAGACAAATCTTTGGGCTCCTCAAAGCCAAAGCAAGACTGGAGGCCAGGAGTGGAGGTGGAGGCACAGCGGAGGGTGTCCAGCCGGCTGTAGGAGCGCCTGACTTTCCTGGACATTTCCACGGTTCTGATATCCAATTCCTCTTCTTTGGAGCAAGACTCGACCTCTGGGGGGTCCAGTACAGGAGTGGTAGTAGGGGTCACAGGGACACTAGGTGTCTTGAAGAGGTCCCTCTTCGTGGGCTTCTGGAGAGGAGGGTTGTTTTCTTTCCCCAAGAAAAAGGTGATCTGCAAAGGGACAATGGAAAAAATGCCTTCTTGTTACGCAGATAGACCCCTGACTCCTGAGGAGATGCCAAAAAACAAAAAAACACTCCACAGGACAATTTTGTTATATATTTACTGCAATACTTGGGATCAAACACCGGGACTCATGCATGCTAGGCAAGCGCTCTACCAAGGAGCTACATTCACTGGCACCCCTCATACACCTTTTCTTGTGGTACTAGGGATTGAACCCAGGGCTTGTACTGAACTACGTCCCCAGCCCTATTTTATTTTGTTATCTTTGAGACAAGGTCTTGCTGTGCAGCCCAAGCTGGCCTTGAACTCACGGTGATCCTCCTGTCTCAGCCTCTCAAGTGCTGGGGTTCTGGGTGCGCGGCACCACCCCCAGCCAATTTTATCTGGAGACAGTGTCTTGCTAAGTTCCCCAGGCTGGCTTTCAAACTGTGATCCCTGTACTTCAGCCTCCTAAGCAGCTAATAGGGGATGGGGATTCAGCTCAGTGGCTGAAGCGCTTGCCTGATAAGCATGAGGTCATTAAGTTTGATCCCCAGTAACAAAAACAAAAAAAAAAACCCCAAGATTCTAAGCAGCTGGTGCTACAGGTGCGCCCAACTGGATAAACACTTTTAAAAGAAAACCATCCATCACTGCTTCTGAGAAGTCTACTCATGTGACACCAAAAGACTAGCCATATCTGCTGGTGCTGTCCCTGTGTCCAAGTGTACTTGTAATCCAGTCACCTAACACAAAGCCCCATTTACGGTCTATAGCTCAATAATCTGCTCTGCCTGCTTCTAGCTTCACCTCTATGGTCCATTTGTCACACAGCCACTGAACATCTTCCTGCAAAGCCCATTCAGGCAGTAAGGAGCTAGCAGCACCTGTCCTGTGCCTGGCACTGTGCTGGAGAGCAAGAGTCAGAAGAACACAAGAGAAAAGCCCTGCCACCCTGATGCTCCATTCTAGAGGGGAAAACAGATTACAATAAGACCATAGATTGTAACACAGCTCTTAAGTGCTACAGAAATAAAAAAGGATCAAATATTGGGTTGGGCTCACTGAGCAAGTGACAGATGAACTACAACTGGAAGCTGGGAGGCAGCGGGTTGTACGGACGCCAGCGTTCGAAGTAGCAGCAACAGAAGATGCAAAAGCCCTAAGGCCACAGTGTACCAATCAGGACAAACAACAAAGAGATCATCGTAACTGAATTGAAAAAAGAGGGAAGGAACCAAAGACAAAGCTTGAAATGTAACGAGGAAGGGGGCAAATATGTTGCTCTAGAGGCCACATAAGAGCTTCTGCTCTGAGACCAAGGGAGCGACAGTGCGGCTGGGGACAGGAAAGGCTTAACCTGACACACACACATGCACAGCTTCCTATGCTGGCTGCTTGTAAAACCCTTCTAGGCTCAGATGCTTCCTCAGGGAGGCTGCACCGCCCACCAGTTTCAGGATAGCCTCACCTCACCTATGGCAGTTACTCGGTCACCCAGACCTTCTGTTTCCTGTATAGTAACATTACTACCTGACACTGGTTCTGTACAGTGTCTCTGTACTGGTTGACTCGGTCACCCAACTAGAATGGGAGCGTCCTGACAGCAGGGGTCTCCCTCTGCCTGGCTTCATATTCAAATGCTCTGGAAGTCCCAGGTTGATGTATGTGAAACCTGGCACTGAGCATTCTGGAGGCCAAGGCAAGGATGGAAGCAGAACAAATCAACTGTGGTCCAATGAAAGACAGTAAACTGGTTTACGCAGACACATTACACAGCCACAAGCTCTGGGGAACATGCATCTTGGACCAGTAAAAGGGATGCATAACAGAACTGGAACACTCAACTATTTCCTCCTCCTCTTCTAAAGCCAAGCAGTCACCCAGATCCTAGCAACCTTATCCTACTCTGAAGAATCTACCAGAACCAGGTGTGGAGGGGCACGCCTGTAAACCTAGCTGAGGTAAAAGGGTTGCTGTCAATTCAAGGCCAGCCTGGGCTACATAGTGAATTCAAGGCCAATTTGAACTACATAGTGAGACCCTGTCTCAAACAAACAAAATAATAATCTATTAACTGATGGATTAATAAGAATCTGGAAGTCTCTGCTTCCAGTGTTCAGATTCACTCAGGGAAAGACATCAAACATAGGAACAAAAACATTATCAGATGTTGATAAAATCTAAGAGAATTACTCAGAGAAGTGTAAAAAAAGTAACAGGGTAAAAGTGCTCAGGGAGCCAAGCATGGTGGCGCGTGTCTATAGTCCTGGCTACTTGGAAGGCTGAAACAGGAGGATCAACAGTTTGAGACCATTTCAGGGAACTTAGCACGACCCTGACTCAAAAATAAATAAGGGGCTGGGGATTTAGCTCAGTGGCTTAAGCACCTGCCTGACAAATGTGAGGTTGTGAGTTCAATCCCCCTGTACCAATAAATAAATAAATAGGTAGGTAGGTAGGTAGGTAGGGCTAGAGATACAGTTCGGCGCCTCCTGAGTTCAGTCCCCAGACTGGGCAGGGAAGGTCTTTGTGAGGAAGTTCCCTCTGAGCCCAGGCCTCGCTCCTGTGTGAGAGGACAGCCATTTTGAGAATCAGAGGAAAGAGGGTACACAGCTTAATCAGGTCCTCACCAACTCCCTTCAGGATTCCTGGGGTTTGCATCCTCCTACCTGGTCTCAGGGCAGCCATTCTCCACACAGCCCCTTTTCCCCCACTTCACCTAGGGATCTTTTTATACCATGCAAGCTTGACTCAGTCACAACCTTGGTCAAAACTTTCCAAAGACAGGCTGGGTAAACCTCAGAGGCAGAGCATCTACTTAGCAAAAACCACACCTTGGGGTTAATCTCCAGGACCACATACAGCAACAAACAGAATGGAACATTTCCAAAAGCTGCCCACAGATGAGACAATGGAGCTGGGCCTGTGAGTGTGGTTTTCATGCCTCATCAGGGTCTGCTCTGGCCTTGCAAGCTGCTGCCCTTGATTAGGTCTACTGTGCACACACCAAAAAAACTGTTCTTCCCCAAATCTCATGATTTCTCTTTGCACCCCCTACATCTTTTCCTGGAGCATAGTTTCTTTTGCCCAGAAGCTCCACTTCTTTTAAAAGACCTGGTTTAAATGTCCCTTCTGTGAAATTTCCCTTGAGCCACCTGGTCTGGGTTACTAGGAAGGCATTTAGCATCTGCATCCTGCGGCCCTCAGCAATGTTGCAGTCACTTGTCTTTCTCAACATCTGTAAGACCCAGAGCTTTAAAAGGCAGTTAGGCCAGCCATGTTGGTGCACACCTTTAATCCCAGCACTCAGGATGCTGACACAAGACAACTGTTTTGAGTTGAGGCCAGCCGAAGCAATGCTCATTCCTTATATCATCAGATTTTCTATTAATGAGCAATCTTTGATAAGTTCCACTAAAACTGTAAAACTGTAAAAACACCACACATATAACTCATAGCCACCGTAAGAACTGAGGAGAACTGGATGTGTTGGCTTACGCCTGTAATCCCTACATTCTAGAGGCTGAGGTAGGAGTATCATAAATTCAAGATCAGTTTGGGCAACTTAGCAAGGCACTGTCTGAAAATAAACAAAGGCTAAGGATGTAGCTCAATGAGGTTCTAGTACAATCCTCTGAACCTTAAAAAGCACCAAAAAACTGAAGGCAAAATAGCTTAGAAAGAGAACAGGGATTAGGATACAACTCAGCTTTTTAAAGGAAAGTAACAGAAACATACAGGATACAGGATATAGGGACCTGAGAATGAAAAATTTTAGAAAAAAATAAAGAGATAAAAATGAATTAAGTTTATAAGGAGTAATCAAGACTGGCCTTGCCAGAAATGTGGCACATATCTATAATTCCTGCAATTGGAGGCTGAAGCAGGAGGATCACCGAGTTTGAGGCCAGCCTGGGATACATAATGAGTTCAAAGCCAGCTTGAGCTACATTGCCAGACCCTGTCTCAAATTTCACCCACTCACAGTTCCCTGGGTAGAAGTAAACAGCCAGTATAAGCTCCCCAAGCTCCCCGAGCTCTCCAGTGACCAGATTCCCACCCTACCAAGCAAATAGAAATGAACTCACCCTAGGGCTCCTGCGAGGAGAGTGAACAGCTGGGACCTGTGATAGGGACAACAGCAACAGATCAAACAGCCAGTCCCTAATCCTGACTTTCACCTATAATCAATCCCCTCTCTCACTCCTCACCTCTACAGCATGAGCCACGATCTTCTTCAAGACAATGGGCTTTTTGACTGGAGCTGCAGGAGGTGCCTGAAAAGCAGGAGTGCCCACGATGAGCTCTACATTAGTTCAGGGGTCTCTAGGGATGTAACTAAGAAACTCGGGACTCACCTGACAGATTTCAGGAAGGACATTCGGGAGATCAGAGCCTGATTTTCGCTGTGACCTCCGCAGGGATTTAGGATTTAGGGCCGTGGGCTCTGGAGAGTGAAAAATGTTGAGGTTCAGAAAGACTAGGTCCTACAAGAGACAGACCCTGGAGACAGCAAGAAGAGGTTCCCAAACAAGCCCTTCAGGGATGCCTTAAAGAAGAACTCTTTCGGTAGGGGAAGGGCTCACGTTCCCCAAACGGCTCCGTCTCATCTCTTCCGCGCGCCCTCGGCTCACCAGAGCGCTGAGCGGCCCCTCCGGACTGCGTTCGCCTCCCAGACATATCTAGTTTCTGTCTAGATCCTCCTCCGCCACCGCAGCCGCGCCTCCGCGCCAACCGTGAGGACCGTCGATCACCCTGGAAGCGTTCGAATTACCCGCCCTACCTGCATGGAAGCGGAAATGACGCAAAGCGGGAAAGCTGGTACGCCCAGCATCCGCTGCTCTCTACCCGACTGTGGGGGCGTGGCCCGCGGCGCGTTAGTGTCATCAGCGCGCGCCGCACCCGGAAGAGACGTGGCAGCAGAGGATAATCGCGGCGACTCGGGCTGAAGTGGGCAGAGCGGCAGCCGGTGAGCGCAATACTTGTCCTGCGCCTCGAGCTGCTGATTGCGCTGGTCGGGATCCGCGCCGTGGCCGATCAGTAACACAGATAGTAGGAATCTGTACGGAAGGAGGCGGGGCCAGGAAGGGGTGGGACTCAGGAGGGGCCCTAGAGGTGGGGTCGGTGATATCTGGGAGTTGCTAATAGTGGGTGGGATTCAGGGGAATCGGGGGTCTTAAGAGGCGGGATTTATCTGGGGTGTGTGGTCCGTCCGAAAATGGGGAAGTGGGTAAGAATTTGGGATTGGGGCGCATATGAAGTGTCTGGAATTAAGGACACGAACTGGGCTGGTGAGAAGTGATGTGCACTAGAACCTGGCTTCCTGTCAACTCCGTCCCTTTCGCTAGGGTCGGTCATGGGACTTTGCAAGTGCCCCAAGAGGAAGGTCACCAACCTGTTTTGCTTCGAACACCGAGTCAATGTCTGCGAGCACTGCCTGGTAGCCAATCACGCCAAGGTGGGACATTCAGGGCGGTGGCTGAGCAGGGTACTTGGTGAACAGACAATACTGGCAATGCCAAATCCATGAGGGGCCTCGCGCTAGTGTTAGCTCCGCAAGGGCAAGGACTTGGTTTATTCCGCTCACTGCTGTATCTCCAGCCCCTAAAACAGAGGCTGACGCACAGTAAGTGTTCAATAAATTTTGGGATTAAAAAAATCAAAAGATGAGTTTCCTCTGTGTTGAGAGAAAAGAGGCCCTTGGACTGGTAGATGGAGTCCCAGCTCCAGTTATGACTTCTCTCTCCCACTTCAGTGCATCGTACAGTCCTACCTGCAGTGGCTCCAAGATAGTGACTACAACCCCAACTGCTGCCTTTGCAACACACCCCTGGCCAGCCGGGAGACGACCCGCCTCGTCTGCTATGGTGAGGCATGGGTACCCTAAAGGGATCAGGGCAGCTTCTTTAACTGGCTCAGCTGGTGATTCTGCAAACAGTAGGACAGTAGAGTTCCCCAAGCCAGGGAGGCCAGTGCTGCATATCCTAGTTCTGTTCGGTTACTTCCCTGATACATAAAGTTGGGCAAGTAATTTTCCTTCTATAGGCCTGTCTTTCCTAAAAAACAAGGATCCTACTTGCTGCTTTGCCAGTCTTGAAGAGTTGAGCACGAGCCAGTCAAGCTTATGAGGATGGCTGTAGCCCTTGTGGCTCTGAGCAGCAGCTAGCCATGTCAGCATGACACTTTCAGATATTCCGGGTCTATTACTGACTGCAGGGTGATACAGAGAGGAAGTGTTTCCCACACTGAAATTAGTTAGGGAGGAGTCAGAAGTCATGTGTGTCATGTCTGTGGCCTGAGTCCAGTGTATGAGCCTTAGCTTCAGTTTTTGAAGCTGATACAAAACAGGTAGCTCCATATATTTCTTCATCTGTGTGAGGATGTGTGTATACTTGCATGAATTCAGTCCACACTGTGTCCTTACAGGACTGTTTATTGCATAAATATGTATAATGTGAACACGGGTATATGTAGGAGAACACATGGATGGGTTAGGGTGCTTTAGCATAGCAAATGTTTTAGACATGTACGTCTGAGAGCTTGTCTAGATACTGGAAGACACTTGTGTTTGTGTACTTATCAGTACATGTTCATTTGCACCTGTGGATATATCCCAGCATACAGTGACTGTGCATGTATCTCTGCACAACCTACTGAAGTGTAGGTTCTCATCTGCAGAACCTACTTATTAGCCATTAGCACAGGGATGGTGATGAGTGTAGTCCCAGAGACAACTCTCTGGAAGGGTAGGTGGCATTTTCTTCCCATCCACTCCCTTGTGCACTGGCAACTTAGTGGCATCTGCTTTGAGTTAGTCAGATAGTGGTGTCCAAGAAGCCTGAGATCATGGAACAATGATGAAATATACCTGTGGTTGGAGGCGATAGAGAAGCCCTGGTCATCCGTGTATGTGCACTTTCATCCCTTTAGCAGACTGGGGCTCATTGCTGGGCTAGGAGCTCTAAAGGGACTTTCTCCTCATGCCTTTCCTTCCCTATTTCATGGGCCCTCAGATCTCTTCCATTGGGCCTGCCTCAATGAACGTGCTGCCCAGCTACCCCGAAACACTGCGCCTGCTGGCTATCAGTGCCCCAGCTGCAATGGTCCCATCTTTCCTCCAACCAACCTGGCTGGCCCTGTAGCCTCTGCACTGAGAGAGAAGCTGGTCACCGTCAACTGGGCCCGGGCAGGACTGGGCCTCCCTTTGGTGAGAGTCCTCTCTGGTGAGAGTGTGTCTGTCTGTTCTACACTTTACCAGCCAGGTAAGTGGCTGGGCATGCTGGTAACCCACACTTCTTCCTCCAGATTGATGAGGTGATGAGCCCAGAACCTGAGCCCCTCAATTCTTCCAGCTTCTCTGACTGGTCCAGCTTTAATGGTAAGCATTTGCCTCTCTGCTGCCTGGGCCCTTCACTCCTCACCCTGCTGACCTCTATTCTCTGCCCACAGCCACTGGGTCCCCTGCACAGGAGAAGACAGAAAGCACTTCCGCTCCCACAGTCTTCTATAGCCAGGCTCCCCGGCCCCCCTCATCTCCCAGCCCCCCTGAGCAGCACACAGTCATCCACATGGGCAGTTCTGAGCCCTCGACTCATGGTGAGCCGGGGAATTATCTGGGCTTCAGAAGGATACATGGGGTCGTCTGCAGTTGGTTGGGGCAGGAGCTCAAGGATCACCCCATTTGGAGTGACTTCCTCACTCAGCACAGCCATCACCTCCCCACAATTCCAAAATGCTCTGCCAGTGCATCTGACACACACAGATCAGGTTCCCTGAGCCTGTTGATGCTCTTGGCTCCATCCCTGCAGCCCCCAGGAAGGTGTATGACACACGGGACGACGACCGGGCACCTGTCCTCCATGGGGATTACGATGACGACAAGTACCGCCGCCGGCCTGCCCTGGGTTGGCTGGCTCAGCTGCTCAGGTACGTGGGGTCAGGTGCGAGGCAGGACCCTTGGGAGGACAATTTCATGGCCAAAGAGGCTTGCACCAAGCTGGTGCAGGGACTGTGCACAGCAGCCTCTGCCAGGCGGTAGAAGCCTTGCTCGCTCCTGCCTCTGGGGTCCTTGCATCCCATAGGAGCTTTGGACTCAGGCTCTTTGAAGCCTCTTCCTGTTTTTGTCCCCAACATCTGACCATTGCAGTTTTCAGGGCACAGTCACAATCCCAGCTGCTTCCAGCTGCACAGTAAGGCTGTGTGGTGGAAGAATCCTCTCTGTGGCACAGATGAGGAAACAGGCACAAGGATGGTAACTAGGGCCCCCCTGCATGTCAGGACCTCGGAGCCTGACCCGACTTTCCCTTCATTCCCCTAGGAGCCGGGCTGGGTCTCGGAAGCGGCCGCTGACCCTGCTGCAGCGGGCAGGGTTGCTGCTGCTCTTGGGGCTGCTGGGTTTTCTGGCCCTCCTCGCCCTCATGTCTCGCCTGGGCCGGGGCGCAGCTGACAGTGATCCCAATCTGGACCCACTCATGAACCCTCACATCCGTGTGGGCCCCTCATGAGCCCTGGCTTCTGGCTGGGCCAGCTCAGGCCCCCAAGGATGGAAGAGGAGGGGACCTGGGGGCTCTTCTCCATTTCTCTCCCTTGAGCCTAAGACACTAAGATCCTAGGCCCAAAGCTGAGGCCATCAAGGTGGCTGCAGACTAGGCCTGGGGTCCTGCAGGTTAAGCATTTGTCTTTATTTGCTTCTTGGGTCACCTGCCTCCCACCCCAACCCCTCAAAGGACCTAACAGGGGCAAATAAATAACAGACTTTATTAAAACACTCAAAGCAGCCTTTTCCTTACCCTTTCTCAGCCTCAGCCCGTCCCCGGCCTCAGTGGCTTTCCTCTCGGTGCTGAATGGTCAGAAACTCCAGAGACAAGCGGTTGAAGAACATGACCGCATTGAGTACTGGGCAGAGCGCAGAACCATCAGCCCCACACCCTGCCCCTCCTCCCACACCTCTGCCCAAGCGCTCCCTCCCCGCCTCTGTGCAGCCTCCCCTACTCACCCAAGGTGGTTAGGGCAAAGCACTGGAAATACTTGTCTTCTGTCATCTCGGCGTACACCGACCCCATGGCAGCCCAGCAGACGCTCACCACCTGGGAGAACTATAGGCCCATGCAGTGGGGAGCAGCCCCTCGACCCCAAACCAACAGCCTGTCAGCCCCAGCCCCCCACCCCCTGCCAACTCCTGGCCCCCACCATCACAATAGTCGTGTAGTCGAAGCTCATGCGGTCGTACTCGTAGGTGATGTAGAAGTTGTACAGGTCACTGACCAAGATGCCCAGGTGTATGAAGAAAAGCAGGAGGGCAGCCATGGTGAGCATCATGCCTTGCGGGAAGAAGAGCACGGCCACACGGTCCCGCCACCGCATCCTGAGCGCGGCGGGGGCCCCTCGTCAGACCCAAGCCCTGGAGCGACGGGGAGACTGGCCAGGGCAGCAGCAGAGCCCCCTGGATCCACATCACCCCATCTGGAACAGCAGTGTGATTCCAGAACCAAGAGGACACTGAGGGGTGAGGCTCTAGAACCCAGGTGAATTCCAGCCAAGACAAGAGTGTTTGACAGGTGGCTGGGGTGCTTAGAATTGGGGGGGCCCTAGGCAGAAGGTGCTGAGCAGTGGGAGTATGAGTGCAGATGCAGGGACAGTGTCACTCCTCATCCCATGGTCCCACAGAGAGTGTGGGCACACTCACTGATAGAGATACAGGGTGCAGGGTTTGAGATAAAGACTGGGATGTGCACCTGGGGGGCTTCCCTAGTGAGGAACCTGGACCCCAGGTTCCAAGTGGGCTCCACCACAGCTGGGGCAGAACTAAGATGGGGGACAGGGCATTCTCCACAGCCTTAACTTTTGTTGGCAGTAAGCCCCACACTCAGTTTGTTGGTGCGGAAATAAAGCACTCACTCACCAAGAAATCTTGACAAGGCAAGTCTGCTTCTGTGGAAGGGTGAGGCACCAGGCCAGTAAGGTACCATGCACACCCAGTGGCAGCGGCAAGCTCCTTACACACCCTAACTTCTGGGCTGGTAACTGCTATTGTAAACCCAAATATCGAGTTTCAGTTATCCAAGTACAGTAATCCCTTTTCCATTTTTCCTCACAATCTAAAAGGTTGTATTTGTAATCCCACTGAGATGTCATTGGAATCCCAGCAAGTTAATTCCAGTCTACCACCTCCAATGCAAACCACAGCAAGAGTAAAGACACCAAGACATATTCCTAGTTAAGGGCAACCAAGGGGTCCTAAATCCAATCCCATGAGGATATGCAGGCAAAGGCCCTGATCCTAGGCCTCTCCCAGAATTTATTATCTTGTGAAGAAGAGGGGTGGCGGGAACTTGAGCTGGCTGGCCAGGTGCAAGATTGGCATCTCTGTGAATTGGAGACAGAAAGATATGCAGGAGGATCAATTTACATAAGCCAGTTTCTGATATGCAAACTCTGTCCTGGGGAGTCTTAGTCTTATCTTGACATTGCTGAGCTATTTGCTTTAACATCTTTCGTGCTCATATCTGTATTGTACTAGAACACTATGAGAGGAAACAGGACTATGTGTTGGCTATAGAGGTTGCATATCAGCACCTGGACTAGCTTTATTATGTCTAGAGCCAATGCTTATGCTTAGAGCCAAATTGACGAGAAAAGGAAATACCCTAGCCAGCTTTTTATATATCAGTATAAAGAAATGAGTCTCCAAGTTATCAAAGTCACAGTAATTATTTTGTATTCAAAAGGAGTCACTGGAGTTGTCTCCCACAGCTGCCTTCCCCTCATTAGCTGGCGCAAAGGTTCACTTATCCTAGGGGGTGGGAGGGTTGCTAAGCAGGGTGGCTAAGGAGGTTTGGGGATAGCAGAACTGGAAGGCGTTGGCATAAGGTATTCCCAGAGTCCTTGCCTCTGATGTCTATTGTAACCATTAACAACTCTTAACTCTGGTGCAAGGGGTGGAGGTAGGCAGCTCAGGGAGAAATAAGTTTAAGATGGAGGTGCTACTGTTTATGTCCTTTGATTAAAAAAAACAGGACCTCAGTGTCCCATACTATGTAGCCCAGGCTGGCCTCCAACTCACAGCCATCCTCTTGCCTCAGGCTCCCAAGTGCTGGGATTATAAGCATGGGCCACCATGCTTGGGCCTGGGCCCTATACCTCGAAATTCTTGTCTCAGCTATACATTGTGGTGCATGCCTGTAATCCAGAACTCTGGGAGATCAAGGCAGGAGGACTGAATTTCAGTCCAACCTGAAATTCAGATAGGGATTTAACAAGACCTTGTGTTAAAAATAAGAGGGTCGGGGATTTAGCTCAGCAGCATAAGCGCCTGCCTAGCAAGCACGAGGTCATGAGTTTGATGCCCAGTACCAAAAATAAATAAATAAAGGCTAAAGTGGGGTGAAATGCTGTTTCACGAATCCATTTAAAGGTTACTGATATATAGTTGTTTGATACTGGTATTCTCCATTAATGGTTCAAATTCTAAGATTACAAGCAGATATTGCTCAGTAGATATAAAAACATTTATATCCAGTAGAGAAAGTAGTATAAAAGGTTATAATTTTTATTGTCCTGTAGGAAATCAACTAGTTGCTTTTTGTTGTTTTGGTTTTGGTTTTCTTCTTTGAAACAGGGTCTCCCTTGAATTGCTAAGTTGCCCAAGCTGTGCTTAAATGACCAGGATTTCACTATATAGTCCAATTGGCCTCAAATATTTCTGGCTGAGCCTCACTAGTGCTAAGATTACATGTGTATGCCACCACATCCAGCAAATCAATCACTGCACAGTTTTGTATCTAACCCAGTAATCATGTGCTAATATTCTCCTTTTAATGGCTACCTATGTCCAGCCTCTCAAGGTGCTTTATTACTTTATTGAGGTAATAAATAACCTTGCTGATGAGTTCATAAATCTTAGATAATATTTATCCTATGTTCAGACATTTCTTCCTTTGTGTGTGTGTGTGTGTGTGTGTGTGTGTGTGTTTGTGTTTGAGACAAGATTTCGCTATGCAGTTCAGGCTGGCTTTGAGTTCACTTTTTAGCTCAGGCTGGTCTTGAACTTGCAGCAAACCTCCTGCCTCAGCTTCTCAAGTGCTAGGATTACAGGTATGTGTCTTTTTTTTTTTTTTTTCTTTTTTTTTTTTTTTTGTAGCAAAAGATCCCCAGCTCTTCTTTATTTTTTTTATTTGAAAACAGAGTCTCCCCTGAATTGCTAAGTTGCCCAAGCTGAGCTTGAAGTTGTGATCCCCTTGCCTCAGCCTCCTAAATGCTGGAATTATAAGCATATGCTCCCATGCCTGGCTGTAAATCTTTTTACTTATAAGAACAGATTCATGTATTGCTTGGGTTATCTTTTGGGGGGGGTTCTTTTTTCTTTCTTTTCTTTTTGTACTGGGAATCAACTCAGAACCTCATGCTTGCCAGGCAGGCACTATGCCACTAAGCTATATCCCTGGCCCCCCTCTATTTTTTTTTTTTTTTTTTTTTTTTGAGATGGAGTCTTGCTGTGCAATCCAGGCTGGCCTTGGACTTGCTATGAGCCCAGGCTGGCCTCAAACTCATGGCGATCCTCCTGCTTTAGTCTCCCAGGTGCTGGGGTTACAGGGGATTACAGGTGTGTGCTACAATATCCAGCTAGTTTTTTTTTTTTTTCATTTTATTTGAAAGAGGGTCTTGCTGTGTAGTCCAGACTGGCCTCAAACTTGCAGTGATCCTCCTGCCTCAGCCTCCCAAGTGCTGATATTACAGGTGTGCACCGCTACGACCAGAAGATTATTTTTGTATTGGCACTGAGCTATAACTTTTTTGTTTGTGTGGTAATGGGGCTTGAGTTCAGGGTCTTCATACTGAGCTACATCCTTAGCCTTTTTCTTTTTTAAACCCTACTGAGCCAGGATCTTGCTATACTGCCCTGGCTGACCTTGAACTTTCCATCCTCTGCTCAGCTCCCAAGTGCCAAGGTTACAGACCATGTATATTTTTTAAAACAGTCTCTGAAAAAAAGATAATAACAGTCTCTGGCCAGGCATGTGGGCACCAATCTATAATTCCAGCCTGAACTACATAATGAGACCTTGTTTCAATCAATCAGTTAGTCAAGTCTCTGAACATCCCACTGAGTCAGAGGTAAGCAAATTGTTTCTGTCAAAGGCTAGTTAGGTTTAAGTTTTTGTGGACCATGACATCACCATGGCAACTACTGTACGAGGGTTTGCTGTTGTAGTTCAAATGTAATTAGGTGAACAAATAGTTATGGCTGTGTTCTGATAAATTTTACTTAGGGCATTAAAATATAAATTTCAGACTTTTTAAAAACCATAAAATCTACAGCAAGGCATATTAATAGTCAAGATTCCAGAAATTCAATAGAAGAGCAGAACAGTAAAAACTTATAGAAAAGAAATAAATCACCTATAAAGGAAAGCCCATCAGAATCACAGCTGACTTCTCCACACAAACTCTCAAGTCAAGGAGAGCTTGGAGTAAAGTACTTCAAGCTCTAAAAGAAAACGACCTCTAACCAAGATTGATGTACCCCACAAAACTATCCTTCAAAATCCACGGAGAAATAAGGTACTTCCATGGCAAAAAAAAAAAAAAAAAACACCTGAGGAAATTCATAATCACCTAGCCAGCACTCCAAAGTGGTCTGAAGAACATTCTAGAAAGTGATAACAAGAACTACAGCTCCATGAACCCCAATAGAATCAACCCAGCAGGCAAGACAAACAGAGAGGAAAAAGGGTAGGAAGTTAATACATAAAGGGAAATAACATGACAGGGATGTCAATACATAACTAGCATCATCAGTGGTAATAGTCTCAGTTTTCAACCAAAAGAAACAGACTGGCAGTGGCTCAAGAAGCAAAAGCCAGCAATATGCTGCATACAAGGAACATTTAATTCAAAAGAATTAGAGTTTTTTCCAATCATTTAAAAATGTAATGGATCTTCCTCAAAAACCTAAACCTAGAAATTTCATTTGACCCAGCCCTTCTCCTAGATATCTTCCCAGAAGGGTTGAAGATATTATATTACAGTGATCCATACATACTCACGTTTATAGCAGCACAATTTATAACAGCCGAACCTTGGACAGACCCCCTCTGTCCATTCACAGTGTAGGAAAAGCTGAAGCCCAAGATGGCTGCACTATGGTTCAGGCTGGGAGGACCTGGTTGCTTTTGGAGATAAGTTCAGATCAAGAGAGTTCCAGTGCAGGTGGGAGGTATAACCAAGGACATTACTGGCTGGTGTAGGTAACTTAGATAACTAACATTGTTAGTGGCACACAGCCACTATTCTGCAGACTGTCAACACTCTGGAGGCTGAGGCAGGAATATCTCAAATTTGTGTTCAACCCAGAGAATACCAAAACAAACAGAAAGTTAGGCATGGTGGGCCACATAATAAAGTTTTTTTTGTTTTCCTTTTCCTCCAATCCAACTCAGTGTGTCCTAATCTGAATGCCAGGTCACTCCCTCTCTTGAAGGAATGCTTTCGTCAACTGCCATGTGAGGCACCCTACATGAAAGGCCAGTGGTAACAGTCACAAAGGAATGTGCTGATAGCTAAGGAATACAGAAAATTTAAAGAGTTTATTGGTAGACTGCAAGAGAGCAGCAGGTGAGTCCAAGGAGGACCAAACTGTAAGGGCAGATAGCTAAGCATTTTCTATTTGACTTTAGTGTGAAAGGGGGTCTGGGACAGTCATTCCAGAAGCTCTCCCAGAGGTCACAGTGGTTCTGTTGTCATCCATCTTGTCACTAAGGACAGCCAGGTATTGTCTGAAGACTGATGTAATGTTTTAGAAGAGGTCCAACGCCTGCCCTGCAGGTAAAATTAATAATATGTAAACATTAATATTGGTGGTCAGCAGATCAGAATAAAAAATACGTGTTTCGGGGGCTGGGGATTTAGCTCAGCGGCATAAGTGCCTGCCTTGCAAGCAGGCAGTCGTGATTTCGATCCCCGGTACCGATAAAAAGTAAAAAGACAAAAACAAACAAACAAACAAACAAAAAAAAAAAAACGTGTTTGTACTTGAAAGGGACTTTTGATGGCATATTGGCATAGGATAAGAAATGACCCTCTTTGGACCAGGGATATAGCTCAGTGGCACAACCTCCTGCCTGGCAAGCATGAGGTTGTAAGTTCAATCCCCAGTACAAAAAAAAAAAAAAAAGGCCGCTCTTTCCAACATGTCAATTGGTCAATGTGGTTAGGGCTGCATACATAGTTTCTGGGCATGGAGTACAGGGCGGAAAGATAATGTTTACATTACAGGGTCACAACTCAGATTTAAATAAATAATGGTAAAATCACCAGGATTCCCCAAAGGAATGGCTGCACCTTTGTCCCAGGCAGAAACCTGGGAATTGTTTTGCACCCTTCACCTACCCACTCACTCACCACATCCCATCAGTTACTTGATATCAGCCAGGTTTGTCTTCTAACCCCAAGACATATTCTTACTTTATTTTCTTTTTGGTTTTTCTGAGACAGGGTTTTGCTATGTAGTTCAAAATGGTCTTGAACTAACAGAGATCCTCCTGCCTCAGCCTCCCAAGCACTGGGATGAGACAGTTTCATTATGCAGTTCACCCTGGCCTTGAACTCATTTTGTAGCCCAGGCTGGTCTCCAACTCACTGCGATCCTGTTTCAGCCTCCTAAGTGCTGGGATTACAGTCATGCACCACCATGCCTAGCCTAAGAAGGGTTCTTAAATTGAAGCATGCATGAGAAATTCCTGGGACTTTAAAAAGTGGCCTGTGGTACACATCTGTAATCCCAGCATGATGGAGTCTGAGGCACAAGGATGCACAGTGAAACCTTGTCTCAAAAGGACAAAAAAAAAAAAAGCAGCACCAGTTAGGAAGCTGAGCATGGTGGCACATGCCTATAATCCCAGCACTAAAAGGCTGAGGCAGGAGAATCACTCCAAGTTTAAGGTCAGGCTGGGTTCCATAGTGCGTTTAAGGCCAACCTAAACTACATAGCAACACCCTGTCAAAACAACGGAAAAAAAAAAGCTAGGTCTATGGGACCCCAGAGTGCCTCCCCAGTGAGGGTTGAACTCCTCGCTTCTCTTTCTCCCCTTCCTTCTCAGACGCACATTTTAAATTTTGAGACAGGGTCTTGTCAAATTGCTAAGCCTTGGCTTGAATTTGTGATCCTCCTGCCTCAGCCTCTCAAATCCTGGGATTTCAGACGTGCACCACAGGTACTTCTGAAGGCAATTCTGAGGGATACAGAAAAATGGCCCTTAAGAAGCACTGCACCAGGGGGCCACTGCGCCTATCTGGTAATCACAAAGTCGCGAGTTTGATCCGCGGTACCAAAAAAAAAAAAAAAAAAGAAAAGAAAAAGAAAAGAAAAGAAAAAAAAGAAAGACTGCACTACGGACATACATTTAACACGCGCAGTCCCCGTTTATTTGCTCACCACTCAGCCATGGTGAACCTTTTGAGCTTTCAATGACAAGAAACAGCCGGCTGCGCGGCACCAGCCACGGGTTGGTCACCACTTACTCTGGATCTCTTGCCTGCGGGAAAGCATGGTTGGGGAGTCGCGATCGGCCCCAATATGCAAAGGCACAGCGCCTTTAAAAAAAAATAACAAAGGGGCTGAGGATTTAGCTCAGTGGCATAAGCGCCTTCCTTGCAAGTGTGGGGTTGTGAGTTCGATCCCTGGTACCGATAAAAACGAAAAAGACAAAAACAACAACAACAAAGTCTATCCCTCAGGACACTGGTGGAACCCAGGGCTCGCTCGGAACCTCTTTATTCGGGGAACAGTTGCGGGGGAACTCTAGTCTGGAAGGACTCATCGCTGTAGCGGGCCGCTTCATCCGAAGCACTACCTCGTTTCAACAGCTTTATGGATCCCGGAAGTGCCTCCTCCCCGATCCCTTCCCATCCTCCAGCCGACCCGTTGCAGTCGGAGCAATGGCGGCAGAAGCCGTCGGCCCTGGTCCAGCATCTGGACCTGGGGATTCCCCGGAAGGGCCCGAGGCTAATGCCCCGGAACGTCGGCGAAAGGCCCACGGGATGCTGAAGCTTTACTACGGACTCTCGGAGGGGGAGGTTGGGAGTCGCCCCTCCGGGCCGGACTCGCTGGACCCGACTGATCTCAATGGGGCGCACTTCGACCCGGAAGTATATCTGGACAAGGTGTGTGTGAAGAGCGGGGTGTCTAGGCCCCCAATATACCCCCAGTTCATACCTCAGACTTTGTTGATGTGGGGTAGGGGAGCGGGGCTTCACAGGATAAGGACCTTTGGCCAGGCTGCTGGAGCGGAGCTGAAGGCTAAGGGCGCGTGGGCAGCCCTGGCCTGACCCAAGGTGGCGCGGGTCTGAGGTCTGGCGCCTGAGGTTCCATAGGTCCTGGGTAGGGGCGTAGCCCAGGCTGACGGGGCGGGGCTGGGTGTAGGCTGAGCTTGCCAGTCGCGCTCCTAAGCGGCCGAACTGGTAACCCCTCAAGTATGGCACTTGTAGGTTCCGTAGCTACGATTCGTGAAAGCAGGATCAGGATTTTCTTTATGTTTTTCCTTCTTTTTTCTTTTGCATTTTTACATTTTATTGGTACATTTTAGATGTACATAGTGATAAGGTTCATCATAGGGAATTTGTAGCTGTGTATAGTATCTTGCTGCTTTTCCCCCCCCAGTTCCCCTACCCTCCCTTCAAACTCCTCATTTACAAAAACTTTGTTTCCATTTTTTTCCTTCTATTTTTTTCTTTCCCTTCTCTTTTCATCCTCCTCCCTCTTTTGTTCCCCTTCTCATTTGAACATTTTCTTCCCATTTCCCAGTAACTATTACACGTTTTAATCCTTATTTACACTCTCAGTTTCTCACATGATCAGGATTTTCTTGCGCCCAAGAGCCTGCCAGTGAGGGGCCAGGCAGGGGAACACTAACTCAGCGAACACTAACGGCCCTACTTCTCTAGCTGCGTAGGGAGTGCCCGCTGGCCCAGCTGATGGACAGCGAGACGGACATGGTGCGGCAGATCCGGGCTCTAGACAGCGACATGCAGACCCTGGTCTATGAGAACTACAACAAGTTCATCTCGGCCACAGGTGATCCGCGCTGGCCACAGTCCCGACAGTCTTAATTCCTCCCCACCTGTGCTGGGAAAACCAGGAGGGATTTTGAGGGAAGAGACCCAGATTCCAGTCCTGCCCTGATGTCAATGCACTATCACCTGTCTCCCTCTGGCCTTCACTGTCATACCAGTGTAGAGCTAATAGCCGCTCCTAGGGCTTGGTTTGGGCATCTACTCTACCAGTGAACTATATTCCCTAGGGCTTGCTTTGGGAACCAAAGGGGAGTAAGTATAAAATGAGATGAATTCCTGTGAAGCACTGAAATAGCAACCCCCGACAGTGTGGAGGCTCAGTAAGGTCTAATTTCTATTAGTGATAGCTTTCATCTCTAATTCAGACCTACCTGGAGGGTGGCCTCGGGTCTCTTGCCCTTCTTTCTTCCTTACTGTCCTTTCTCCCTCCCTACTTCAGCAAAGAGAGAAAAATTATGACCTTAAGGGGCACAAAGAGTAGATAAAGCCTTTTTTCGTTATTCTGTAGTACTAGACAGGGTTTATTCTTGTTTTCTTGGTTTATTGGGTTTGTTTGTTTGTGCTTTTGAAACAAGGTCTCACTATGCAGTTCAGGCTGGCCTTGAGCACACTTTGTACCTCAGGCTGGTCTCAAAATTGCAATAATCCTCCTGCCTCAGCCTCCCGAGTACTGGGATTACAGAAGTGCGCCACCACACCGAGCTCTAGACGGGGTGTAGCTATCATCCACATTGCCTCAGTCCTGTTTTGAAGACGTACATCTCAGACCTGCGTAATAACTTTGGATCCATATGTGCTTACCCTAGGAGGCAGGCTCCAAGGGCCTGTCTGTGGTCCTTTCCATGGAGAGTTCTGTGAGTACAGAAGACCTGGATTGTGTCTTCATGTGTGGCCCTTTTCTAGTGTCACAGTAGAGGGTGTAGTAGCATATTCATTGTTCTTTTATCAGATTTAAAGGAGGTAATTAGGCGCCCCTCTGCTTGCTAACGCCAGCATATAAATGACAAGATATAACAATTAATGTCCTGAAAACTTCCTTGTGAGCTTCACAAATACTACACTTCCACATTTGTTGGAATATGCATGTATCGATCCTTGGCTTTTGCTTAAAAAGATGGTTTGCTTTTTAGAATTATTTTCCTAAGAAAAAGGGAGTAAATTATAAACTGAGTGATAAGAGTATTAATCTATAAAGACTATGAATTGTGGTTTGGTTTTGTTTTACAAAGAATTATTTTGTACACTGGGGATACAGTAGTGGACCCACCAAACAAAGTTCCTGCCTTTTGAGTTGGGTGTAGTGGTGCATGGTGTTCCTAGGACTCAGGAAGCTGAGGCAGGAGGATCACTGTGAGTTCAGGGCCAATTTGGGTTACCTAGTGAGTTCAAGGCCAGCCTGGACTGTATAGTGAGACCTTATCTGATAAAACCAGAAAAAAAAATTCCTCCCTTTTGAGACCACATTCCAGCTGGAGAGACAGACAATGAATGGAAGGTAGTAACCTTGGTAGGTAGTGCTGCAAGAAAGACTGATTGATTGCAAGAAAGATTGAGACTGGTGGCGTGTGTGGTCCAGCTTTAGTGAGGGTGAGTATGGAGGTGATCAGAGGTGTGACATTTGGGCAAGGGCCCTAGGCGACAGAACCAGCATGGAGAGGAAGGGCTGAGAGCGAGGCTTGGAAGAGAGCCTGACGTGTTCTAGTGCAGCAGCAGTCCAGGGAACAGCAGGGAGGTGACAGAGGGCAGCGAGTTAGTGGGGATCAGGTGAGGAAGGACTGGAAGTGGTGGTGAGAATCTGCTTTTTACTGAGAAGGAATGAACAGAAGAATGGGGTAGCCAGGTGTGGTTGCAGTGCATGCCTGCAATCCCAGCACTTGGGAGGCTGATGCAGGAGGATTACAGTGAGTTTGAGGCCACCATGACTGCATAGTGAGTTTAAGGTCAATCTGAACTACATAGAAAATAAGACCCTGTCTCAAACCACCACTGTCCAAAAAAAAAAAAAAAAGAACTGGGATGAGCTGAATCCTCTTCTCCCTGTACTGGGGATTGACCCCAAGCCTCATGCTAGGCCAAGAACTTTATACTAAGTCCTTTTTATTTTGAGACAAGGTTTTATTAAATTGTCCAGCTGACTTGTATGTCCCCGCCTTAGTCTTCTGAGTAACATGAACTACGATTCCTGTGTTACAACTTCTCTTTATTTCTTAAATGTTTGTTTATTTTTTATTTATTTATTTATTGTCTTTTTATCGGTACCGGGGATTGAACTCACGACCGCCTGCTTACAAGGCAGGCGCTTGTGCCGCTGAGCTAAATCCCCAGCTCCGTTTGTTTATATTTTGCCTGCATAGGCTGCATTGGCTTTTTGAGGCAGGGTCTGGTCTTGAACTCACAGTGACCCTCTTGCCTCAGCCTCCTGAGTGCTGGGATTATAAGTGTGCACTACCATCCCAGGCAATACTACTTATTTCAAAGGAGAACACTGAGAAGGAGCAAGTGGGGCAGCAACATTCAAGAGTTCCGTGTTGGCCTTGTCGGGTTGAAATGCCTGTTACACAGGGACTGTGGAGTTCAGGAGAGAGGCTGGAGTGCAGGGTATGTGAAATAAGGCGAGAGATAGATCACCTCAGAAGGGACTGCAGTGAGTGAGGAGATCTGGGATTGAGCCCTGGAAGTCATGAGAACAAGATCGCACATTCAGGGAGGTTTGGGGACAACCAGGAACATGGCTTTTTTTCTTTCTTTTTTCTTTCTTTAACCTTGAGCTCACTGTGTAGCCCAGGCTGGTCTCAAACTTGCAACAGTCTTCCTGCCTCAGCCTCCCAAGTGCTGGGATTAGATAGAAATCTTTTCTTTTTCTTTTTTTTTTTAATACCAGGGATCAAACTCATGACCTCTTGCTTGCCAGGCAGGTACTTGTGCTGCTGAGCTATATCCTCCCCCTATGCTGGGATTAGGAACATAGATTTCTTCAAAGCCAAGTAAAGAAAACTTTCCAGTAAATGGAGTTGGTGAACATGGGCAGGATGCTGAGGAGAGGAGTCCAACTCTCAGAAGGCAGAGAGAGCAGAGGGGAAATGGAACAGGGGGCCAGGCAGCAGTAAGCAGAGAGAGCCCCTTCCAAGGCACATAACCCATGAGCCCATGACCTACCCACCCCAGTGAGGCTTCATCTCCCAAATCACACTTGGCTCTAACTCCTCTGTGGATTAGTGTCACACCCCTCTGATCAGTCACCTCTCCGAGCCCTCCCCCCCCCCACGAGTGCCTGAAGCTTCAGAGGCGCATCTAGATATGAACAGCCTGTGGGTGAGGATGGGAGGATATGGCATCCTCCTAAGTGACCAAAGTGGGCATGAGAAACCATGTACCCATTCTAAGCCCTTCCTCAGAAGACTGAACCATGGGTCCTAGGAGCAGTTCTGCCATAAAGAAAACTGAAAACATTTTCAAACAGAAACACACAAATGTTTATAGCAGCATTTTTTCAAAACAGGCAAAAAGCGGCAGCAATCCAAATGACCATCAGCCAGGTCAGTGGTGTCGAGTCCGGGACACGTGTGCTGTGGCAGATTGCTTGTATCACCAAAAGCTCTAAAAGGTTCACCATCGGGGCTGGGGATTTAGTTCAGCGGCATAAGCACCTGCCTTACAAGCAGGTGGTTGTGAGTTTGATCCCCAGTACCGATAAAAAGTTAAAAAAAAAAAAAGACAAAAGGTTCACCATCATTGGACTCGATGGAGGTTAACTAAATATCTGTCTGCACAGAAATGGGATGACATACTGATACGTGCTACAGCAGAGCACGAATAAGCATGCATGAAAGAAGCCAGACACATGAGCCACATGTTATGTGATTGCACTTAAATAGGCAACTCCATGGAGACAGAAAATGGGTTCATGGTTGCCAAGTACTAGGAGAGAACAGGATTGAGTGTGTTCTGGAGTTAGTTGTGTTAGATTATAGCCTCGTACATACACTAACTATATGAGGAATCCGTGAATTTTCCTGTGTGGCAATTATATTCCAAGTAAGAAACCACACTAACAAAATGTGCTGGGACAGGCTTGGCCGCAGGCTGTGGCTGGCCAGCCTGTGACATAGACGCTGAGCTCGGTTATGTAATATATACATTCACCCGTGCCAGACTGGAAAGACCTGAAAGATTATAGCAGAGGAAGCCCTTTGCTGTTCCTTCCCCAGGCAAAGAAAGTTAAAAAAAAAATGTAGTTCTAGGATTGAACCCAAGGCCTTTGTACTGAGCTACATCCCCAATTCTCTTCCTTCTCCTCCTCTTCTTTTGTCTTTTTTAAGACAGCATCTTGCTATACAGTTCAGACTAGCCTTGAGCTCGATGTGTAGCCCAGGCTGGTCTCAAATTCACAAGGATCC